CAGTTGTGTGCGGACAAGACATCAGGAAGGGCAGGCAATTTTGATAAATTGGAATTGGATTCTTGCAATGTGCATTCCGGTGAGAATGTGGGTTCGACCCCTCTGGGGGCCTTCATCTAACACTGTGTATCACGCATTGGTGTGGTTTTTGAGCTGATTACATATTTCACCGGGAGCTTTAGTGCGAGCACTTAACACCTCTGTTTCTTGGAAAATTTCCATAATTTTCCATCAATTCCCCACCTTCACCTCTAATACCGGTAATTCAGTATTTTGTGGAGATGTACAGGAGAGTTGAATTGCTTTGAACAACTATTGTGACTCGATTTGAAGGCACATTTTGAAGTAGCTCTGCTTTTCTCCGCCGCATTTTGCGGCGATGTTCCGAGAAGTAGTTAGTTCGATGGATTTTGCTTAGTAGTTTTTAATATCTCATAAATGTTTCACTCGCACTTCTGAGCTCCTGAGCCGGTGACTTCCTTTTCTCGAGGTCTCCTAACACCTGGCAGGATGTTGTTTGGAGAGTTGAATAAATTATGTCAGTTGCTCCAGCGGCTTTGTCCACCCTTTCGGGTTGCGAGGAAGAGTGAATAAGTAATTAGTAAATCACGAGGGAGTTTCCACACCTTGGAGGAACACACTTGCGTCTTATAGACATCCAGTTTGGCAGCGATAGTATAGCTGAAATACACCGGAAGTGATTACATGTATAGGCGCTATGGGAGCTCCACAATGATTTGCAATTTAAATGATAACGACAATCGCTTCTTTTTTCGTCAATCTTCCTTCTCTTCCTCACTGTCGCGCGGCATTTGTGTGCATAAATTAATAAATTTCTGCTGAAGAAGCAGCACAGGGAGGGAGAAAAAGACCCATTGTCATATTGTCCTAATGCCCATTAAAAGACAAACACTTGAATTGATTAAAATATCTCGATGTTGCGGAATAAAATCCTTTATTTGCTGCGGCTGGTGGATTCAACGGCTCTTTTTGACAATCGCATTGTCGGAAAAAAGACGCAATTTCTCCAAAAAGAAAAGAAGAGAAATAACGAGCGACTTAATCCCATGTTTCACAGTGTTATGGCAAAATTGATACAAAATCTTGCTGTTGCTGTAGAAAAAAAAATGTTGCACACGCAGATAAAATGTGAACACATGAATAGAGTGCAAAGGAAAATAATTCTGCGCGATGCTACAATGTGCGGTGATGATAAATCTATACGTTTTGAGACTCAGAGTACCACCAGCAACACATATACTTAAGAATTCAACACCACAATCCAACAAGTATTTTGGTGTAATCAAAATATCTTTCCTCGCTCTTTAAGCAATGATTTTCTCCTCGAGCTGCGGTGAGGCATCTCGTGTCCCTCACCAACCACGTCCGCGATATATAGAACGGAGAGTGAACATCGAATCCAGGCAGTATCGCCAAGAGTTGGGCCCAAAGAGGTACACACGAGAGACGTATACATTTAAAACAGGGCGGAATATGTGACGCTATGGTCGGTTTCTACAAGTAGATGTGTGTTGGAGGAAGAAAGACCAGAACATACACGGCTTCTCGAAGTTCTGGAGGCAAGCATTGCGTTCAGTTCTGCTCAACCACTTGACCGGTATAGAGAGAGATATTGCATTGGGAGAAGAGTCCACATTGAAATAGACTTGGATTCCTTTTCGCACCTTCGGTGGTGAATTTGTCTTCGAAGTTAATCGTCTGTGGCAAATTGAGGGCATTTTCGCGAGTTTACGTGATTAGAGTCAATATGATTTGATAAATTGGAGCAAAAAAAAATCGAGTGATAGTGAGTCAGACTTATTGAGATTTCTTCAGCACAGTGCAAGAATTCTTGTTAGCTTTTTATTACTTCTCGCGGTTGATGTTCTCAAGTGTTACAATTTCTCGATATCTTGGTCTGTCGTCGCCTTGTATTCCCATGGATATTGTTAACAATTAAGAGACAGACAAAATTCAGTTTATGATAAAAATCTCATATGCGGTGTTTCATGTTGTGCTGGCTGAGGAGTTAATATCATATAGAGAGACAGAGGACAAGAAGGGAGATTTCAATGCGAGTAAGAAGAATTTATATGTTGAAAATACATATTAGTACTGTAGAGATTATAGTCGAGATTCTTTATTTTTTTCCTCTTCCACCTCTTCTCCCGTGTTGTATGTCTTATTGTGGGGAACTGGCAATCGCTTTCAAACAATCATCAATCAATCAGAAGTGGAGAAGATACATTTATCATTTTTATTCATATTTAACAGTACTTTGGTGGATGCTGGAATATACTAGGTGGAGAGAAAGAGTGAAGGAAAAAAATGTTCCACAATTTTGAGTGCCATACCTTAACTGATTTTTTTGCTGCGGCCCGAAGAGAGCCTCTTTTGCAATAATAGTTGCTCCTGGGCTGTAAGATTGTGCATCATGGGACAGGGAAGCAGAGAGAGAGAGAGAGAGAGGCATTCTTGTGCTATATGGCCCCTCCGCCAATGATGAAGATGGCGGAATTTAGTACCACCAGTGCATCAATACCCTTTATCATCGGCTTACAATCTTGAAAAGAACATAGCACACACATGAGTTTATGCAAAAAATATATACGTACGAAGGTACATAAGGAGGGCATCCCTCCGCGAGATGATCTTTTCATTAGAGCTCTGAAAGTTGGCATGAAGCGCGCTGATCTTCGATGGTTTGAGACTTGCATTCTCCCATATAGCACACGTTCCTCAGTGCAATAACTGCAAATTATTTTAATTGAGCTATAAGAAATGTATTTTAATTATTCCCCATAATCTATAGAGTTGAAAATGTGCGGAGGGAATTTACGAAATTCAGTAAGGCTTCCACTTGATATCACTTTGAAATTTTCACTGAAAGTCTCGCTGTATCACAAATGAAAGTTTGGTATATGGAACAAACTATTGTTCTTGCAGTAATAATTAGGATTTGTGTGGAGAGTTGTATCACATTTTCTTTCACTTCAATTCACAAATCCAATGTTCTGCAAGTGCACTGAGAAAAATGTGATGCTTTCTACGAAAAAATTTATTGTTGAAATAATATTTGGCGAGCAAGAATTGCTTTTTATGCAAGATTGGGCCAACCTTCCTGCTTTCCTTCTCAATTATTTTTCACCGTGTTTACCGTACACATATTATACGCTGTATACGTATCTTTAGTGTTATTGTTTTTGCTGATGATGACTTTGAAACAATACTTTCCATACATATGTATGTTCGTCTGCATAATGATACCTATATTAATTGAAGGGAGTTACCAAATGTGGTCAATATATGCGAAATAATAATTCATTTGTACCCAAACCAAGTGTTCACATTTCAACTCTATTGAATTGGAAATTCAATTCATAAATTCCACTGCATTATGGTGGAAGAAAGCAAATGTGTTATTATTTTTCAGTTGTATAATTAGAAAGGTGTACAACAGAGTGTAATTGGAGGAAGGGATAAGGATGTGCCATGTGAAAAATCACTATGTGGTTTAAGATTTCCGTACGCGGTTCGCATTTCTCTATGCGAGTGGGGAGGGGGGGGGGGGGAAGGCAATTTGAGGAGATATTTTCTAGGGAGAACAATAAATTAAATGGGATACCTCATTTGCGAAACTATACGGCAGTGCATTGGAGAAACTTGTCTGAATGCATGTTTTATTTAAATGATATTGGTTAAGTAGACAAATCGCGCCAAATTTAACAACCGCAACCAAATGCCACATTAACGAGGCAAAATTGTATATTCTGCATGATAAGAAGCGGTTATACATACATATATAGAGGCTGAACTTGTGCACATAAGACATCTCTTGAGGCACGTTTTTCATGTTAATTCAGGCGAAAATAGCGAAAAACAATTCATGTTTATGATATTCAGTTATGTTGAGCATTGGTTTACCCGCGAATATCGTCAATGCGGTGTTTCTTGAATCTCCTAGAAGGAAATTAGCTAAAAACCACGATAAAACTTAGCTGTGAAATATTTGAAGAGGGATATTTTGCAAAAGTGCCAAGCTAAATCAAAGTGGAGAGCGAGAGAGCGACTGTCTGTCGTAGATGTGCCTTTTCCCTTTTAATGTTTTGAGCTTCCTCCTCCTCTGCCTTAAGTATCCTCCTTCCATTATATTGTTAATAATAAATTATGCCAAACCGTTTTTTGTGTGTGATCTTTGGTGTGTGCTGAGTGAACGCGCCAATTGCAATTTACACACTATAATTATTCGAGAATGTGTGACGCCTCAACAAGAATATTGAACATCTTTTCTTATGTGGCGGGTGACTGCGAGAGAGAGGGTATATCTAAAAGAGAAATTCCTCTCAATAAATTCACTTGTGTGTACGTTTCATTTATCCATTTTATGTTAACGCACTGTCGGACGCGACGGATGGACGCGAGGGGGTGGACAGTGAGGCGAATGGGCAAAAATATTACAATTTACAAATACCTCTGGCTTTGGTGAGGCCATACAATACAAAAAGAAAATGCTAATAGATGTTATTTACTCAAATGATATACTCTTCTTGGAGATGTGTTTCATTTTGTAACTTCATTGTTGGGTGCGCTTCTCCTTCGATGCCTCATTCTTATTCAAATTCGTTTCAATTATTAATTTAATCATTTTGTGTCGCGATTGGCTACCATTCTCCACCAATAATCTACAAGTTAGATAAGAGGGAATTTTTGAGTTGCACGCTTGATTTACATTTATGAAATTCAAATGGCGCGACACGAGTACAAACAGCGAAACCATATTTTTGCCCGTAAGACATTAACACAAAATGAAAATGATGATGGAAAAAAGAGAGTATATACAGAGAGGAAGCATCCTCAAAGGGAGAGCGAGAGAGAGGGCGCGAGGGAAAGGAGAAAAAAACATTGTAATACAGATAAGACGTAGAGATAAAGTCGAATAATAAAGCGTATCATACAGCTTTTTTATTAATCATCATCCTCTCGACTTTGTGTATTTACAGGGCGTTATTTGTGAATAATTTCGATGTGGAGAATTATTGAATTGTGGCGAAGAGAGCAAAGAGAGAAGACGAAGCTGCTGCTGATAACATAGTCTGTAACATTCAACCCGCTATCCATACATACCTTCTTCAGGAGGAGAAAGATATCCTTAAGCGACGCGTAACAAACTGGTGAGTTTCGCAATATTTTCTATAATAACTAAATATCAGCATCTTCCATTCGAGTGAGCTTTCCATGTAATTGCGAGTGACCCTTTTGACAACGTGCGAACAATTTGATGGGGAAATTGAAAAGAGTCAACGGTTTAATATTGAATACAATAAATAAATCCTGGCGGTCGTTTTGCAATTTATTAGCATAACTATTCCTCACGATGCATCGCGGACGTGCGAACGATTTGTTGCCGCAATGGCAAGACACTTTACCTATCAGCAGGTAGGTATCAGGCGAAATAATGGTGATTTAATTGAATAAGTGCGCGTGCGAATGCCATAATTCAAATTCTCTCGGATACTATATTCCTTCTTATGCTGCATTTCTCCTGCGAAAAGATTCTCTCCGTACACACAATATTTCACGCAAAGTGCGTGGAACTCTTTCGCTGGTGATGTACTGGGATTTCCTTAGCTGAAAGCATTTTGCAAATTGAATGTACATAACCATTATTCTCCCAGATTGTCGGTCACAATATCTGTGGAGTGGCTCAATGGGGGGAACAAACAGCAACGGCATAGTTAAAGCTTAAACTGTTAGGAAGTACATTTCTCTGCGAGATATGTAGACCACCTGAAGAGTTGCTCGTACATCCGTCAGTCACAGTTTTTTCCTCACCACACAAATGAAATTACACATTTATATTTAATAAATCTATAAATCATCTTCTTATTCAGTCCTATGTACACAATGACCACACATGGCAAACAATGTTACAAATGATTTTCAGAAATGTTCTTCTGCGTTTAGAGATTTTTCAATGCGTGATTGGTGTTTTTTTTCCTCCTTTCCTTACGATTGTGCAATATTATTTTATGTGTTCATTGATCCTCAAGAATGCAGTTTTTTTCTCACTGAACAATTATTATTATTATCAAATGAACGACGCGTCAATGTCACATTTAAATGTATTTATTTTCTATTTTATACTTTTTTATAGGCAATAAAAGTTATATTGGCGCTGTGAAGCAAACATTGGGTACAAGCCTTTAGCTTTTAGTTTACAATCGTGTAAAAAAAGAGAGGCGAAATAAATTCTAAGTGCCTATAGATAGGCACCTGCCGACAAGAGAGCGTCATTCTAAATACCATTTCCTCTTTAGGAAGATTTAGGCAAGGCAAAAACGGCTGACACATTGCATGAGTTTCACTAGGTGAAATAGGATTACGCTGTGTGCACTGTGTGGCATAGAGAAAATGTCTATTACTAGATCAAATCGTCAAATTGTACATATTCCCGTCTTCCGGGATCGTGATTTGTGCTTGAGCGTTTCTCTCTCACTCTGCTGCACTGCAAAAAGATTTATCATTGCACGGCAATGGTGTGTGCAGAGCAATAATTGTATGATATTTACGTGGCTATGTTGCCCAAATATCTTTTTCACTGGGACATTTTCTCATCCATTTGTTTCCCATGCGCGGCAGACGGGGAAAAAGTCCGTTGTCAATTGGGTGAAAAGCAATAATTATAGCTGTGAAAGAGTGGAGAGAGATAAGAGGAGATAAAAGTCCGTTCTCTCAAAACTATAAAGCGAGAATAATTGGTTTTCCAATTTATGGAAATATACGATGTGCGATGGGTTCGACATTTTTTGCTGTTAAGAACCTATTTACTCTGTGACTTATCAATTTATGTGTTTACTAGGACTTGTATATCTCGACAGATAGGATGGCGATAGGAGTGAATAGAGACGGAGTGTGTTGGGTGGAAAATATCTGAGACTTATGACATGAGATGTGTTCTCGTGGCATAAGAATGGCAGTGATAATTGGAGATGAGACAGACTGTAAAGGGGTGGGCAGGGTGATTGGTGTGTTGAGAGAGCCGTGTATAGACATGACATTCGAGGAATTGTTGTGCACACACAATTAGAAAAGTCCCCATAATTCGCGTCTCTTTATCAATAAGCACCAAGTGTAATTTTCTATCATTATCGTTGAAATCATCAATTTGTATGTAATTTTACCTCTAAAGACGAGAGTGCGAGAGAGAGAAAGATGGGCGGGACACGCCTATGAATGGCCTATAGTCTGATGAATATGTCAATCAGAAGACAATATTGCTTTATGATGAAGCGCGAAAGATGTGTGAATATATATATTTCCTTACAATTCTGCGCCGATGGCATTGGTGGTGGGCTTTAGCATTTGCGTTGGAATTTCCTCTGATGGGAAAACAATCTTCTAATGTTGCTATTGTTATTCTGTCTTCTTCTCTGTTGCAGAAATAAAATGGTTCTAGTGTTAAATGGTGTTCTACAAGATGACTGTCCATTGAATACAACATCGCTATTTCTGCAGCATCCCGTCTACAGAGATCATGCCAATCAACTGCTATCGATCCCAACTAAAACGGTAATGTGAGTCAACTGGTGATGTGTGGACAGTGGATACTATCCTCCCCCTTTTGCCTGCAGGTGGGTCCCGTGGGACTCCTCTATGTCCGCCAAAGAGAGATGGCCGCTGTGGCGCCGCACGATAAGAATGTCACAATAATCGGCTCTGATGATGCAACAACGTGCATAATCGTTGTTGTCCGACACTCTGGGTCCGGTGCCGTGGCCCTGGCTCATCTTGATGGCGCTGGCACAGATGAGGCCGTCTCGGCGATGGTGGCGCGCGTTCAGGAGCTGGGTATTGGCTATCCGGAGGGACGCATTGAGTTGCAGCTGATCGGTGGCTTCCGTGATCAGAAGGGATACTCCGAGGATTTGTTCTACAACATAATGCGTGAGTAAATTTGCCATGAGATTCCATAATTGGGAAATATCCTGTTCATTGTATGCTGTGAGAGAAAATCAGATACAGCACTGCATTGAGGTGTGAGGAAGTGACGTTGAACTTAATTAATTAAACCGTCAGTGGAAGAGACAGAGAGAGAGAGAGAGAAATTGGATAAGGATGTAATGTGGCAATAGTATGGCGTTTAAATCAGTGGCGTCGGGAGTAAAGAGCGTAATATTTCAAATTCCTTTCTCAGAATAACATTTCTATGCAAACATTATATGAAAATTTCATTACAAGGTGATATTTTTAAAGTCTAGAAACCCAGGAAGACACTTAGACACTTTCTACGCTACTGATTTGCGTACATGTGTGCACAAGGGGGTGAATTTGGAGGGGTTGAGTGAGTGTCTGACGTGTAAAGAAGATTATATCTAGCTTTACGACTCTTCTTACATCATTTGTTTACCAAGCCATACACTCAAATTGAAGATGCAAGGTGGGCTGTGGAGCGGGAGTGGATTTTCCCTTATCCACACAGCACTATCTTGCCTATATAGTACACACATTGTAGATTATTCACTCTAATGATGTCCAGTTAGAGGCAATTTGAGATGAGGTGGAAGACTCTCGGCCAAGATATCGATATTCAGGACACCGGGAAGGAGGAACTTGTCGTAAATTGTATTAATTATATTTGAAGACTCTGTGCAAAATGTGCGATGGCGAGAGTGGGGAGTGCAAATGTGGATCATAAAAATCATTAATGCCAATTAAATTGGTCGCAATTAGTTGGTTGAGACAATCATTTTCAACATTGTGGCTGTAGATGGAATTGTGCCAATTCGACATGTTCAATTGGCATGAAAAGGTACCGTACATATATCTATGCGGTGTTTTTTAATCCTCCCATTAGTATCAGCCCCAGAGATAGTAAATTGATGTATAATTCGTTGTAATTGATATTGCACTCCTCTCCGTATGTTCAATTATTAATATGATCACTTTTCGTTGAGGATAGAGTGAGTCTCGAGTCCTGAATCTGAATTATACAGGCGATTATTGTGTGTCTCTGGCAAAGATTTTAATATGCTATATAGAGGAGTTGTGTGACCACTATTTAACCCCTGAGAGAGAGAGGAAGATGATTGAATTAGTGGAATATGGAATGGGATTGAAATTCAATAATGCTTTTATTTCCTCTCATCAAATATGACTACTCTTGGCAGTTGCTCTTGATGTGTTGAGTGAACGCTTCTCAAATCAAATCTCTATTGCCGCCTTCCCATGCCGCCGCTCGTCGGCTTAATTATTTAATTTACGCATTTGTAAAGTATGTTAAGTGATGACAGAGGGATAAGCCTATTCAGGGTGTAATTGCATTGAAAAACTGACCACACAGTAATTAATGGGGATAATTAGTTGAGTACATGGGTGATATTATGTTAAGGAGGAAACACAGGGTCTCTATTATGTACTATATTGTGCGTATACAATTGACGGTTTGACATGCAACAAGCACCAAATTAAACTAATCAATTTCTTGAGATGTGGAAAATGGACCCTTGTTGAGGGGACCGCCGCACAGTGACGATTACAACTCTCCCTTCGTCTTGGTCGGTTTTGTAACAACATTTTCCATGTACTCCCGGATTAATCGGTGTTATTTGTTCTTTTAAAGCCCCCAGCATGAGTGAGACGGGTGGGTGGATGCCGGACAGTGTACGCATTGAGGCGTTCTGTGTTCTTATGCTGTGAAAGGATATTCATGGCACATATAATAGTTGTGTGTGAATTGAACTATTTTGAATTAGTTGAGGTAGTGTGGTGGATGTTATATGTGCTGGAGGAAGTGTGCATATGTTGGATGGGAATAATTTAAATGGCCAGAGAGTGGGTGGAGGAAGAGAGTTTGGACATTGGAAACAGATTGATTTGCTATGGATGAAAGAGGACAAGCTGACCGCCATTCATAATGGGACAAATCTCCAACAAAGTTTCTGTCCATCAGTCGTTGTCTATTCCCATCGTTTGTGTAAGATTTGTTATTCTCCATGTCTCTCCTCACTGTGGACGGGGTGAAGTGGTGAAGGGAGGAAGGGGAAGGGGGGAAAATGAGACTGATGGTCAATGGAGAAATGGGGATTGAGTGAGAAATGTGAGATTTTGGTCTCGCATTTGAATATGCTGGGAGATTTCTCAGAGTGTGGAATTGATTGGGTCACTCGATTGCGCATCCCAATAAGACTAATCATCAGTGTTTGAATCATGTGGGATGTTTTTCTTCTTCTGGACTACACAGAAGCATTTCACAAGCATCCGCTGGAGATTGATCTGACACAGGCGTGCGTGATGGACCTCAACACAACAGTTCGTGGTGATATAAACTGGCCAATTATCTACGGTGTTGGTGTTAATGTGAAGAATGGTGACATCTTTCCCGCCACCTTTCCCGACAAGGGTCCAGACTTGCCGCTGCGCCTGGCGAGGAGTTTCACAGGAGGCCAAACAGTTGGTTGAAATCACTTTCTGTCCGTTAGCTATGCTACAATTTTTTCTTCTTCTCTCAGGTACTCGACATCTATGATTCCAACGTTGGGATGCTGCGAATTGGACCCTTCAACTATGATCCCCTGAGAGGTGTTGACTTGTGGTTGGCACAAAGTGACGAATTCCTCCTACAGCATCTCTCAACTAGTCCTGAAGTTGAACCGCCAACATTCGCCATGCAACTCCGATCCACTCTTAGATACATTCAGGACAATCAGTTTCCGGCCGTGACGGTGTTTCCGGACAACAGGCCACACTATTACAGGCGCGACGAGTCGACGGGATGTTGGCAGTTGGTGCGCTACTGAGCGGATTGTTTTTACACGATGGAGAGAGGAGAACGTTGCTGCGGAGGAACTTCACTGTGGAGGGCGAGATTGACTAAGCTGATGAAAGAAACAAGTGATATATTAAAATGAAATTAGATAGAGTAATGGTTAATTGCAATATGTGAGGAAGACAGAAATTGCTCCCGAGATGTGTGAGTAGAGAAATATCTGAGAGACTTGGAACATTTCTTTTTTGATATTGAATAATATGTTAGAGGATAGAACTGATCGCACAGAATGAAAAATTGTTTTCTGCCGAAATCACTACCGATTCCCGTAAAGCGTGTAATATTGTACATATGAATGTATTCCTCCAGATACACCACACTTGCCATATTCTTAATTTATTGAGAGAAAGAGAAACATTATTTTCTGTAGAGCTTTGCAATATGTTTATTTACACCTCAGTTACTGTCCCTTGTTATGAGCAGATAAAATATTCCAGGAAAAGAGATTATCTGTAAGAGAACACTTGAATTCATTGAAATCATGCTAATAAATAGATGCGCAATATTTACTAGTGTAGTTTTTATATATTTTCAAAAATTATTCCTATCACACTTATTTCAATTCTGTACACAAAATGCTTCATCCGGGGCTTCATCTGTCCTCTTGTTTGGGATCAGCCGGCTTAGGGAAGTACTGATTATATAACTTCTTGGCTCCCTGTAAATAACAATAACACATTGTTTCACTCGTGCTAATTTCATTGCTATGATTTCGTGGAATTAATTATCTGGCTAATATGCTTCATTATGATAAGGAATCCTTACGATAACGATGGGGAGCTCTCCTCTCTCGTGCTCTTTCACCAAACTATCGACATTCTGAATACTCGACCATAAGTAGTGGATCCCAAAGATTGAAGGTACCATCACTACCAGGACTATATTCTTTTTCATGAACTGCCCAAATGACATCTTGGAGCCTCACAATTGTTACAATTTTGGGAAAAAGCAATGAGACACTCCGCGATGAAAACCAAAACAATGGATTTGTGGTTATGTGTGCGTTTGTGCGAAAAAGGCCTATCGGCTTTTCGATATTCGATATGCTTAAATTCATAATTTTGTGGTGGTTGTAACGATGGCCTCTTTTCTTCATGTTCTTATCAATTATTAAAAATTTATTTTATATCACATTCGTCTACAGGTAGTACCAATAGGACTTATTCTTGAGCGTTGTGTAGCGCCGATTGTCGTAATTGTTGGTAATCAGAATTGTTGTGTTGTTCCTCAATGGAATATTTGCAGAGTCTGCCTCAGCAGTGGTCACAATTTGACTAGCATCCTTCGCTTGGAGCCTCTGTCGCCGCCGGCTGAGCAGGAAGCACAGCCACATGGACAGCGGGATGATGGCGAAGAGGACAGGGATGAGGAAGAGGAGGAAGAACTGATTTTTCAGGAACTGGCTCTCCGGCATCATCACATGCAGAAGTGTCTCTTGGATTCTGTACCCGTTGTAGTTCATGCTGACGCACACATAGAATCCACTGTCCTCTTCGGTGACGTGATTAATTATGAACTTACTTAAATATGTATCACGGCCCACGAGCTTCTGGCCCGACGATTCGACACTCTCAAACGTGCTCTCCAGGTGCTGGATCACGTGAGTGTAGCTGTCGCCGGAGAATGATGGGTAGTTGCTGGTGTTGTCCTGCTTCTTGAACCACCGAATGGACGGCGGAATGCGGCTGTAGACTTTGCAGGGCAGCACCGCAGTGCCGTCCAGAGGGACTGACACGTTTGCGCCGAAGCCCAGGAATTCAGGAGGAGAATCCATGGGATCAGAAGACACCACGTCCAGTTGGTATGTGTTGACCACGTGGATGCCCAGAACGGTGCGATTGTCTGGACGATAGGGATTCATGCTGCAACGGTAGAGGCCCGAATTGGCCTCCGAAGGACTCTTGATCACCAGCGTGGGCTGACAAGGCGAACCATCGCAATTCAGGCGAGTCCACGTCTTCTCCCCATCGGTCTTGCATGACGTCCTGTTGCGGGAATTTCCGCAAGGCTGCAGTGAGTGAGATAAATTGATTTAGGAAAGTCAGCAGCCAGTCTGAGCTGAAGATCATTACCTTGAAATACCACTCAATCTCTGAAGATACCATGTAGTCAGAATGACTGTTCCTGATGCCACATCTCAAGGTAACTTCACTGCCTTTCACCAATTGAATGTGTTTCAGTTGCTCGGGTTCTGTGTGAATTCTCCCCTTTCTGCTTTCTATTTGGTAAACATGATAACTTTGAGGCTTAGAGAAGATTGGAAAGTGATCAATTAAATGTGCATAAATACCTGATTTGATAAGTGCAATGCTGCCCAGCAGCCAGACGGTAATCCAAAGGAAAATCAGGTGATTTCTAATGGAAGAACTGCCCATGCTGAAGCCCCCAGTGTTCCTCCATTCGTGACTAGAGTGCGATTGGGAGAATCTTCAGACCATGTGGGCTTTTCTCAGCCGCGAGAATATTCCTCTCTTTACACGGTGTGAAATTTATTTGTTACGTTTATTTTCACAATATCTCAAATGATGGTACTCAACGTGGTTGTTTAAAACACCCAACAGAAAACAAACAATTGGCCGTGGCGCACGAGGATTACTTTTGGGCGGGAGTGAGAAGAAAAATTGCGAAAATATTTTGAAGAAATTAATTGGGTGTTGAAAGTGGATTTTCACCGCGATCATACGTTACACTCTTTCCCATGACTGACGCATTGATTTGGGCATTAGCACAGGTATAAATGTATTCTCTTCCACCCGAAATCTCTGGAGAAATTTGTGCACAGTGAGGCAGAAAAAGAAATCTGGATATAATTGTGTAATACGCGCCTCGATAAATCTCTCAACTTCAAAGGCGCACCGCAATAAACAGAAACTGATAAAGCAATGTGGTGGTGTACGATAAGTGATTCACATCATAGACTTGGCCATATACACACAATTTTGGGGAGATTACGAACTCCTTCAGGCGCTGTGATTACGTACAATTCGGCGCTATTTGCCCTACGCAATGAATCGCCTTCAGAGGCGCACCATTAGCGGGATTTGTTTATAAATATTCACACCAGCCCAATTGTACCACTGATCGCGTGTATTTTATTTGCGAATCTCAATGGGTATCGAAAGAAGTAGCTGACTCCCAACGGTCACAGATACGACTGACTTATGCCGCGCTCCGCAATCTAATCGCGCCTTCGTTCCACCGGGAATCAAGGTGTTCAGTAGAGTCTATCAATTTTATTGGGTGTGAGCGAGACGACAGAGGCTAACACTTGTGGAAAGAGTTGGTGATTTATCGGAGAGGGGCTGATATTGCCAGAAATCGCTGCTATTTAGCTTGTTGGATGGAAAAATTTCACTCAAATCACTGGATAATGAAGCCAATACATGAAGATTCCTCTGTCTATTCAATTGATGCAAAATCATTGCTTCAGTTTATGTTCTTATCCTATAGAAGAAAATTGATTTGCATCACATTAGCGAGCACACTGCGAAGCTTCCCACGCAGCCGTAAAGTTGTATTTATTGAGCGTCAGCACACACAGAAAGCGCTATATTGATAAGTTGATAAGTGAACAATGTTCAATTCAGGAGTGAATGAAGAGTTATTCAATTCTCACTTGAAAAGAGGAAAATGAAGAGAGGCCAATAAATTAATTATATTTGAGGGCGGCAAAGCGCTTTGTGGCCATAAATCGCCTATCACTGTGGGAGTAACAAATTAACTTCCGACGGATCTCTTTTATTTGGAGCCAATTCACAAATTGCTGCTGCTACTTCATCAATTTCTCCTTAATCTCAGTCATCTCGACCGTGTTCTCTGTCAGCAGATCCACGAGGATGTCCACCTTGAGCTGCAGAAGATTGTTCTCCTCGGAGAGTTTTGTGATCTTCTCTTTCAGCTGCTGATTATTGTTACTTGCTGATGCCTTGGCATTTTTACTGGTGGAACTCCAGCAGCCATTGGCGAAAGTGTAGCCACCGTCATCGCTGAGTTGCAAGTGAATATTCCTGAACTCCTCGAGTTTTTCATGGATCCGCGGGCAATCACTCTCCAATACTCGCTTATTTCGCGGTGGGGCACTTTTGTAGGAGAATTTCTTGGAAAATATTGGCATATTCACGGAAACTCAGATGATTTTCCACTTAAAAAGCACTATTGTTGATAAATAGAATTTCCATGGCAACGCGTCTCCCATAACATTCAGTGTTCTCATAACACGAACGAGGGTTTTTGTGGGGAAGAATCTAGTTAGTGATGTACTGTTCTTTTTTAATGAAAAATATAATAAGGTATTTATTTTTTTAAATATCCACTTTGCCAAGAGCACGTAAATACTTCCAGCAACTTAATGACTTTGTTAGCACATCTGCTCGTGTAGCATGTCCAAGGGAGAAGCACCTGGAAGCGAGAGTCAGGATGTCAAGTAAAGTTCAATAAACTCGTCATTTATGGCTGTGTTTTTTATCAGATATCAACTTCCAGGCGTGTAATCGGCAAGTATGAGGAGTGCATAGATAGCCAACAGAAAGAGATTGAGTTCTACAGAGAGGAAAACCAGAGACTGAGGGAAAATATTGAGTTTATTGTGGAGGAGAACAATAGACTGTCGTCAGAGGCGAAAATTCGAAATGTTTCTCAGGAGGATATCTTCAAAGGTGTGGACAATGAGAGGCAAATCCACACTGCAGCTCTGATGAATCTCAAGAGTCAGGTGGATCTCCTCAAGGAGGAGAAGAATGACTTGGAGACATTGTGGACGCTGTCTAAAGACACAGTGACGAATTTAGAGAAGGAAATTATCGAGTACAGAAAGCTTCTCAATGAGCCAAATTCAATTATCAGCCTCAAGAAAGAGTATTCCCGGACAATACGCTTTCTAGAAGAGAAGATAGCCAATCTGCAGAGAGACTTAGAGGCTGAGAGATCGCTGAGTAGTGATTTGCAACTGAACAAGGACGAATTGAGTAGAAGAATTGAAGTTATTGAGCTCAGGCATTCGACATCTCAGGAGGAATTGGCCAAAACTGAGCTCTTTCTGAAGAAAACCAAAGAGGAAATCGTCAGCATCATGAAAGACAGACTGTATCTGGAGAAGAACCTCCATCAGAGCTACCTTCAGGCCAGAGAGTACGCGGACAGAGAGATTGTGGCTCTGGCAAAGGTCCAGGAAGCCCTAAATATTGCCGAGTGTGCAATAGCTGACAAGGGAAGAGCCATGGCCAAAGAGGACGAAATGCGAGAAGAATACGATAAATTGGCTAGTGAAATGAAGAGGGTGATTACAGAGGCTGCGGCCAAGGTGCAAGAGGAAATCTCTCGGACGAAGAGCAAGTACATGGAGAAGATAAAGAGTCTGGAGAGTTCTAATCAAAAGGTAACACATAAATATTCAAATTGGCGCATGACTTAAAATGCTTGTCTTTGCAGACAAGAGAACAACTGGCGCAAGAAGTACGAAAATCTGCAACTGTGGAAAAGCAAATGAACCAATTGGAGGAGAAATTGAGAGATGTGATGCAGAACAATACCGCATTGGACACAGATTTGCGAATTGCATCGCAATCAATTGTAAGAATTGATTGAAATTGTAAAAAAAATGAACCAAAATTAGATTCCTTTTCAGATTGAAATGGAGGTGAAGTTGGAGGCGTTCCAGAAGCTCCTCAACACTGGCCAAAAGACCACGATGATCTGTGAAGAGAGGACGAAAGAGCTGGAGAACTTCCTCGATCATCAGAGGAAATTGAAGGAACAGTGGAAAAATGTGGTCAATGAAGTCACTGTCAAACTGCAGATGGAAATCAGCAATCTTCAGAGAGAAAATGCCTCTTTGGCTGCAGAGAATTCCAAATTGCGACAGAAGATGGATGGCTAAATGGGAGGATTACCTGCAAATAGTGATGCTACTGCCTCGGGAAGAGACTGGGAAAGTAGTAAATCGGCACTTCACTTTGCAGATCAACCCAAACCAGACCATCACCGATTATTTTATCCATTACTTGCTTCGCCCGAAACTCCGTCCATCTGCAAAAGAGGATGCATTTATCATTGCCTGTATTTTGATAAACACTTTTCATGCAATACTCACTCTAGTTTGCCTATGACAATCTTCAGAGTGATGCTGCCGTCCTTCTCATTGGCGGCAATGTTGAGCACAGCAGTGGTATCCAGGCTGAGTTCTCCTGGCACAGATTGAATCATGTATTTACTAGGTCCGACCGGAAGGACTTTGAAGCCATTCCCGAATATCTTCAGTTTTTTGGCCGCCGTCAGGATGTCGTCTTTCGTGATGGCTTGCTTATTGGCTCCTCTCGAGGCATTCAGGCGCTTCTTCAAGTCATCCAATTCGATCAATCCGCCGGTATCGTCGTTGGCAGCCAGGCACACCTCTATCACTTGAATGGCCAGCTCGTAATAGAAGTCACCCATGCCCAGGATGCTCCAGAAGCCCTTTCCGGACACCAGAGGATCCACACCAATTGTGGCGCACATTTCCTGAAACTGCCGCCGGAACTGTGGATTTTTCTTGATCTCGTTGCGATGCTTCATGGCAAATTCCTCCAAATTGCTTCTAAACACCTCCATTTGACGAGACATTTGCTCGAATTGTGTCTCTTGAATCTCGATTCCCTTGTCCTTGTACTTTTCTGCCTCCAACTTCTGCTTCTGGATAGCCCCAATTCCAGCTCGTCGACGCATCTTGCAGGATTTCTGAATTTTCCGTGATTTGTTAGAAAATGTATCCAGAAATGATATTTGATAAAAATTCACGATTATTACCTTATAAAAAGCGTGGAAAATAAAATATTTTGTGGACAGAAAATTGTCAGTATATTTCTTATGTTTACCTTTTTGCTATATGGAAATCCCGGTAGAGTCGCTGTGGTCACAGTGAGGAAAACATACGCGCTGGTGCCGCAGTGAAAACGTATAAACGCTTCACATTTTCGTTGGTTTTCCTGTGTTTTTAGTGGCAATATTGGTGAGACATTACTATATTTGCAAAGGTAAGATCAGGCTTTATGTGAATATATTGAAGAATTTCTGTGAGGTCGTGTTAAACACCGTTGAATTGAAGAAAAACATGACGCCGGTTTGTAAGGTTAAGTTCCGAATGTCTTCTTCAGGTTCCGTGAATTTGGTAATAAACCATGGATCAGGATTTGTACGATGAATTCGGCAACTACATTGGCCCAGATCTGGAGAGCGACGATGACGATGATCAGAGCATCTACGGGCAGCCCGAGCAGCCGGACGAAATGGATGAGGATGCAATTGAGGAGGACGAAATAGAGGCGGATGATGAGAAGCGTTCCCGGGCGATTGTGTTACATGAAGACAAGAGATACTATCCGACGGCCTTAGAGGTGTATGGGCAGGACGTAGAGACGATAGTTCAAGAGGAGGACGCTCAACCTCTGGACAAGCCTCTCATTGAGCCGGTGAAGAAAATGAAGTTTCAGCTGAAGGAGCAAGAGCTGCCCGAAACGACCTACAACATGGAGTTTCTCGCTGATCTGATGGATACGCCGCCACTGATAAGAAATGTGGCTCTTGTGGGTCATTTACATCATGGTAAGACCACATTTGTCGACTGCCTCGTGCGTCAGACTCATCCGCAGTTTCAGGTGATGGAGGAGAGAAATCTCCGATACACAGACACACTGTTCACTGAGCAGGAGCGCGGTGTGAGCATCAAGGCGACGCCCATCACGCTCGTCTTGCCAGATGTGAGACAGAAGAGCTTCTTGATGAACATCTTTGACACTCCCGGCCATGTGAATTACTCTGATGAGGTGACTGCGGCGCTAAGGATCTGCGACGGAGTTGTTCTGTTTGTGGATGCCGCCGAAGGGGTGATGCTGAACACTGAGCGTCTGCTGAAGCATGCAATTCAGGAGAAAATGGCCATCACAATCTGCATCAACAAGGTATTTATTGCCCTTCTTGTCTGTACAACTCTATTGTGCTGAGTAGTGCTTTCCGTGAGTGAGATGGAGAAGGAGATCCAAGGCCCATTTGGGCTGATCCAGTGGAACCATGTGGCCAGCGTCTCTCACTAGAATCTCTATCAAGTTCCCCGCTTCCTTCACATATCCCGCAATCTCACCATCCACTCGCCAAATGCGCCTCTCAGCCGCCAAGTATTGATCGTGATCCTTAAAATCCAATTGCTGCAGATAGTTTACAGTGAGCGGATAGGCCACGATTATGTCCAGCTGTCCGCTGTAGAAGACAATAGGGTAGTAGGATAGCAATTCGCCGATCCAAAGCGCTACAGATTTCATGATATCCCGGATGAGAAAGGTTCCCACTTTGTTTTCGTCCAAGCCGTGGAATGTGAGATTTCCCACGTGAATGGCTTTCCTCATCTCAGCATTTCCAATCAATTTGGCCATTGCAGCAGACCCATCGTCGGTGAGAGTGCTGAGATAATTGTAGTACTGGACTAAACCTGTGAGGTTTTGGAAGAGAGAATTCTGTCCGTTGTCTCCGTCAATTAGGCGATCCATGAGTAGAAAGGCTGCGGTGTAATCACCGTTTTCTATTAGCTTCTCAGCACTTCTTTGGTATTTCGCAAAGAGATTCTTCGCATTGTCATCAATCAGTCCAATTTGATACAGATAATCGCCATAATTGAGCTGATGAAGTGGATCTGAGAAACCATCACCAATTGCCATTCCTTTTAAATTGATCACTTCATTGTCGGCCACTTGATTCTGATGGTGAATTTGATAGCCCAATGCTGGTATGTATTTTCCTGCATAGGATTCTCCAGTGATGTAGAAGGGATTTTTTCTCAACTCTGGGAATAGCTTAAAGAATTGCTGCATAGTCTCGTAGAGATTCTCTCCAACGGACGTCTCACTTGTCGAATAGCCCAAATCGTTGTCCGTGAAGCTGAATCCTGTTCCAACTGGATTGTCAATGTAAATTAGATTATGGTGCATGTGCCAGGAGTATTTCCTGGGCGGATAATCGAGATCTTCAGTGACGGAGAAGGGGCCATTTTCGCTGAAGAGACCAAATAGCGATGAAGCTCCTGGTCCGCCTTGAAGCCAGAGAACAACTGGGGCATTGTCTTTGTCGTTTTGTGCCCTGAAGAACCAGAAGAACATGTTGGAATTATACTTCTTGTTCACTGTAAAGTAGCCTGCGTGACTCTCGATCCAGTCCAGTTTTGCATGAGTGACGAAAGATAAGTTTTGTGCCATTGATATCTTCCCGGCTTCGATCAGGGGCGTGAGAAAGAGAGGCTCTCCAGTGTCTTCATTGTCTTTCGGGGTGTGGGACTTGATTTTGGGATATGGATTGTGGAATTGAGCACACACTGAGGCAAATAACAAACAAACGTAGAAGAGAACACTTGATTGAATCCTCATCCTGGCGTCTGAGTTGATTTAGAGAATTGTGACTGCTTCTGACACTGTCAATTGCGTTAGTTATATCACATTCAAACAAAGAAGTTGAATAACAGGGAGAAGTAGTTAATTTGATGATGTAGCAATTCAGCAATCTCTGGAGTGCTTCTCTTTAGATTGCAGCACATTTAATGGGCAACCCTGTTTGTTATTATTAATTCAATATGAGGAGATAATAAGGCATGACTTTTGGGCAAAGTTGAAGTGATGAAAATGAAAAGATGAAGCAAAATGCTAACCAGAACCAGAACGATAATGCGTATCATGGAATTTTGACTATTTCAGATTGATCGTCTGGTGCTCGAGCTGAAACTTCCTCCTCAGGATGCGTATTTCAAGCTAAAGCACATTGTTGAGGAGATTAATGCCCTAATTGGCATTTACACCGGCTCTGGAGGAAATGCACCTGTTATCTCACCAATTCTGGGTAATGTTTGCTTCGCCAGCTCACTTTATGGCTTCTGCTTCACTCTCAAGTCCTTCGCGAAGATGTATGCCGACACTTATCCTGGTGTGAACATCGTGGAGTTCTCACGACGCCTTTGGGGTGACATGTACTTCCACTCGAAGTCGTAAGTGCAACTAAATAATAATGTGGAAAGTATTTCTCTCTGATGGCTTGAATTTTACAGACGACGATTCACCAAGAAATCGCCACACAATTCAGCACAGCGGAGCTTCGTGGAGTTCATCCTTGAGCCACTGTACAAGTTGTTTGCTCAGGTTGTTGGCGATGTTGACACCACGTTGATGGACACTCTGACTGAACTAAACATAAAGTTGACGAAGGAGGAATCCAAGAGCAACATTCGACCTCTTTTGCGTCTGATAATGAATCGCTTCTGTGGGGATTTCTGTGGATTCGTCGACATGTGTGTGGAGCATATAAAGTCTCCTCTGGACAACAGCAAAAACAAGGTGGATCACATTTACACGGGAGTCAAAGAGGGTTCACTCTACGATGACATGCTGAAATGCAACCAGAACGGACATCTTATGGTGCACAGCTCGAAAATGTATCCCACGGAAGATTGTACGTTTTTCCAAGTGCTCGCTCGGGTGGTCAGTGGAACTCTGCATGCTGGACAGGAGGTGCGAGTGCTTGGTGAGAATTATTCTCTGCAAGATGAGGAAGACTCCAGAGTTCTTCAAGTGGGTCGGCTCTGGATCTACGAGGCGCGGTACAAGGTGGAGCTGAATCGCGTACCAGCTGGAAATTGGGTTCTGATTGAGGGAATTGATCAGTGTATTGTGAAAACATCCACAATCACGGACGTTGATCACTCTGAGGACATGTATATATTCCGGCCGCTGAAATTCAATACTCAAAGCATTATTAAGATTGCTGTGGAGCCGGTGAATCCCTCAGAATTGCCCAAGATGCTGGATGGATTGAGGAAAGTGAACAAATCCTATCCATTGTTGAGCACCAGAGTTGAGGAGTCTGGTGAGCACGTTATTCTGGGTACGGGAGAGTTGTATTTGGACTGTGTGATGCATGACTTGCGGAAGATGTACTCAGAAATTGACATCAAAGTGGCCGATCCGGTGGTGGCGTTTTGTGAAACTGTCGTGGAGACGAGTTCGCTGAAGTGCTTCGCCGAGACGCCGAATAAGAAGAACAAAGTGACTATGATTGCTGAGCCGCTGGAGAAGGGACTGGCGGAGGACATTGAGAACGACGTGGTGAGCATTGGATGGAATAAGAAGAGATTGGGAGAATTCTTCCAAGTGAACTACGACTGGGATCTTCTGGCGGCCCGATCGATCTGGGCATTTGGACCGGATGTCACTGGGCCCAATATTCTCGTGGACGATACTCTGCCCTCTGAGGTGGACAAGAGTCTGCTGGGAACAGTGAAGGACTCCATCGTGCAGGGCTTTCAGTGGGGCACTCGCGAAGGACCGCTCTGTGAGGAGCCCATCAGGAATGTGAAGTTCAAGATCCTGGACGCGGTTATTGCAAATGAACCTCTCCATCGTGGTGGAGGTCAAGTGATCCCGACAGCGCGAAGAGTGGCATATTCGGCTTTCCTAATGGCCACGCCACGTCTGATGGAGCCCTATCTCTTCGTGGAAGTTCAGGCTCCTGCTGATTGTGTGTCTGCAGTGTACACTGTGTTGGCGAGAAGGAGAGGACATGTCACCCAGGATGCACCTGTTCCCGGATCTCCGCTGTACACAATCAAAGCCTTCATTCCGGCAATTGATTCATTTGGTTTTGAGACTGATCTCCGAACTCACACGCAGGGTCAAGCATTTTGTCTGTCAGTCTTCCATCACTGGCAAATTGTGCCGGGAGATCCTCTCGACAAGAGCATCATCATTCGACCACTGGAACCTCAGCCAGCCACACATTTGGCTCGGGAATTCATGATTAAGACTAGAAGGAGGAAAGGTCTCTCAGAGGATGTCTCCATCAACAAATTCTTCGACGATCCCATGTTGCTGGAGTTGGCGCGACAAGACGTCCTCCTCAATTATCCACTATAAGGCAAGTTTCAGTGCGTCACATTGCGAAAAGAGCCTCATGTTGAATTTATTATGTTTTACAGGTATTTATGTAAGTCCTCACTCCCACAAAACGATGCTCTTTTTCCTCTGGATCATTCGCTGCTGATGATGGAACTTCTGAACTTTCTGGAAGTGCTCGAGAAGAGCATTGAAATCTATACTACTTTGGTTTTCAACGGATAGCGACGAGTCTGCTGTGACGTTATGGCCCCAGTACATGGGAACACACTGGAGGCGGTTTTTGAGCAGATGGAATGCGTCAGTTTGCGGCAGGAGCATCAGAATGCCGAAGAGGGCTTGAGCCAAGTAGTGGCCATCTGGGGACTTCTTCTCCTGGGAGATCAAAGTGAGGCGAAGCGCTGAAGAAATGAGAAACAATGTTTTAAATTGGAAAATAGAGAAAAATGAGAGTGAAAATTCTTACATGCGAATATGGGAGATTCAATCAGCTGGACCAATTTGTCAATTTCAGTGAGAAATTCCACAGTGACTTCGAGGTTGCCGCTGTAAAGAGGATGGAATTGAGGCCAGGTTAAGGGTATTGAAGCGTGCATTTATACTCACAATATGACCACCAATGCGGACACGTGTTGATAGCATTGCGCCAAGAGGCAGAGTGATAGTGTTGATACAGGACAATGGGCCCAGCATTTGTACAGGCACTCGAATAGCGTGGCGGATTTCTGCATAGAACAATGATCACAGTTTCAGCACAAAAGGCACCGATGGTGAATGGGATAAAAGGTATAGTGTGTACCTTATTGCGGATATCCTTGAGGGAGTTTCGCAGATCAAAGAGCTCAGATGCCGTGAGCAGGATTGTGTTTAGCGTACGAACCATCGTTGAGGCGAACTTGATATTTGTTGTCTCTTCACAGATGATCTCAGCAAAGGTGCGGTAAATGAGCTCGGCGTTTAGGAGCACACAGAGTTGACGAATAATGAGTGATCCCTTGTTTTCTAGAAAGGATTTCTCCTCACTGAATAGATTGAGGAGGCTGACGAGGAATTTTCTGTATTGCGTTTGTTTGAAGTCATCATCGGCGCTGTTGGAGTTGATGATTTCGGCGAGGACAACCAATCCCTGCAGGACGACGTCGTCTGAGCTGTCAGAGAGCACGCCAAGGAGGACGGGAAAGAGACTAACGGAATGGATGGACATCTCTTCGTGGATCTCCGTGAAGAGATGGTGAATCCACTTGAGCACAGCAACTTTGGTATGTACAGAACTATGCCCTAAATACTGTCGCAATACTTCCATCACAGAGTCCAAGTCGAGGTTCTTCAGATTGTTCATTTTGTCCTCCTTGGAGGACACTAGTTCCAGCAAGTCTTTGTTCACCAGCTGGGCACACTCCCTAATCTCTGCAATGGGGTGAAGAAGGCTTAAACTGATGGGGAGAAGTTGAGAAATAACAGCTCAAACTCACGTTTTCGGGAGTCTCCTTCGTACGCCAGACAAGGGAGAATCGCTGTAAATATTCCACTAGCGAACTTCATCATTCTCGGCCCGGACAGCTGAACAAACTCACTGAGCCAAGTGATGGCTGTGAACTGAATCAGTTCATTGCTGGTCTGAGCATGGCCTATGAGGATGTTAGTCATTGCCGGCATATCAGCAGAGTCTGGGTCATTGCGAATGCTGCGTAGAAATTGCGCCAACAGAGTGCCGCACATTCGGTGAATTTCCACCATGTTGTCCTCCAGCATTTGGAAGAGTCCGTCCAGAATTTCTGGCAGATAGACAACCATGTTGATCTCAGGGACAGCATTCAGAATCTGCGAAGCAAAATGCTTAAGAAAATAAGTAATTCTGAGGTTTACAAGAAGCAAAACAATTACGGATATCCATGAGATGATGAACTGTCGAGCGAAGGAGTTCTTGGCATAAATTCTCTCCCTCAGAAGCGGAATGAATGAGTCCAGAGCAAAGGTTTGCGAAGACTCCGTGACAATGTCCTGCAATTCAGAGATTTGCATGAATTTCTCCATCACATGTTGCACATTAGAGAGAGAGTGAGAAAGTACCTTCAGCAGTCTGTCCAGCAATTCACTCCCATTCTTCACATTCTGATCCGGATCAGTCACCAGACGACTGAGTGCCGAGAAAATGTCCGGGAACAGTGGAATAATGCTGCTTCTTGCAACTTTGACGACATTGTACAGTGACTCAGTGGCTGCATACCTGACTTTCGTGTCGGCATCTGATAAGCAATTCAGAATGGGATTTACAAGTTCATTGATGAATAATTCCGTGTCTTTGCCCAGTCCAATGCTCGCCCCTGCCAATGCAATCAATCCGCCCTTTTTCTTGTTGGGGTCGCGCGATGTCACAAAGTCCCGCTCCAACACCTTCAGTATCTTCTGGATTTGCTTCGTGTTCTTGGCATTGTTGAACTCTGCCACCATTCTGGCGAGGAAGCAGGCAAAGTTAGTGATTTCCATGGGGATTTGCAGAGAAGGAGGATTTTAGAACTCACTTTTCAACTTCCTGGGAGGCCAATTTTCTCTTATCGTACGTCTTGTCGCTCAATGTCTTGGCACATGCTTCACTGAGGGGGGCGTAAACATTATCCATCTTATTTATTATTATATTTTATAATATAATTTATGAGAAATTCGAATTAGCGTCTGATGGGAATCGCACGAAACGTCACTGGAGAACTATTTTTGAGGTTAAAACAGCTGATTAGTGAATGTTTACATTTCGTTGTGAAGACATTTCTGAGAATCTTTCCTGCCTTTTTGACCTCTAAAAACTAGGTAAATAAGTAGTTTGCGGGTATTTGGATAATAACCGGTCATGTCTTCATGCAAAGCTAACATAATTATGTGGAATCATTAACGAATTTTCAACGAGTTCACCTGTAAGGCAAATGGTTGAATTCTATAAAGGGTGTTGTTCAGGAATGTTGCATATAGGATAAATAATGCTATTCAGACGAGTGATAAGGAAGCCAAAAATGTCTGATGTCCTCACGGGGTACTTGGAGCAAATTGGCGAGCCTCCGTGGACGTCCTTTTTCGTGAAAGTAATGCAATGGCTTATGTAATTTGCTTCATTTGCTTTGATGAATAAAACTTTCTAATTTCTTACGTAGTACAAAGACGTGGACAATGACTTTTTTGGTCAATCGCACTTCAATTGGACCCTAAAGTCTGGCAATAATTATCATATTCTGCGAACCGGTGCATTTCCCTACATGAAATACCACTGCACGATGAGACCCAACCGAAGATTTATCATTCGAGAACAATTTTTATGGGGTGATAAAAATTATTAACTTAGGTGCGTGGATAAAATTTGATGTGTGTAGTATTTGAGCTAGTATAGTAATACATTTTCTTATATTGTCGGGTTGCATTTGCAGGAATACCGCAGCTGATGTACGGTTTGGCGGCCACGCGGCTTATCAGACACGTGGAGTACGTGACAGTGGAACCAACAAAGGCACAAGTTCCCATCTACTTCCTCTACAAGGAGGACAAGGGATCGAAGTACTGAGAACAATTATCACAGACTTTCTGTATGATGCCAAGTAATCAAGGCAGTATAACTCGCGTGACCTTATTCTGAGCTGCTGAAGATATATTTATACAGTGATCAACACTAAAGTGATTGCTCAGCAAATAACATACTAAATGGCAATATTTGTCAAACGGATTTGCAAGATTAGTTGTAATTAGTGGAAAATTTGAGTGTTTGTTGTTGAAGAAAGAAGAGGAAAAGTCAGTGGAAGATGGATCCAAGTAGACGAGGATTGACGATCTCAGTGATCCTGCTGGGCACAGCTCTTTGTGCAGTAATGCTGGCGTACTTCGTCTTCGGCGATAGCAATGATGCGGAAGGACTGCGGACACTGCGAATGATTGCCATTCTGTTCAGACATGGTGACAGATCTCCGACGGAATTGTATCCAAATGATCCACATCAGAATTATCCATGGCCAGGAGGTTTAGGTGCTCTATCGGAGGTAATGTAGACAATATTCAATCACACAATTAGCAACTAAAGTGTCTCACCTTCGCAGAAAGGATCTCTGCAAATGTACAACTTGGGGAAGAATCTCCATATGAGGTACTATCGTTTGCTGCCTCCGAATGGTCTGTACTCCAAGGATGATCTCTTCATTGGCAGCAGTGCTGCTGAGAGATGTATCATGAGTGCCCAGAGCTTCATGGCAGGTTTCATGCCACCACTTGAGAGTCGCAATCCGTTGCCAATTTCATGGCAACCAGTTGCAATTCATGCTCCACCACGAGACCGTGATTACGTATGACAGTGATAAGGCGCAACACAGGCGGACAGAGAGATATGTGATTTTTCTTTTATCTTGACTCTGATTGCAGTTATATGCCCAGAAGAAGCCGTGCCCGAAGTATGAGGAGGTGTTGCGAAAGCTGTACATTAATCCACCCGCTGACATCCAGGAGATTAATGAGAAGAATGCAGAGTTATATAAGAGACTGACAAAGGAGACGGGTCAGAATGTGTCAACTATATTGGACGTGGAGTTTCTGTACAACACGCTGGAGATTGAGAAGAATGCTGGTCTCACACTTCCCGACTGGGCGGAGGGTGTATTCCCAGAGAAGATGCTCCCAATGGCTGAGCGGAGTCTGGCATTATTCACGGAGACGCCGTTCATGAAGAAAATCAAGGGTGGCACGATTGTGACGGAAATTCTCGATAACATGGTGAGAAAACTGAATGGTCTCCAGCACAGATCTATTTTCGTGTATTCAGCCCACGATGTCACACTGGTTAATTTCATGAGGGCCATCGGTGTTATCGGCGAGACCGCAAAGAAGCCAGAGTATGCTGCAACAATTGTGGTTGAGCTCCATCACAGTGTCATATATGAGGATGATTTTGAAGTGAAGGTATATCCTGTGGTCGGAATGTGGGGAGGAGGGGGTGTTATTGCTTATTAACAATGTTCTGGCATCATTTTGCAGATTGTCTACTACTTCAACAGCGAAGATAAGTTCCCCAAGGAGTTGTCAATTCCCAACTGCGAGTCTCCGTGCTCCTTGACGGCATTCAGCAAGTCTGTGGAGTCGCTGATTGTTCGGAACTACGATGAAATTTGCCAGCTTCTTTGATGCTCTACAGAAGCAATAATTTGGAGAGGTGAGTCCATTTCTTTGATTAATTTCAAATAATCTCCCACATTGAATGTTCGTCTTCACGTATGCGTTCGCCATATGATATTGATTGTTGCATTAATTCGTGGCTTCAGTGACATTGCACATTTATCCGGAGGGTTAATAAATCACACTTCAATGTGGGTGAGAGAATGTGTGAGGAGCAGAAACAAGAGTAATATGATTAATGAAAATTTAATAAATCATATATTGGGTGCATTGTATGCCGTTTTTGCTCCCCTACTTTACGATATATCCATCCATTAATGTTGGCGAGAGATTTCTCTTGTAATTTCTGCCACACTTTCATCGAGATTCTGGTGAGGACAAGTCATGTGTGATGTAATTGTGAAACACAAGAGATTTATTCCAGTTTTCTCTCGCATATTTACATGTGTTTCTGCTTCTATCCCAAGAGTTTATTTGAAAGTTTTGTGTACAAAATAATTAGAATTTGTTGTATCCTGCCGAAAATGTGCTTTTAATACACTCGAAAGTTTTCCCGTTGCCGGAAACTTTGTATAAATATCCTTTGCATATCACAGGATTTTAGAACAGACAACATCTTCTTACGGCCAAAGAAGAGTTTCTACATCTTTGATCTCTCCTTTTCTTTACTATTGTTTGCAAATAAATCTGATTCGAGTTCATCTGCTTACCAGAGGGGTTCTTTTTACACATACATTCTCTCTATCGCTCTCACCACTAATGCTAGCGAAGATAGATGTACCAATGTCCTATGAATTGAGTAATGTATGCATGAGTACATTTGCAAGATAATGGGACTCCTGAGGAGCTGGAGACTTTTGGACGATTTCAGACAAATGATGGTACGAAAATAGATAAATCGATTATCTGGGAAGGGAAGTTACTCTCCTCAAGTATGCTACAAACTGTGATTTATTTAAATTGTCTTCTCACAGCTTTATTTACACACCTGTAAATTTTCTCTTTAGCAGCTATTGATGTTATTGTACTTAAACACTGATGATTTGTCTTTTGTCATGCTATTTGCATAATATAGATTGGAGGAGAAGATTTGACAGTACATTCAAACTGAAGCTCGAAATTGAACAAGTTTCTATTCACTTATGAAAGTGAAACAAGGATTTTGATAACTTTTTGGGATGATTTATGCCTTCACTATATGATAACCATTCATATAAATTGACACTTTTTAAGACATCTTTAGAGATTTTGTGTTTGAAAATATTTAAAATTTTCATGGAAATTGTCCATAAACATCACAAAGTACATTTAAAGGAAAGACATCAGAGCGCGAAAAGCACATCTTAGATCACAACCACAGACTTAATAGAAAATTGGTGCATATAATAATGAAAGGCATTTAATATGTAAATTTACCTATTGTATAGATTTATATACGTATAGCATATATATACGCATAAGTTAGAGGCGAAGGAATATAGCGCTGTGTAATATGAAATATGATGACATTATTATTTATTGTTTCATAACGGAGGGAATATTGTATTTACGGTGAGATTTATTATATACCCTTTTGAGAACTCTTTGCGCGAGGCAACACTTCTACCTGGAAATACAAATATATAGTCAATAAGGGTTTAATATCAAAATTCGTCAAAACACCTGCAATGTACTGATTACAAATGTTTTGCTTCTGTAGAAGCCGATTGTGAACTTCTCACATTTGGGCAATAACAATTGATTTCCTAATGGTAATCACTGGGGATTTTCTACAGATTATTGATGAGAAGATAAGACTGTGAATGCATTGGGAAATCAAATTCCAAATGTAATGCCAAGGAGTCTCATTGAGAGGTTTAGGGATAGTTTATACGTCCATCAAGGTCACTCTGAGTGGCGAAATACTTCGTTTGGCTCGGAGAGAAGATAATAAAGTGATTGCAATAACATTTTTATGCGCGGGAGAGCGGAGTTCGGGTGACTTGGGTTCAGGGCTGTAGAGAGAAGGTGGCAAAAATGGTGTTCTGCAGGATCTTCACCCAAAGTGTTCAAATTTTTATGATCTCTCATGCATATAAGCTAAACGTACGTATCCATTAGGTATAATTTTAATATACTCCTCATGAGACACTCTTGGGAAATGTTCTTAATAGTCGAATGAATTTTCAAGATGTTCCCCATATACCCTCTAATGGGACCTTTTATTGATTAAATATTTCACATGGTGTGAAGGTGAATGTTCTTTCGGGCCTTATGAGATATTGAAAAGTGTTAAGCTACGTCTTCATATCACTGAACTTGACATATTTGAGCACAATGGATGGGTTTTTTTTCGGTTATTACGTTCCAGGCAAGTGTCATTTGATAGTTAATGCCATAAATACAATGTTGCAAATTGACAGTGTGCATAAAAATGTTAAATTCCAATCACTTAAACATTAACAACAAATGTTACATATCTATTGATTCTTGATTACTTATCCTATGAAGTGGATGCTCATGTATCGGCATCTCAAGTGCTGCAGACTTTCCAAATCGTAAGTGGGTTTGCAGATTGGAGTCTGATTCTAGAGCTTTTCAAAACGGAAGTGATAGATTGAGGCAATAAATTCATATCATTCTTGTAAGCCACACGACCAGGTTTTTTTGCTGACATTTCGTGGTTAAGGAGAATATAGAGCACACGGGTCTATGACAGAAAGTATTTAGTAATCCCCACTTAAGGTCATTTACTCAACTGATATCGATGGCAACACTCGAAGATCTTGAAATGATTTTGATAAGACACTCAATGCATTTCATGATTATCAATTTTCCTATAAATACGGTGACTGGAATTGTCTGGACATCATTCATTATTCGGTACTTTTGTGAAACACAATGATTCGCTTGGTGGTTCTGTGTGTGCTGTTTGCGGCAGCTTTTGGTGCTAATTTGAAGTACTTCCCGAAGCCGAGGCTGGACGGAAGGATCGTTGGTGGCTATGAGGTGAACGTTGAAGACGCTCCGTATCAAGTATCCCTCCAGACGTCCGGCCACATTTGCGGTGCTTCAGTCCTCAGTGAGAATTTCGTCCTGACTGCTGCCCATTGCACTGAGTATGATCACATTCACATTGCCACACACCCAATCTGGAATTCTCTAAACTCCTTTTCTCTTTCACAGTGGTCAATCTGCTGGCAGACTAACTCTGAGGGTTGGATCCAGCTACCATGCAAAGGACGGTGAAATGGTGAAAGTGAAGAGAATTGTACAGCATCCGAAGTATAATCCACGCACCGTCGATTATGACTTCTCCCTTCTGGAACTGGAGAAGCCTCTGAAGTTCAGCGAAGTGTGCCAACCAATTGACTTGCCGGAGCAGGATCAAGATGTTGAGGATGGTGCTATGCTGTTGGTGTCTGGCTGGGGCAACACTCACAACTCTCAGGAGTCCAGGAATAAGCTGCGTGCTGCTGTCGTGCCCAAGGCGAATGATGATTCATGCAACAAGGCTTACAGCGCCTACGGTGGCATCACAGCCAGGATGATCTGTGCTGGATTTGAGGAGGGTGGCAAGGACGCGTGCCAAGGAGATTCCGGTGGTCCGTTGGTGGAGGACGGCACCCTCGTGGGTGTTGTGTCGTGGGGATATGGCTGCGCCGAGAGAGGATATCCCGGTGTCTATTCTCGTGTTGCATCAGTGCGCGACTGGCTGAAGCAGGAAGCTGATCTCTAAAACTTCTGTAAACAAACATTAATCTCTGGCTTGTATCCGAAATGATTTAATTAAATATTTTCCATCATAACACTGTGCATTTTGATACCATAAAAACATTAATTTAGAAATTGGTTTTGCCCTAATCAAATTGTTCAAGTGGTTCAACTTGATAAATGGACTGTATAAATGCGCAGGAAATACTTCAGAAAGCAGTCATATTTCATTTTCTAATGCATACTGACAGAATGATATCGTTTGTGGAAATATTCATACTTCTCTTGTTAGTAAATTTATCCAAGACAACGGACAAGTTACCCGTATTACATAGCAGAATAGTTGGTGGTGATTTGGCGGAAATTGAAAATGTTCCTTATATAGTATCACTTCAAGTCAATAAGCGACACATGTGTGGCGGTAGCATAATTAGCAAAAAATATATATTAACGGCGGCTCATTGTATGTAAGTGTTGGAATTCACTGCAAATTAATTATTGTGTTTCACGTAATTGTTTCTGTTCCAGTTTTAATGGACAGTTGATCAAGGTGCAAGTGATATACGGCACTGATAGCATTAAAGATGGAGGTATAATGGTTAATGTTGAGAAGTCAAAATTCCATCCAGGATATATTATGTCCACTAATGAAAACGATATTGCTGTTCTCAAACTGAGCACAAACATTCAATACAGCGATAAAGCTAAGCCAATTCGACTGCCAGAGGAAGATGAATGGATAGATGATGGAGTTCTAATGGAAACTTCTGGTTTTGGACATCTTAAATGGAATTTCACCGAAACAGACGGTCTTTTGCGCACTGTTGAAGTGCCCAAAGTAAATCAAGCGACTTGCGTTAGAGCCTACAGAGAGAAAAAGAAGAAAATCACGCCTAAAATGTTTTGTGCTGGCTACGACATTGGCGGCAGGGACGCCTGTCAAGGTGACTCTGGTGGACCAATTGTTCTGGACGATGTGCTAGTTGGAGTGGTATCCTGGGGATTGGGATGTGCCAGTGCAAAATTTCCTGGAGTTTACACAAACGTTTCGGTTTTTCGCAAATGGATACAGCGTGAGACAGGCCTTTAATATAATAATTCTGTTTGGGAAATAAAGGATGAGAGTATTCAGAATACCTAATTTTCGAAAACTCCTTTGATTTTTAATGTTTTCAAATGTACAACTTGAATTTTTATTCTGAGTTGTTCACTAGTATTTGATGAAATTTACCCCCTGACAATGAGTCGTGCATCTTTGTGACTTTTGGAAATCTTCCAAAAATCATTTGTCTAATTTTTTATATCTGGAATGTTAATATATTGAATGTTCAGTATTCAAAAAATTGTATTGTTATCTTACACTCTTTTTCTCTTCATGCGAGTTTCCTTCTTCATTATTGAGCTGAAAGAACAGACGAGTAAGAAAGCGCGAAGTATTTCTACACTCATAAAGCCACTAAAGAAGGCAATAAAAGTTTCTTCCAAAGAATAATTTTATTGACTATTGAGTGTAAAGCTATAAATTTATAAGAAGGTTTGTTTCACTTTATCATGGTGTAATTTGAATTTTAACACTTCGCGCACTTAACTTGTTCCTATATAAGCACCATTGTAATTAATTCTGAAAGTATTTGTGTTTGTCAACCTGCGAAATGATACAATTTGAGAAAGTTTTCGTACTACTTCTGGCCATATATTTGCCTACGTTTTTGGGCAATTTACCAAATGCAGTCAATAGAATAGTCGGTGGTGAAGAAGTAGGCATTAAATCAATGCCTTATGTAGTAGCAATTACAAATTCGGATAATAACGATCGCTATCCGGGCCGCCGAAGGATTCTCATCTGTGTTGGCAGTATTTTAAATGAAGAACTTGTCTTAACAGCGGCCCATTGCATGTGAGATAGCTTAAAAGTATTCCAACTAATAATTTTTATACTAAATATATGTATTTCTTTTGTTTTAGCTATGATACACGTCCTTATAAATATGGGGTGGTATATGGTGAAAATTGCTTTTACGAGGGAAACCCAATTGAAGTTGCTGAACTGTTTATTCATCCAAAGTATTCTCTTCGCGTGAAGTATGATTATGATATTGGTATGATGAAAGTGAGGACCAAGTTCATTTTTAGCATGGATTATAAACCAATCTTATTGCCAAAGAATAGGGAAAAGGTTGGCAATGGAATTTATTTGCAATTAGCTGGCTATGGAGCCACGGATGCAGCCAATTTTGTGACAGATGGCAAATTACGCAGAGTGCAAGTTCCTAAGGTTGAAACAAAGATTTGCAAGAATGCTTACACTGAAGGGAATAACGAAACCAAAGTCACGTCAAACATGATGTGTGCTGGCTATGAGAGAACTTTCAAAGGCTTCTGTATCGGTGACAATGGGGGACCTTTGACTCATAACCGTGTATTGGTTGGGATAGTATCTTGGGGTCGTGGATGTGGGACACCGGAATATCCTGGAGTTTACACTCGTGTCTCACATGTTCTTGAATGGATAAAGACAGCGACTGATACACTGACATTTGAAACATGAGTGACGACATCAAAATATTCAACAATTACAAAAGATTAATAAATATAATTATTCAATTTCTCAGAATTCGAGATAATTAGATATTGTTAAACGTCATGTTTGAGTAACACAATAAACATTCAAGCACACATTCTTGATAACGTAGACACCGTTGATAGCAATTACAATTATTGAATTGAGAAACACACAAATTGAATGAATTGTGGAAGTAGAAAAGCCAATTTATACATTTTACTTCAGATATATACAGAATTTTCAGTGAATGGTGGTTGAATATTAAAGCTATGTTCGAAAACCATCTCCTAAGACATAAAAATATCGCAATTTGTGTAAGCTATAATATAAGAATAGATATCATCTTATCGTGAGCTGGTTGAAGAAAACTGTTGCTGTTTCTGGCACTCACTTTATGTTGCAGCATCACGAGAGGATTTACACTTTTTCCTTCAATAAACATAAATACCAAAAATTGATTCAACTTTTGCATGGTTTATAGTGTTTTCAGACGCCATGGGGAAATATGCATATGAATGTGCAGCAACTTGATATTTCTTAATATTACGGTTTCGTTCTGCTGGAATTGGATGAGAAATTGCGGAGTTTCACACATCTACATATGTGCATACGTAACATGTGCATTTTTACAGTGTTTTGTGATGCAAATGTTGCTATACTGTACCATGTCAGTTTATAAGAAAATGTTGAAGATCGGATTAAGTGACGAATTGCTGTGGAATCAGTCAAGAAAAATGGTGCATACATTTGACTGGATTCCTTAGAATAAAAAGTCTATGTAATATCTTCGCTGAATCTATACGGCGAAGCTTATTCTTGGCTGTATATGTATGATACATACATACATGTGGGTGGAAACATCCCGTAAGCTCGTCTCTTTCAAGTGATGCTCACGAGATAAAGTGAAGAGTCTGCGTGCTAAAATTGAGGCCATGTGCTTGGTGCAGAAGTACAAGAGAGAAGCCTGAAATATATTTGTTGGGTAAAACAATAGACTGAAATATATTCCGTAAGCAACATTTTTCACGATCTTAGTGAAAGAACTTTGGAAGCTTTTTCGAGCACTACTCTCAGACGCATGTGGAGACTGAATCGGTAGTTTCTTGTGTTCAAAGCTTAGAAGAGTAACTATCCGACCAAATTAAATCTCTATTTATTCAGCTCTTTTCCAGATCCTATTCTCGAACTGAAATCAAGGTGTATATCATCACTATGAATTCTATATGACATTATTAAAGACGTGATTGAGAATCTAATGGCGTGAACAAATTATGGAGAATGTAGGAAAGTTTCCCCTCTTCTTCAAGCCTTCTTTCCGCAGCTTCAGTAAGATTTGGTATTCTGGTGAAGAAGTGGCAAATGGAAGAGTGAAGAATTGTGATTATGATTTATACTCAAACTGTATTGCGTAAACATACACCATCTTTGGATGTGATGCTAAATGCCTTTGAATAATCGATTGCCAGACTCTGAAAGCTTAAGAGGGAGAAGTTGAGAAATATTGCTGGTCGTTTTTTGCGTGTCATTTGCACTTGTAGGTAGATGTTTTAGTAGTCTTTTCAATTTTCAAAACAGTGCCATTCTAACCTGATGTCTCGTCCCACTTCTTGGACAGGAAATCTTAATACAAATCCCTTTCACATGCTACATTTTCACATCTAAAGAGGATGACACAGGAATGCAATATATCATGGAATGTTTTCTATGTGATTTTCTTCTATTTCACCCCTAGATAGATGTGCTGAGGAGAAAATTTTCATATTTATTAGAAATACAATCACTGAGGGACATTTGGAATGTATCCAATTAACATGTTGGTGATATTTTTTGTTCGTGTAAATTTACCATGCGGAGAATTCATAAAATTGAGTATATATGAGATGAGAGGACGACTTCAATATGTCTGCATTTTGGCAGCCCAAATGGGAATTCCTGTATGATATTGTATGCATAGCATTACATAGCACATGACTCACACGTTCATGGAATAGTGTGTTCGATAATTTTTCAATTTAGATTGTGAAATACCTCCTCAAGTTTGAATTATTGAGCACTTGCAAACTCCTCGCATGAATTTAAATACCTATTGTGTGTATAACTATACGTGTGACGAGAGTGCAGGAAATCATGTCGATTTTCACATCCATGGCTCGCAGACTTTCTTAATATTTATTCATAGCCATTTTTCTCGTTTTGTATGTGCACTTGATGAGCATGTCAATATCGATTAAATCTATCACCACAAGACTTCATCAATCAAAGTCTAATTAGGTTTATGGTACACGTATCACAAATAAGAGATTGATTACCGACCATCTTCAGGGCATGGGGGGTCGCTGGAAAAACATCTTAACTCATGATGTGTGATAATGTGGGCCGGGCAAATGAATAGGGAGGTAATTGGATGATTCCTATTAAGATTTTTATCACATCGTGAATGGGGAAGTGTTGGCAAAAAAGCTCCATGACAAATGCCATCCCATATATTGGGAGCTCTTGGGCTTGTGGGGTGGATAAAAACACCCGAAATCTCATGTCACTTGTGTCGGGGAAACGCTTCAACATCTGTATCCAATAAATCAAGCATTTGAAAGAATCTATTTATCATTTTATGTAAAAACTTTTTCGCCATAATCCACAAGTTCAATATGATGAAGAATATACTATTTCTTCGATTTCTTCACCGCACACTCATGACTTGAATGGCAAATATTTAAAAGCAAAAAAATCTACGCGAAAGTTTATCCGCGCACAACTTGGGAAAAGTTAGTTTTTTTGTCCACCACAAACGCCTCAAGGATATAAATTATGTTATTCAATTGTTATTGAATATTTGTGGTTCATTTGTCTGTATCTGCCCTGAAGGTGGGGAGGATGCATTGTAGTTTTATGAGTACTCGAGGCTAAAATTGTGTGCTCCAGTAGTTAATCGTGAATGTTTGCTTTACTACTCAATCTTGAATGGTGACAAGAGGTGCATACACCGATGGAGCCACGCTTTCAATTTCAGGCTACTCAAATATGCATAAACATTCTCTAACACACCATTCACATGTAGGGTAAATCATCAAATCACCAAGCATAGCAAACTCTTCTTCCTATATTGACATTTTCACAATATTGCTCTTGTTCATTTCGAGAGCATTATAGTTTTATCAGATGAGGTGAATTAATACACGCACTATGTCAATGGAGCCACAACATTAATAGATCACCCGGATTTATTTGCAATCAGACCAAAGCCAAGCCGATGTAGACACAGAGTTATCTTTGATTGGAATGTGGGAGCAAAAAATAGGGCAAATATTGTAATTTCCATTTCTGATGAATGATTTGCAGGAAAAACGATGGAGATCCAGGAAATATTTATAGCCACAAGAGACCAGCATGATTGATAGGTATTTCGGCCTGGTGACTGGAAGAAATTTAAATGTAACGAAATGCATTATGTAATGTGATTTGTAATTCATCCCCTAACGAATGGAAATTGTGTTACGAAGGGTATCATTCAATGAAGAGAAAGAAGAACCACATCCCTTTTCCACTCGTTTTCCTCGCACTCTTATGTGCCATGGAGTCTGATGGTTTTCCCACGGTCTGTACAAATACCCAGTGAATTTCACTGGAGGGTGTGTCTGTGTGTGAGTGGAGACGCGATAGTGAAAAGTGGTACTCAAAGCCACTATTCACAAATAAAATATTTTTTTGCTCCACCACCACAGTATTCGGATGGCATGACGATATTTATTTGTAATTGAGGGAATTTCTGCCACCGGAAGACTTGGGGTGTATTTTGAGTGCAATGGTGTTCACAGATGGAAAGAAAATGAAGTTTATCTTTGCCACACGTATGTAAGCTTGGGGAATTGAAGAATTCTGTCACATGCTCCAATCGAGTTATTTGAAATCAATCAAACAAAATAGATGGACTTCTAGGAAGTGTTCTGCTGAGCATTCAACGATTTCCCTCTTTTGGGATTGGATCTAAAGGGTGTTCAGGATGTGAAAGAAATACATTTTGCCTACATATTTGATATCGCTTTCATCTCTCGTGATTATTGCAATTGTGCGAAATAGCGCAAAGTAGCAAATTTGTTATCTGCACTTCCGCAGGAAGATGAGATATTTTTTCTCATGCCAAACCACTCGCATGTACAAGCTTGTAGTCGGTGGATTTTATTTTAGCCAGTGAATTCATTTAATTTGTATGCAAATTTCACCTCAATTGCTATATTCACATGCTCCTTTTTACTACGATATGAGGATAACCACCCACATAGTGAAAATCTAAAATTACACACGCTCCCTTTGCTCGAACTCTCCTTGTTCATTATCCCTTCTCTATGGGTGCACCACCCCCAAAAAAAAAAAGTGTTCTTGTACGGAGGAGTAATTAAATTTAACCATTTATTAACATGGGTTTCTTGCCTACAAAGGGCTAATAAATCCCGAATGATGGGATCAAAGCAGAGCCATGCATATACACTCAATGTATCATTTGACTTTTGAGATTTGCTGGGTGGGGAGTGACAAACTTTAATGGAATTCGCTTTGCAATTGGGAAGTTAGCGGGAGGCAACTTTTCTATACTATGCCTAAATATTAGGGGATCTTATAATTCAATTCGAAAGACCTTTATCATGGTAATCTTCAATGGTTCTGCTACGTCAAAAGGGAAGAGTGAAAGAAAATGGAAAAATCTGTATTTGCCAGGAGTTGCAAAAGTATTTCCCAAGAAGTCTAATTTCAGAAGGTTAAGTCTTGCGGAAGGTGGAGAAAATTGAGAAAAGTTCTCTTCCGCAATATGGTCATCAATACCAGAGCGATTGGCAGAGAAAGTTGCTCTCTCGCACTTTGTCCACAGGCACACAGGAAAAGTTGTGCCCTATGTAGGGCGAGCTATTCAATTTGCATTTGCAGTGCGAAGTCTTATCCTTTCACCCCACTTAACGGCCAATTTACTATTTTGTACACTTCATGGCGAGTACTAAAAGAAGCGTTGAAAAAAATCGCTGTTAAAAGTAGTTTAATTGGATTTTTCCGCCCGTCACAGCCTGTCCCACTACCAATGCAATACGATGGGGGCTGTAATGAAAGCTGTCTGTATTCTTTTTTATGGATCATTGAAGTGGTTTTCCCTTTTATTTCTTTTTCGTCACTCACAGCATTGTCAAAAGGGGGGCGATGGAAAGCGGGAGATGTGCTGCGTATTTTATTGTAGTTTGGCGCTCAATAAAATATTCCGGTCATGAAGTACATTAAATCTCGATTAGTGCGAGATTTTCCTAGATTCTGATGAAAGAGGTATGGAGTTTACATGACTTCTATATTAGGGCAGGCAGTGACAGGGCGCTTTTGCAAATCGCCACAAGCTATGTACAATGTATACAAAGCCAGTCCTCTTCATAATTATGTGGCGCTCTTCTCAATCCGTATATTATGTCGAGAGGCCTGAGAACAAAACCACTTCATGAGTAGACAAAACAGGAAGTGCATTTTAAGTCCACAAGATTGAGAGAGAAATCACGGACGGCTTTCACATGAATCGTGAAGATATTTCTTGTGCTTCTCATGCTCTGACGATGAGAGGACGTCGAGATGCTGGATTACACAATCGACTCTGCCGCGAGTAAGTCTAATCGCATGCAATGATGGGAAAGAGAACAAAACAAGGCCATTAAAAATATTATGCTCTATTATAATAAGATAAGTGGCAGGATAAAATTGAGGAGCGAGGATGCTGTGCGGTGTCAGTAGTCTTGTTGTCTCACTTTCAATGCCCTTCTATCTATGTAGTACTGCGCCAAGCACATGGCCTCGATTTTACTACGCAGGATCCATCCATTGGGGAGAGATATGTGCTAAACCCCTTCATACAAGAGTAAATAGTACATATTCTTGCATAACACCGTGAAGAGATGCGATTTTGGATCAAGGATTTATCACTGCACCCACTCCCGTGTCACAGAAGATGCCATTTATCATCCCCCTCATAATTATTGAGCACTGATATGACCCAGTGAGAGACGCCACAAGAGACTCTACGCTGTCAACCATCCATTCTAATGCTCTGTGTTTACTTCTATTTACAGAATGGAATGAACTGGGCAGATGTCAACATGGAGAGATGCTACAGCACATGAGGCAGAAATTCTGGCAATTGGGATTCGGCTAACTCATGAGGATTAGCTTGTGTATCACCTCGCTCCACTATAACTTAAATAAGTACCTTGATATCGAAATTGACTGACTATGCATCTGATATTTGCTGCAAAAATAGATTGCTAATTGAAATGCGAATCATTATATTCTTCCAACGAAGCTATTGAGCCATAGTGGATTTTCCTCACTGCAGAATAAACATAATCTACTCTCTAAAGAGCTTCTTAGCCGTTTGTCACCACTCAAGAGCCCCATTGTGGTGCATTCGTTCTAATACAACGATGTGCAACACTTCTATGTTCAAGAAGTAATGTAACTTTCCAATGGAAAAACACCGGAATAGTCCCCCTTGAATGCAGAAGTTGTAGCAGAAAAGTTTCAAGATTCAAGCAGTAAATATGCTCTCACATTATTTACAATCAAGCTGAGAATAAGAGTCCCTAAAAGTCTCACTATTTCACACCATTTTATCGGACGTATTGGAATTTACTTGTATCACGTAATCAATGTTCAAAGCGAAAGTGGAGTTTCTATGGGAAGAATTCATAAGTATTAGCCAAGCATCTGAGACTCTGCAACTTATTCTGCACTGCCACAAATTCTCGGCACTGGAACGGTTGCATTTTTATGCTTATGGTATATAAAGTTTAGCAATTCAATGCAAATTGCCGCAGGGGAAGTGCCGTGGCGACTGCAAGTGTGACTGGCAGGGAGTATCAGTGGATATCAGTGAGGAGGGGAAATGTAGCCTATTTAGGGGAGCGCACGATGAGGCTGGACGCCTTGGGGAGACGCATTATATCACGCATAGATGCGTCCTGAGCATGCGCCGGTAAGCCAAGTTGATTGCCGGCATAGGGGAGTCACCCCATGAGCGAGCAGGAGGACTATATCACTCCAGTGGCCCGAGGTGAGTTGAGCGTGGTCAAAACCGATGTTATTACTCAATTTTTTGAGCAAATTGATTGGGCATGTTTGAATAGTGTGTTGAATATTAGGGAAAATAAGGTAAGAAGGAATCCGCCCTAATTACTGGTGAATGCAATCTAGTGAAAACCCATTAAGAATGCCACGAATCCTATAAAAAGTAGTGATTAAGTAGAATCACCCGAATTTAATGAGCACCCAAGTGGAGCATTCGCCACTTCACTTACCCTTAATGCTCTCGAATGTCTATCCTGATTCTTTATGTTTCTCTGAGTTCTGTAATAATGGTATAGTAACTATTCTGCTTTTACGACAGCAAATCCGTGCTGAATTTTCTATGACTTTCAAAACTATTAGGCCCTTTCACCACATGGTCGTACTTTTAATTTTTAATGCTATTGGATTTGCCTCAACTCCACGTCTCATTTGGAGGATTTTGCCCGAGTTTTGCACGAAGCCCGGCCACTGTGGGTTGGGGTGGGAGAGACACTTCCTGTCGCGTCGGGATGCTTGACTCTGCTCCACTCGCGATAGTCAGTGAGGAGTTGTACTCGGTTGTGAGAGCATCGTTCTGCCCAACATATCTCTCAGCGGGTGAGGTGTGACTGTTTGGCCGCCCCTTCAGTGGCGCGCGAGTCCGCATAGAGGACAAACATTCATTTGCACTTAGTGTGCAGATCAGAGTGATTCAGCACTGAGCGCCTTTGACCTGGTCAACTTTGCCACACTGACTCAATATAGCTGGCATTGCTGGCCAGAAGTGAACCTGGCCTGAGAGTATCAGTGGTGTGACCGTCGATTCACGTTGTGGACAATGTAGCAATGAATATGCTGCTCAATATTTGTACCAAGATGACGTTGGGTGTAATAGAAGTGTTACGTAATGCTGGATTTCGTGGATTTTTAGATAACAGACACACAGCCACCCGTCTGGATACATAGACACCGTTTGCAATTAAATACTGTGCTCTATTTTCTGAAAACTCTTCTCGACTCGTGTGTACGTCTCGTTGAAAAATGTTTGTTTATTACTTTCCACCACTATTCCCTACAACATCTTGATTGCTATCTTTTAATTCAATGCCATATCACACTTTTTTCCATTTTCAAATTAATTTCCTTCTCCCTGCGGGCGAAAAATAGGGGAGGACTTTCTTTTTCTGCTGCTCCCGTGATGTGTGTGTCCACTGGGGATGGTCGTAAAAAATCAGTTATAGCTCACTCATATACGGTTATATTTGACTTTGGGCGGAAGCAGCACTTCCGCTCATCAACGGGAAAATTTATAATCCGACTGGGACATTCCTGCGAAAATCTCTCGTGCAGTCAGTGACTTTGGTTAATTAAACACAATAAATTTTCAGCAAGTCACTGGTAGGATAGAAATTCTTCTCGCGAGTGAATCCGCCTAGGCAGCATAACAATTATTGTATTTGTCTAATTGTATTGTTCATTCTGAAAGTTTACGTGCTGTATGATGGTGAATTTGATTATATAACACATAAACATTCTTCTTCAGCCACCCTCGCGGCACTGATTAGAATAAATATGAGCTGAAGGTGAAGGTGCGAATGTAATCTCGCAGGGCAACATTTCAAATGGTACAATTTCTATTTTGAATCACACAAGAGATTGGTAAAATGAAAAATGAGGTGCTCTTTCAACATTAATGCCATGCATTTGTCATGGCTTTGTGTTAATAAAATATTATTGCACACTCAACATAAATATGTAGCGAGACACCACCCTATGAATGTACATTCTGGCGTGCAACTCCGTTGTGACACGCTAATTTTTGCTGGCCTCCCAGCCCAACTGCAGCGTCCCCCGCTGTTGCGATATGTGGAGTGGCTCATATGATTTATTGTTGGCTTCATCCAATTGGTATTAACACTTTTATTTTGGGGCGAAAACGGGCAAAGACGCCGTGGCAGGAGTATGAATTTTTGAAGACGTAACACTCTCATGGGGTGTGACCTCTCTTCTCTACGCGCGTGTGGAAGAGAAAATATCTATGAGTACATGTACAACTATTTATATACACCCCAAGAGTGTTGTTCAAGACTTCTATTCTGAAAATGCCAATTGGAATTCTAGACAAAGTGCTCGCTTTGCAATGCATCCACGGCACAGCCTTCTTTCTGCACACACTCACACACACACACCCTCCACGCCTAAATTAAGGAAGAAATGGAAGAAAGTGTGTTAATTTATTGCTTAAGAAATCAATAGCTGGTTCGTTGAACTATATACAAGTTTAATATATTGTTCTCACATGATAAACTCATTGCAAGTCCCTCCTGCACATAAAGGAAAATTGCTCAAGTCTTCCATCTCGTCTTTCACCCGCTGTACAACTGCTGTCAGATAGTTACAAAAGTTTATAGGAAGATGTTAATAGTGCTAATGAATTCAGTTATCTCACTTCTTGTCTAACCAGAATTGATTTATCAGAGGAATAATGTTGTCTGAAGAAGATCATGTTAATTACAAGAAGTGCGCACAGCACAATAATGATTAACATTCTCCACTTCTATCTGTGATAGTACACTTGTCTCTTGTGTTCTTCACTTTGCCGCGCAATCTACGGAAGGAATTTCCAGTGAATCACACAAGTCTTGTGTTATTTCTTGAATGCAGCAGTTCGTCACACCAACACTTGACTCTGACATATGTACTGGCCAAAATGTAGGTGATGATGTAGATGTCAGGCTGTGGAAGCTGAGAGTGATGTGGAGAGCGACATGGGGAGAGAGCTCAACACTATCGTGCAATCAAGGGAAATCAAACAATTTGCCCAACATTCAATTCGGTTAAATCAAAAATCCATCTGCCGAGATGGAGAAGATTTTGTGCGCCATACACAAATTAGAGCACACATGCTGAATTGCCAACGTTTTCTCCTAATGTCATCATTTTGATTGAAAATTATCAAATTTGCATCTATATGCATTATCGTGACAACACTACAGTCCACACACATGATTTCCTGTCTATGGCTTTTCTGCATTAATTTGTTGAACGATAGTAATTCATACATTTGCTGTACAATGGAAATTTATCATTAAATTTCACTACATGTTTTATTATTGTCATAAATGCAATACCGATTTATGTGGGGGGACATTATTAGGGCGGCCTTTAACGGATTTTCGGGTAAATTTCATTTCCAATTTAACTCAACGTAATTATAATATTGGGATTTTCAATTATCAAATAAATTTTCTCAATGTCATTCTATAAACTGAATTTAAAATGTTAATGTTGTATCCTTAAAAAAAATGAATGACAATTATACTCATTTGGAAATACAAGAAAATCCTTTGTCCGCCTGACGAAGCCAATTGAGTTTTAAATTCTGTCTAGGGAGATACGCACGAATATCTTCCTATTGTTTTGTGATAAATCACTCTGAATGAGATGTAAATTATGCTATATTGATCCCGTCGTTAAATGAGAAATTCATCAAAGCTATGGATGGACATATTCGGATACTGATTAGACTAATTATTTCTTCCCTTGGTTTTGCGCCTATAACGATTTGAAAATATGGGTTCATCATTATGCTAACATTTGTGATACTGACGATTGCCTTTGCGGGTGTTTATCCGATTTTTAACCTGTTAAGAGAGATGCTTGAAGGACGATAGTTCGGTTAGGGTGAAAAATATGCTCCACGCCTCGATGCGATTTCTAATTTGTCTCCCTTGCATGCAAAATGCCTTAGGTGGAAGTATGCTGAAGCGCCGTGCAGAAGTGTTTAAGTGCAAGATTCGCTGTTGAGTGGAGTAATAATCAATTAATTGAAAATGCCACCGACAACCGGTGAGACATTGAGAGCCTGGCTCCTGTCGGCGCTCGTGGTGCATGGCGCCGTGGCCGGGAATCCTGATGCCAAACGACTCTACGACGACTTGCTGAGTAATTACAATAAATTAGTGCGACCAGTCGTCAACACATCTGACGTCCTGAAGGTGTGCATCAAGCTCAAATTGTCCCAGTTGATTGATGTGGTAAGTACATAACGTGCCATATTCGCTTAATACAATTTTCACTGTCCTTTTTGTCGTCTGTGGCCTTCGTCAGCGGGTGTCTATCTGTGTCCTGGCCGTCCATTTTAAAACATTTCATAGGAAATTTAATATTACGTCCAAACATACAGAAAGCACAGGACGGCAAATGCCGTATAGCAATAGATATTGAGGGCTGAAAGGTGATTAAATGAGCTGTACGGTGGCATCCCCCCGATGACTGACAAGATTACTGACTGGAGATGAGATTCTTTTTTAATTAGCAAACTTTCTCTCCCCCGCAATGAAAATGTTTCCTTATCAAACAATTTTTTTTTTATTTTGTTTGTGAACTACAAAAAATATCTCTTAATACCCTCATAATTGGGTAGATGTGCACGATATATTATATAAGAAGTGAGTACATAGTGATGGGTAGTATTTTAAAATATCAAATGCTTCAGCATTTTCCGTTCTATTGTACTGTTTTCCACACTGGGGTTTTACTGTCGGAGAGCTATCAGTGTAAGGAGGAGGAATGTATGTATCTCCTCAAAATTGACAGCTTATTTTGTGCCATCAATATCGTTTCTATACACAGTGGGCGAGAAGAATAAAAATGATGAAAATGCGCCAATATACTGGAATACGTTCCTGTATGTGTTCAAAATTGCATTAGATTTGAAGTTGAAAATAAAACCTTGGCTCTGATCATCGCTAAGCGGATAAATCAGTTTATTGCATTACAACGTATTCAATACTAATATCAGTCCTGAATTGACAAAATTATTATTGCCAGTGGTGCCATTAAATGTGTAATTAGTGGAATCTTATCAAATACTATGGCTACAGCTGTGCCATAAAATATACCTCATTTAGACACCCGCGCTGGATATGCTCAATAAAAGCAGGACGAAATAAATCTAGCCATATAGCGGATGAAAGTAGCAATATTAATATTGGAGAAAAAAACACGTGGAATGAAGAGAAAAGTTTGTTTATAAATTCCCTCCCGTATGCTCTGCATCAAAATAGTTCTCCTCACTCTTACATAACGTCTTTTAACGCGGAAAGTTGCGAAGAAAAATGCCCATTCTCTCCCCCATACTTTAAACCCACACCAACAGCGGTTCTTTCCCGATTTTGCTGCAAAGAAGGTAGTTCTGCTAAGTGGAAAAAATTAGAAAATTTTGTAAGATGGCTTTGTTTTGGGGTCAGACCGATTTGTTTCGCTTGTTTGAATATAAACTGCTCGCATTTCCTACAATGACGAACAGTTGAATGGGAGCCAAACAGCAAAATTCACTTTCTTCCCTTCATCATCGTTGGTCTGAAAACTGGCTGAAACGTTACAAAATTGACAATGACATGCTTTAAGGACATCAGAATTGTTCCTCGTTCTGACATGATCATAATAAACAGTGAGGAGGAAGTGTTGTTCAACTATAGAATGTCTTTTATATTAGACAAATTTAAATTGCAAGAAAAATCTCCTTTTATACTACTTTTTTTATTTAAATTGGATTCAAAGACACATTTGTAATGTCACTTTCTTTGTATTCTTTTCGTTCCTCACTGTTTATTGAGGAAAAATCATGAGATGATGTATTACTGGTTAGACATCCTATTCGTCTGTGTGATGAATATCACCAAAATGCGATGTGACAATTTAACAGGCAGGAAAAGCAATGCCCGGAAGTTAGAGTAAATGGTTTATATTTAATTCTGTCCACTCATTTGAGCACCCAGCGGCGAAAATGTTCCATTTTGCAGTGACGAGAAATGGCAGAAACTTTAAACTGATAACATTTTCATTGTCCATTGTGTGTTTTGCAGAATTTAAAGAATCAAATCATGACGACAAATCTGTGGGTGGAGCAGGTGAGTTGGCAGTTATTTTGTGGTGTTTGTCAGTGGCTAGGTGAATAGACTGTACATGTATCCTGCTCCCAATGCGTGACTTATACCAAGTGAATGTCGACAGGTAAAGCCTTTTCAGCAAACATCTGACATGCCTCCCGGTGGACTTGTCCACTGTCAACGTCCCATTTATAAGGAGTTCGACACTTTATAAATCAAGCACTTGTGTCAATATATTAATATTATTGTCCACCTCAGGACAGTGTGTAACTTTGTGGAGAGCTCTGAAATGATATTTTCCTTTTGTTGAAAAATCTCTTCGACAGTCGTGGTACGACTACAAATTGCGATGGGAGCCTAAAGAGTACGGTGGAGTCCAAATGCTTCACGTCCCGTCAGATCACATTTGGCGTCCAGACATTGTCCTCTACAATAAGTAAGTACCAGCGCTATGCGTGGCGAGCGAAAATTTCTAACCATCACATACTATTCTTATCTCCCAGAACTGTTTGATATATGGCAGAATGGTTTAAAGGCAGAGATGATTCATATTTTTCCAGAAGATGCTTACAAGCCAAGAAATACAGGCGAAAACTTGAGAGGAATGCGAGAAAAAAAACTACTCTCAAGTTGCTTGTATTTCTTGCTTCACTTTCTGTTGTAACTTCTTACATTTTTCCCAAAGCCCCTCCTCAGCTCAACCTCCTATTTTTGCCGATATTAACTTTTTGATCATAGAGAGTAGCAGAATGTTTTTCGCGCATCTCAATTTCTCTATCTACATCCCCTTTATTTGCACGCATAGTTGCCACACAGACTCTGTCACGGGCAAACAAAGACATAATATAATTTATGTGCGCTTCAATTGAGAAAAACGATGTCTCCAATTGTGGGTCGTTTGTTTGAAATCCATGCATATAGACGATAATATAGAAGGAGTGTGTGGCATATCTATTTGGCGCTGTATAGTGCCGTGGCATTGGTCGAATAGTGATGATATCCTGAAATGGCCCATTCTCAGATACCACACCATCCACTATACATGTGCATATCTTCAGCAATACTGGAGAAAATCCAATCGCAAAAGATAAAACACCATCGATTTTTTCCTCCTCTTTCCCTCCCCTTTTCCCCCGGGTATTGTTCAGATGAAAATGAATCTGCAGCCATTCATTCACGCGGGGCCTCCGCTCGCAAAATCTCTCCAAACCACCCGTCATGCAATTAAAACGAGAATATATTAGGGAGTGAATAGCAGACAAGGTCATGCTGTATTGATGCAGCGAAAGTTCACAGTGACTGGAAAATTAAATTGATTCCCAATTGGATATAAGAAAAGTCCCTTTGGGCGGAGGAGGTTGAATTGTTGGGGTCGTTTCGGAATTTTATGGCATTCCCAAGTGTCCGGCGCTAAGAGGTGGCAACAATTACTTCCCACCATCTACATATATGGGAAGATTGAATGCACTCAATTGTGAAATTACACTTTTGTCCCAGTTGCTGAGGAGTTTTGGGGTAGAGATGGTCTGGCGGAAGAAATAATTGCAACCTTAAGTGGATTGATGATAATATGCAAAATATTCCTCTCATGTTCCAACATAATACTGCTTATATAGGCAAGTAAAATTAATGCCAGCACTTGAAGGTGATTAACACCAGGGTATTTCGGTTCATGCCAGCAGCCAATTAGTGATGTACTGTCGTTAGAAAATAATGCTTCATGTACTCACATAAAGTGCGTGATAAAACTCAGGAATGCTTATCATAATACATTCTGCTACTTGAAATTTTTTTCCTCCCCAACTTTATATCATTTTAAAATTTCTCCAGAACATAGACCATGATTACTCACTGTTGCATCAAGCAAAAACACTCATCCTCGTGTACTTGTAAATTTTCTGAAATTTATTATAATAATTGTATGTTTAACTTTAGTGTACATATAGCATAAGATAAAATGTTATAGTATGTATACAACCATGAAATAATGAGAAACATTTATAATAATGAAAATCACAGTGCGGATGGAAATTTCGAGGTGACTTTAGCAACAAAAGCGACAATTTATTCAGAGGGTTTAGTTGAATGGAAACCACCCGCAATTTACAAGTCTTCTTGCGAAATTGACGTCGAATACTTTCCCTTTGATGAACAAACGTGTGTTTTAAAATTCGGCAGCTGGACTTATGATGGGTTTAAGGTATGTTCTGTCTTTCTATGCTTCAGCCATATTTCCAACAAATCACACTCTTTCGCGACAAATTTATGCACATCACCAGATAAAATATATATTATATGAAAAAAAAGATGAAAAATTCGCGACTATTCTCAAAATTGTATATTTTATGAACACGACAGCACATTCCACTTCTCATACCAACACCTCATCGTCTTTGGATTGAAGCAATTTATTGCTAAGAATTTTTATTTGGTTGTTGTCTCAAATGTTACTCTTAAGCTTCACTTTCTCTGTCTCTTTGCCATTTCACACGCATTTGAAAGGGACATTTTGGATGAGAGTGTGAAATTGCGCCATTGCCTTGCTCGGGTTAAAGTCACCCTTCCTCTCTTGTCTATTTACCTAAACCTAAAGTCATTAAGAGTTTATTGTCGGGAAAATGTATTAAATTTATCCCGCGATATTTGATACATATAGCGTCAAATTTAAACTTGTTCTACTGCTCAAGATACCATGACACATTTTCGAAATTAGAGTGTATATTTTAGGGATGCTCATGCGAATATTTGACTATGAATATATTACTGAGCTTTATCTTGATCTCCATACCCGACCAACAAAATGAATATATCATGTTATTGACTTTGGTTGAGTTATTTTGCAAAATATGCAACGTTTCGTCTGCTCAATTTTCTTTGCTTTTCTCTCTTTCTCTCTCTCTCACACCCTCTCTTTTGACTCATCTTGTAAATAGTCACACGCAGACAATGCAAAGTGGAGAAGAGGGCAAAGGAGACATTTCCCACAAACAATTTAATATTGAAGTATCTCAGCTTCAATATTGATGTGCTACATGCATGGAAAATCAATATGAAATTTGACTACATACCATTAACGCAAGATACTACTCTGAAATACATTATCTCCCGCCTAAGTAGGTATATTGTACATATTTTTTTTCTTCGGTGACTTATATCAGAAGATAAGGTGAAGAAGCTGCTCTATGTACCTCATCACAGCCCAGCACAGTTGTCGAGGTTGCCGAGAGAAACACACGGGAAAAATGTAATATTTTAGTTTAGGACGTATTTATCTGGGGTGCGATTGTTGATGACAATAAATCGTGACTCCTCACGTGGTGCCCAAAACTCGGAAGACGATGCCGGAAATAATATTTCGTCTTCATTTGCAGGAGACAAACACCATCTTCCACGGTGCTTTGCTCTGATTTTCCAACTGAGACTTGTTAATATGAGGGCTTGGTGTAATAATAATTTTTCTACAATTATAACACAATATATACTCCCGCAAAACGCCACTTAGGGACTAAATTAGTGGTGCGCGAGTGGAATGGGGAGGGCAGGGAAAGGGTAAATGGTGAGTGTGAGGGATTAATGGAATGAAACGATGAAATAATAATAGAGACACGAGAAAGTTAATTCACTACAATTTCACTAATGTATTTAATCAGGAGACTATACAGTACACACTTGCCTCGCTACCTTTTGTCTGCCCCCCACATTCTCACACCCCATATGTGAGATCGCTGTACGAACCTCAGGAGAGACATCCTTAATGATAAATGAAGAGGGTTTTGCTAGAGTTATGTGTATGTGGCGTTTTGTAGGGAATTTTCCCCGCACTTTTATTGCTCAGAGATCACATTTTCAGTTCACTAATGGCAACCGCCCAACAATTGCACAACTCCATAAGGTGGACATGAATTTACAATTATTACTCTGCAGAAACGTGTAAATTAATAATGATTTCTTTCACCAGGATTTGTGCCATCTCACCCTGTGGCCTCGTCCATGTGTCTGTTCTGTCTTCATTAGATATTCTTTATGGCCAATAAAATCCTCAACAGGCTTCGGTGTTATGCAACGTTAAAGTGACGTGCGATCTATGAGGAATTGGCGGAAATGAATTCACTCAATTTGCATTGAATATTCGCACCATAAGAGAAATATGGAATTGAGTTTGTGGCTCACTGGATAGATCGGGCATTTGGACGGGACCACGGCGTGGTCAGTTTTTAAAAATCATCGTCGAAAATTGAATTTATCGCACGGAGACGCTGAGTAACAAATGGTAACAAAACAGGAGGAAGTCAGCGGGGCAACATCCTGGGCAATGTGATTTATAGTTACGGCAGAAAGGACGAGATCCTCATCATTGGTGACAGGAGGAGGATGTTTTGAGTGGTTTTCCTCATGGACTGTTTTGTCACTCCACTTCTTTTTTTTATCTATATTTGTTCGCAACGTGTATTTTGATCCCTGTTCTTGTCAACTTGAGTAAAATATCATCCTTTCCCACCCACAACCCAACATACGGCAAAATGCCTATAAGCCCCACAAAAGAGTGAAGAAATTAATGATCATTTCCCACCAAATGTTGTTTGTTTACAGCGCAGACGGCCACTACGAAGTAACTTTAATGACCAAAGCGACAGTTTACCACACGGGCCTTGTTATATGGCAACCACCAGCGGTATACAAATCGTCCTGTTCCATAGATGTTGAATATTTCCCATATGACGTCCAAACGTGTGTGTTAAAGTTGGGAAGTTGGACATATGATGGCTTCAAGGTGCAAGAAATAAGACACTATTCACAAAATTGATGCCAATAACCATTTGCCTTATTACATAAACCGGAATGTTTTGAGATTTTTGCGAATTTTATCAGTTTTTCCGTTTGGTTTTTAGAACGAAACACTTGTGATATTGTCAAGCAAGCCGTTGAAGAAATGGGAAAAAATGTTTGCAAAAGAAAGGCTCTCTCTCTCTCTCTCTCACACACACAAAATTGAACCACGCAATATTCGGGGACCTCTATGTGTTATGTACATTTTTTCCTATTTCACTACCAAGAATTTTCTGTACATTTGGTTTTCCTTTTTGACTCAATATAGTAATGATTTTTGGAAAGCAATTAGAAGAATTTTAAATTGCAACAACTTTTTTGTAAGTCGTTTTACTTTTTTATCCGTAAAAGTGAGATTCACTGGCTAAAGAACTTTTTTATATTATCTGCTCTTAATCATTGATTGACCAAAAGAACAACTTCTTGTCCTGACCAAAGATATATACATATATACATAGATGTAAATTTTGGCGATAATGAACTGTTTTTTGTGTTGTTATCCTAGAGGTGAGCCTGAATAAGTGGTCGTTAAGAGCAAAAGCACACCCAAATTCTATTAAATGTGCGTGCTGCCCATTTGTTGCAATGGAACTTGATGGATTGCCGTGAATAGAGTTGAAGGTTATTTAATAGAATTTTGGTGCTTAACCGGATGTTTTGAATATTGAATGACTATTTAGTTGCATCAACAACTTTTCCAACAAAGCTGAAAAGAGCGAAGAGTATTATATTATTGGAAATTTTCTCTCTCTCTTCTTTCTTGTTTTCCTTATTGTTTTCTACAAAGCAAAAAAAAAAACGCATTTCACAAAATAGTGTTTGAAGAGAATTTATAAAACAGAATATGTAATTTTAGTCCAGGACAATAATACAAAAAATATGAATTCCTCCCAAAATACCAGCACTTTTGGACTGTGAATGGAATATTAAAATGGGAAAGGTATAAAATCTCTACAACTTTTTGCTCTCATATTGACCGTTTTTTATAACAAATGTTTTTTAATCTCTCGATATATTTATGATTATATTTTTTCAAATGCAAATGTATTTTACAAAGATTTTTGAGAACCAAAACGAATTCCTGTCCGATTTTCTTTAATCTCCACCACATTTTTTATTTGTATCTGATTTTTGTGTACAACAATTTTTAAAACCAAAAATAATAATAATAATAATAATAATTGTTAAAAGCCGATGGTATAATAAATAATAGACAGAAAAACGATCTTCACTAAAATTCCCTGTAAATAAAATGAAGGCAAAACGCAGTAAAACCTACAACTCTTCTAAATGCCCACTTCATTGTCATAATTTCTGTTCATTTCTCAAAAATTTAATTAAAAAAAATATATACACACACACTTTCTTTGGTGAACTTTTGTGAATTTGCCTCATATGCAAGTTGCATGTTTTCAAGTGTCTCAGACTCTTCTCTATATGAATATTTCTTGTATATCGTAACTTGCTCGCACCTCAACTATTTTCACATTTACTGTACATAAATCATTCTAAACGTCTCGAAAATTGCTTGGTCTTTGAGAGAGATTTATTCTTAAACACCCTCTTTGTGTTGTACATATACTTTCCATCCCATTGACACTGAATTATAATTAATTGTGTAAAATAAATTTGGAATCTCACAAATTCATGAAGCTCTTGTGTAAATACATTCACCTTCATTTTATGTGTAAATTCCATTAAACAACTGAATTAATAATAATTATGTAAAATACATATAAATATGTATTCATTTTAATTATTCTATCCCTCACTTAACATTTACGTTCAATATCTTTTTTGATGACCAACATGCAAAAAATCAATTGGACTTATTTTATACCTTTTCCAAACTTCAGGGAGCAATTTTTTAGCTGTATCAATAAACCAATATGTTCACTTCTATGCGCCACAGAGTTTGCATGATTCTCTCTTTTTTAGCCAAATTACAATACACGTTGTTCTTGTGACATAATTGCAGATGGAAGTTATGATGCGTTAAATTGTACAAACATTTTTTTCTACTTCAAATGCATTCAGTGTAATGACGTTAGGATATATAGAATCAACCACTCGTAATTAGAAGATTGACGAGAGTAATGCGTTAACCATTTATTATTTTGTTAATTAGAAGAGTGCAGATTTTGTGTTCCTGCATTGTGACTCTCATGAATTAAACGGAACATTAGATTTAGCCCTCATTCGCTTGCGCTGTGAATGAGACGCTCTGTATTTGCGTGAATGCCGTATCGCCTGGAATGTACTATGAGATTTAATCCTGTAGCAATTAAAAGCCTTCTTGAGGAAACACTGAAGAAAAGACCATCATTCTAGTTGATCTAAAGTTACATTTAAATGGGAGTTTATAGGATTTACTGCAACCTCTTGATCACTCTGAGTTGTACTTCTTTGAACCGAAAGTCGTAATTGTGCCATTGATGTGTTGATTTCGTATAAAACCATTCAATAATCGCAAGTGGCATTCACATTGAGGATATTAAACCTTAGATTCTTTCACATTATTATTATTATTTTTGATCATGTCAATGTTTCCTTACATTAAAGAAAAATATCATTGTTACTTTTTCTAGACAGAGTAAATATTTCCCTTCTGTTGTGAAACTTTCACTGTGACTCTGCAACACTATCAAATTGTCAATTTTCGACTGAGAAGAGAACGTTTGGATAAATGTTTGTTGCTAATCCACATTTACAGATTTTGTATTGATAAATGAAGAAGCTCATTTGACTCTATATGTCGGTGTTATTTCAGGCCTTTGGATCGGTGGATATAGTGTTGTTATCGTTGCGAAACTATTATTATTTTCATTTAATTCTCCACTTACTGATATGATTTTGATAGTTACACTCTATCTCTGTCTCTTTTGATATACAAAGCGCTGTTAAATGAAATTGAACCTCGTAATCCCACTATGAATTGCTCTACATCTCTCACTCTATATCTCTCTCTTTCTCTCTCTCTCTCTCTCTGAATCTGAACCCAAATCCTTTTATGGTGTTTATCAATTTGAATGATGATTGAACTAAATGTGTAATCGAAAGCAGCATAGAAATGCATTTGTGGCCAAAAAAGTCATTCTTAACTGATGCTAGTTTATACAAGAAAACAAGCCAACCAAACAGAGACTCTGAATTTTTCCTTTTATACGTTGTTTTGAGCAAAATTGTGTCGAAAATAATTGCAGTCTCTTGCAAATTGCACTCAAATCCAAATCATTTTGCATGCATGCCAAAAATGCTTATCGTTCTCAAACGCCCGTCAACATTGATTCCATATCATGTCTATCATGACACATTGAACCAAACATTAAATAATACCTGTGAAATCCACTCTCACTTTTTCCCCTTCACATTCGACACAGAATGCTTCAATAGTCACACATCTAATTGTTCCTCCAAATTACGTGATGATACGTTTCGCTTTGGCGTACTTAATGAATTGCCTTCTTAACCCATAACATGCATCCACAACATATTATCCGTGCGGACAGGTGGATCTGCGACACATGGACGAGCAATCTGGCAGCAATATTGTTGATGTTGGGGTGGATCTATCAGAATTCTATATGTCGGTGGAGTGGGACATTCTCGAAGTGCCAGCTGTTAGGTATATGTTCTCTGTTTACACATTTACCCCATTGTCACACGCACTCAATGCCGCCCCCCTATTGTTCAGAAATTACCACAGTCGGGAATTCCGCCAAAGAGCTCCTTAAAGAGGATGTGTGAAATTATTTCTGTTTGTGTGCTGCATTCGAACTCTCAGTAAGCGAAAGTCGCGTTTCTGGGAGAAAGTCTTTCTAAATATTGGGTTATTTAATACAAATATGTACATATATTTTAAAAGCGGTAATGAGAAAATCCTTTGTTATTTGCTCAATTAATGAGAGAGTTATTCTATTGTGAATTTATGTATCTGTGCCATGATATAGAATTTTGAACACATATGGTGGCTGGTTTAATATCTGTTAACGTTAAATTCAATTTGTTGAATTTCACTGTGTTATTGCTTTCTAAAATGCTTGCAAGAATTTTTGATAAATTTTTCAAAGTGTGGTCGAATAAAATGAAAAATTCATCATTTCAGTATAAAGTTCAGACATAGAAATTCTTTGAGGAAGACTTTAGAGTAGTCAGAGAACCGCAACGAGCACTATAAAATGCACACAGTGATAGGAAATTTGTTCTTTCCGCCTCATTAACGTTGAAACCAACTTTTCTCTCTTCCTCTCTTTTGCGGCATCCTAGTTGAATTTTATATCTAATTCGACAACTGCTCATTATACTTTTTCCATTTATCATGGGGAATTTCAATTAATGCTCCAATCATTTTCTAATCACCCCAGTCAAGAAGGAATGTCGTGACAGAGAAGGAATTCATCTAAATCAGTTCTGATGTGTTTTGTTGAGCGTAAAAAATGTGAGTTGTCGAGTAGAGTAGCTTTAAATTGTTTTGCAGACTGTCTCTCTTTCTCTCTGTCCGCCCCCAAAGCGTTCATCCCAGCCGAGGGTTAGCAATGCAGAAAAAAATAACTAAAGCACTGAATGTAAAAAGAGCATAAAACGGTGCTCCACCCCTTGTACATATCAATTTGATTATTAATGCTATGTTGGCAAGCGGATAAAAAGTCAAATACTCTTGCCCCTCTGTAGAAATGAAAAATTCTACACATGCTGTGACGAGCCGTACTTGGACATAACGTTCAACATAACAATGCGGCGAAAAACGTTGTTCTACACAGTCAACATAATCATTCCCTGCATGGGCATCTCATTCCTCACAGTATTAACATTTTACTTGCCATCGGACAGTGGTGAAAAGGTAAAATATTTGGCGTGCAAATATTTATAATTGAGCCAACGTCGGTGCATCAACACCTCCTCAAATTGCAGGTTACGCTCTCCATATCAATTCTCATTAGTCTCCATGTGTTCTTTCTACTGGTCGTCGAGATAATACCGCCAACATCCCTGGTAGTGCCGCTCCTCGGGAAATATCTCATTTTCGCCATGATATTAGTATCAATAAGGTGAGTTGATATATTGGAGTCTTTTAATTAAAATAAACTCAAACCAATGGCTCACCGCATTAATTGCCATTTAATTCCGTGCCTTCCGCTCTCCCGCACCCTCATTTCAATTCCTCTTCTCCCCCCTATTCATGGCGAATCCCCGCAACTACAGGCACTTTTGTGCCAAGAGTCTGCGGTTTGAGTAAACTTCATCTTGCGATAATTTATATTAATGAACAAAATATGTACGGGGAGCAGAGAGCAATAATCCCTGAATCCTTCCAACTACACTTCGGTGAGGGAAAGAAAATTTAATTGACTGCCTTTCTGAGCCACAAGAGCCCTACGAGAGGCTTGTTTATACACAGCACACGCATATAATATCCAAACGCTCGCTTATTGTGGAACTTAATTCGGAAACAATAGCGAAGATTGATATGAGGTACACTTCGCGCGAATCAAAGGCTCAACTTGAAATTCTAGCATCACATATAGTACATTATATGGGTGTACATATATTATGTTCCATCGAATACTGAATGCGAGTGCAAATAAATGCCGCACGATAGCATTTTCACACTCTGCGATATTGTTCAAATATTAAACAGGGATGTGATGGGTGGTGTGCAAGGGAAGCACACTGCCGTGCAGAAATTTGTGTAATTTTGGTCCCAATAAAGAAAAATAATTGTATATATCTCAATTCCGCAGGTCGACTGCCATTGTTTATTCGCAAAAAAGTTACAATTTTCATTAGCAACTTTTTTGATTGTAGAAATATGAATGAGTTTGAGCATAATTGAAAATAACCAGAATTTTCAAAACCAGTGTAAAATTATTGTGGTCTTATTGGCGCCAGGAGTCAATTTGTGCTACTTAGACTTGTACGTAGTGCAGCACTCTTGCTCCCCAGTGTAAATGAGTACTAACTTTCTGACATGAACTCAACTCGCTCAACTCCGGTTTTAATTAATAAAATGTAATATTCTCCCTCAGCATATGTGTCACTGTGGTTGTACTCAACGTGCATTTCCGATCACCACAAACCCATCGAATGGCGCCATGGGTTAATTTCGTTTTCATCCAAATCCTGCCCCGAGTACTCTTTATGCGTCGGCCCCAGTACAGCTTTGAGTCGAAATACAGGTAATATGGGCAAATTCGTTGAATAAATTCAATTATCCTGGCCACTTTTTCTCCATGTGCTAAAAAATATCTTTTCTACGACACACCCTTTGTTAATAATGCAGGAAGCACTTGCTCCGGGATCCACACATCTCCTTCTATCCCTACTATTCAACATCGAATTTGGATCAAATAGCACGAATGAGCAGGTCGCCCTCCAAGGAGGACATGTCCCCGTCGAGGTAAATGCCCGCAAAATTAAGTATTCCGGTTAATAATGCATGAGCGGGTGAAAAACCACCGAAGGTATATTGTTGACTCCACTTTACAACAATCTCGCTCCCTTTGCAGCCTCACCGGCACGGGTCCTTTCGGCGGCAGTTGCCAGATTCATGGCCCAGTCACGGTGCCCCACTCGGAGTCGGAGGATCTGTCGTGCGAGGCGGACCTGGATGAGGGTGCCACCACAATAAAGAGCCCAATTATACCCAATCCGGGCTTCTCTCACGGACACTGTCCTCAGGACATGCATAAGAGCTGCTTTTACGTGCGATTTATAGCCGAGCACACGAAGATGCTTGAGGACTCCACAAAGGTCAGATCTTTCCCATAATTTATCACTCTCAGTAAAGGGTAAATAATGCAGAAATTTATCGGTAATAATATGGCAGAGCGAGGTTGATTTCAATATATTATGATCAGTGTTACATTTCAGCTATTTTACTGAAATTGAATTGGATACACTTATGCACATACGCCCACTATGTTATGATATATGCTATGCTAAACACCAACACTCCATATCATTTTCACCAATTTCCATTCATACGATTCATGCATGTGCTCTCTTTGTCTCTGCGGCGCACAGGTGAAGGAGGACTGGAAGTACGTTGCAATGGTGCTAGATCGACTCTTTCTCTGGATATTCACCCTGGCCGTGCTAGTTGGCACTGCCGCAATTATTCTGCAAGCCCCCACGCTCTATGACGACCGCATCCCCATTGATAAGAAGTTCTCCGAGTTTGCCACAACAACGGTGGTGCGATGTCCGCCGCAATAGCAATTCGCGGGCGTCATGCTAAGTCCCCTGGCTCCTATTTTCAGTATTGTGCATTGGAATTAGTGCCTGTATCTTGACAAGGAACACCTGGAAAAGCCAGAAAAAAAACAGCAGCGGCACACACAACACTGTTGTGAGCAATTCTATAGACGGAAATGTCCAATTTCTCATTGTACGGGTTCTAAAGAGCCAGAAATGGCAACAATTTATGTATAAATTACCTTTTATGACTGAGTTTCATCGTACCAATACAGCCCATAGTAATATAATTGTAATAGATGGAATGAACTTTTAGCAAATAACAGGACAATAATCTTTCTTGAAAAGTGACAAAAAGACACCACATTTAAGCAAGTCTCATTTATCAAAATCACACAGTCAAATAATTTAGCCACCATATAATTATTATGGAATATCGAAATTACGTCACGTAGAAAAGTAGTTTTGCAATTCGATTTGAGTAGGAGAAAAAAAGAGGAGAAAGCTGATGAAAGCAAGCTCATAAACATTCATAAAGAAAATCAAAGGAAAAAAATATATATCTATAGTCAAGAAGTTGTATTATTTAACCATTAGAAGAGTCCACGGTAGGGATTTCTTTCATATTCCTCCCAAAATATTCCATATATATATATTTTGTGACAAAAAAACAGAATATTTGTAACTACAGGAAAGCCCAATATGAAAAGAAATCACATTAGAATTGTTAATAAGAGTATAATTGAATTTATACTTTCTCCCAAATTCAATGAGCTAATTTGCCACAAGATTTGGAGCGTTATAATTCTAAAACTATGTAAAAGATGAGTAATTGACATATGTAATCCCCCAGCAATTAACGTAAAATGAAATACGAGTATTAAAGAGTAGAAAAAAATACAGAGAATAGATGACAACAGTATCAGTAGAAGTCGAGTGTTGGTTGGCAGAATTACGCAACAATATAAAAGAAGGATGAGAAACAAACATTACATATATACCAAATTGAATTTCAACCGTGTAAGGAGTATTAAATATAAAAGGAAACGCACAATGGAGCGTTTAGCAAATAGTTAAATGTAAAATTTTTAGTAGAACATTAACTGCCATTAAAGAAAGACAGTATTTGTAACTCATAAAATACCAAGATGTGAAGGAGAAAATAGTTTTAACCAAAGAATTTCAAATGAAGATAAAAGAAAAAAAACACATGAAATATGACTAGAAAGTTAACATTAATCATTAAGAGGATTATCTAACAAGTACATGAGTGGCGGAAAACAGAGAAGAGCAAAGAAGGCAAAAAAAACCGTATTTTAGTACACCAAAAAAAAGTTCATATTTTTTGAAAAGAAAACAAGGTGGAAGGACATTTGCAGAAAATCTATTGGAATTAGATGGTAGATATATCGGAAAATTCTTTTAGTGTTACGCACGATCGACACTTGGCGTAGTTGATCAGGTGGAAAACTAACGACTTATGATAGAAACTCTTACGATAGCTATACTAATCTATCTATAACTTGTGTTTCCTTCATCATTGATACTTTTCGACTTTTCACTCTACTCATAAATTATCTTTTTCGTGAATTTGCAAGCAGAAAGTTCCCCAGAGAGAGAGAGAGAGCAATGAGGCTCGGGCTGTTTGCGAGATGTTATGCTCTGTCCCTCGATTGACGTTCAAGACATCCTTCGAAACGAGCTTAGCTGTGTGGCAAAATGTTGGAGAAAATCAATTGATTGTTGTGCTTTTCTGCTCCCATTCGCAGGGGCAGAGCAGAGATACAGAATGCCTGATAAGATTCCTGAATATTCACATGAATTTCTATGTCCTAATGCACTATAATAGTCAAAATACTAATCGATAGAGACATGGAGAACCTCTCGGAGGCAAAAAGTAGAAAATTATTCCACATAACATAAAAATGCACCCCCATTTTCCTCATTCCCCTCATGAAGATTTAAATTGTAAATAGAGTCTGTACACATGAGATTCTGCCCCTAAACTGTACATAAGATACTTCTGTTATCACATGTTGAGAGTTCTGATAAAATCTATGGTATAATCTTACTCCAAGTTAGAGAAATCTTTGGCGATGGTCACCCATAAATTCAATTACAATTGAAATTTCGTAGGTTCCATGGGCACTTGTGATGTGTCTAGCCGGGCGGAATTGGTGTGCAGACAGGACAAATGGCAATGGAACAGACGATTTATGTAAATGTAAATTGACGATGAGGTCTATCGTTTCCTTCCCTCTTTCGGTCCCATTTAGCCAGACTGGTGTTCATAAAATGTAAAATGTATTGTTATACCACTGAGCCACTATTGTTTTATCATTTTCAACGAAATATATAATCAATTATGTAAATCAGAAGGTATTTTGAATCAATAAATGATTATGAGAAAACTTATGGGATAATCCCTTCTTCCTGGGAACTGACTTTTATTCAACACATCATTTTTACATCAACTTCTAAGCAATATGCAATTCAATAATACCTCAAGATTTCGTGTATTACACGGGAAATGATTTTGGAGAACTGATGTGCGACCAATTAGCCTCTGCTCGGGGCCACCAGGTCGTCCGGATTGAACATGCCCTTGGCGCGACGCAGAATGGAGTCCTTGGACGCATCGTAGGGGTGATCCTTCGAGGGAATCTCCAGAACGGCCGGCAGAGGAGCCGTGTGCTGGTCAATCACATGACGGATGAGCTCAGCCAGGTTCTGGTTGATGAGGATGATGTCAATGTCATCGCGCTTCAGGAACCGCTTGAAGCAGTCCTCAATTTCGCTGACGGAAGTGTCTGGAAGAGGATTTTTCAATCAATACCAACACTCTGTTAATCCCCAATCGAGATTCACGTACTTTTGTCCACGACCATGAAGTTGGGATGACGATTCTTGTTGATTTCTCCAACACCACCCAGGAGAAATCCCACACAAGTGTCCTGCAAGCAGAGAAGGATTCTCAGTGTGATTTCAATGGCGGCGCACAGTGTTTTACCTCATCTCCAATAACTGACAGCAGTTTTCCCTTAATTGCAGAGTGGAGGGCCATTTTCGCAGAGGAAAATTTCTGGGATGCACTGAACAGAAGAAACAAGGGTCAGCTGACTTGAGTCGTGACAGCACAACAGATTAGAGTATTGAAATTTTCGTGAAATTTAGCTGATCGTCAAATGAAAACCACAACGGAAAGAGATTGACGGAATGTCTCGACACCCACTTCGATATCTATAGAGGAAAGCGAGGCATTATCAAATTATCTATTGAGTTCACCTTGATTTGTAAAATTCTTGTACGACACTTCGCGAATATTTCAAGGAAAATATAAAATTCCAAGCCTTACCCCAGAAGTCACGAGAGCTCTGAGTACTGATGTTTCCACCAGAGAGCGTTTTAGTCGCATAGATGAACCTCCCTTTCAAAACATAACGTACAATGATGAGATGAAATTACACTCCATATCAAAATTTAATTACACACTCTTTTTCTGTGTTTTCAGAATATTTATTATATCAAGCATAAAATCTCTCTCTACAATTTTCCGTGTGTTCATTCATGGACAAACATTAATACTGTCTTTGGAGTGCAATCAGTGCCCTACTAAATAGATCCTTGAATCCTCCTCTCATTCCTCAACAATTCGTGACTAGTTTTATACGTGAAACATCGGAAAAAACCACATGAACACATCTTTTTTCTGAGATTTCCCTTTGGTATTGTAGCGTTTTTTTTTCTCAAATAAATATTATCCTCTTCTCCGCTTCGAAGAGTCGGCAGTGAAGTGATTATCTCTCTTCAATAAAATGATTACCCGACTAGATGTCTTCGATCTCCCGCCAATTCGCGGGGAGATTCATTGCAAAAATGCTGACTATTTGTAGCGTGGACTGTAGCCACTGTGGTGCTCATATTCCCTGCCTGAGTTTGGTGGCAAACTCAGAGAAACGGCACTGTCCAATCTGCAAAAAATTTCGTGTGTTAGCATTTTTATGGGAATAGACGAGAAATTGGACTCACCTTCTGGTCTCGCTCTCGAGAGTCATGGGATCGAGTGGTTCTTGGGCCACATGGCGAAGACTATCGCCCAGTGTCTGACGCAATTGTTGCATCTCTCGCCCAGCTCTGGTGCTTCTTAATATGTAATGCTGCCTCCGTTTCGCCTCCTGAGCCAGCTGCTCACGAAGCATGGAAATCTGCAGAAGACGCCCAATTACATCCACTGTGCAGAGCAGACACACGAGAACAACTCACCTGATTCTCTAGGCGCAGCACTTGCTGTCGGTGAGATTGCTCCCTGGCGTCCAAGAGCCGCTCAGCTTGGAGCTGAGCAGATCGATACTTCTCCGCATCACTGGACATACACTTGGGAATCTCAGCCATTTTCGCCTTCGCCCTTGCCAATTCTGACTCCTTCTCGGCCAACAGAGTCTCCAGACGGCGACACTTCATCCTCAAGTCCCGATTCTCCTGCTCAATCAGCGTGTGATCCAGTCCACAGTTGAACGATGAGCTCAGCGCTCCATGACCACCTCTGGACATCGAAGTGTCCGTCTCCAAGCGATTGGAGTCAAGTTCCCCACGCCCACCATCATAGAGACTCTTCTCTGATCTATCGAACTGCACCTGCCCAGAGAACTTGCTGCTCCTCTCCATGTTCCTCTTCTCATTCTCCAACGTGCGCACTTTCTCATTCAACGTGTCCACCTTCACTCTCAGCTCAGATCTCTCGCGCTGCATCTGTCTCAAGGCGTCTCCGTCCGCGGTGCTGGGCACAGTTGCGGACATCTGATCGGCGTTCTCCTGATTCCACTTGGCAATCCTCAGCTGAGACTCCAGAGCGGACTTCTGCACTTCCAATTCAGCCACTTGCTCCTGGAAACGCTGGCAGGAATCTTGCTGTGCCTGCTGAGTCCTCCTCAAGTCATTAGACACGCTCTGAGCAGCCTCAAGACGTTCCGCCAGGATGCGTCTCTCATTCTCACTGTTGCTCAACGTCTTCTGAATCTGCTTCAGCTTATCATGTCCCGCGAGGACATTGTGACCCTGCTCGGAGTGCGCCTTGTGCAGGCAGTTAATCTCCGCCCTAAGCTCGGTTTCCGTGATGGCAGCACTCTGGAGGCGCTCCTTGAGTTGATCAACGGTCGTCTTCAACGCAATACATCTGTAAAGAACACATTGAATATCATACTTGCCAAGGAATTGCATGTGAAAGGATAGCCAACCTGTCTTCTAACTGCGTTGACGCACGCCCTTGATTCTCAAAGCGCTCCTGCAGGCTTCGCAGATTATTCTCCTTCTCGTGGAGAGCCATCTGCAATCTCTGGATGTCTCCTTCGAGAGCCACACGTTGCAAATCCAATTTCGATGCGCGATTCTCACAGCGAGTGAGCTCCTCTTGCAGATGTCTCTTCTCACTCTCCAGACGACTGACGGATTGTCGGCATTTCTCCAGGCGCTCCTCACACTGAGCTCTCTCCTCAGCACTACTAGCCAGAGACACTTCCAGACTGTTCACCTTCTCCCTCAGCATGTTGACTTCCTCAATCTTCTGACGCAAATTCTCCTCCACAACTTGAAGAGCTGATCCCTTCTGGTTCAACTTCGCCTCCACATTGGCCTTCTCCTCTTGGACAGAGCGCAGCACCTGCTGCAGCTTGGATATCTTGTTCTCACCCTTCGCCTGAGCTTCGGCTCCCTCCTGGAGTTGCTTCCTCGCTGTGGCCAATTGAGCCTTAAAGTCATCCTTTTCGCGCTCAATTTGTGCCACTTGTTGCATCAGTGTTCTCACTCCCTTCCTCACCATCTCTGGGTCCACATCAATTATGGGTCCATCACCAGCCACACTTCGACAGTCATAGTCATGACCACCACGAGCCGGGCTGTAGCGCCTCGAGGGACTGAGAAGGCGATAGGGCAAACTCACAGTGCCGTCCAGTTGAATTCCGGCGATGCGCCGAAGAGTGTGAGCGATAGAACTCAATCTGTTCTCCACCTCACGTTTTGCACTCTCCGTCTGAATAAGTTGCTCATCCAGAGCACGAACACGACCTTCGCAACCGCCCAAACGTGCCTTCAACTCCTGAATTTGCTGCGTGGCATCGGCCAGGCACACTTCCAAGTTGTGCTTCTGATCCTCCAGTCTCTTCTCCCTGCACCGTCCCTCGTCCAAGCGCTGCAACAACTCTTGCTCTCGCCCGTGCCAGCGATGCTCGTCCTGATTCAATTTGCAACGCGAGCGACCCAATTCTTGGCGTGTCGCGTGCAAATTAGCATCCAAATCCGCCAGTTGCTTCTTCGCCTGATGAAGTTCCGCCTGGATGCGCTCCTTCTCCTCCATCTCATTCGTTAGCCTCGCGTGAAGCTCCTTCTCCACCACATCCTTCTGCGAGGCATTCGATGCCATCTTCTGCAGATTATTCTGCGCCTGTTGCAGCTCCTGATTTAATTTCGCAACATTATTGTCCGTCTCCTTGAGCAATGTGGCCAGTCTGGTCTTCTCCACCTCATTAGCTGTGCGCGCCTCCTCTAAACCAGCAATCTTCTGCAGCGCCTCTTCGTGCATACGCGTAGCCTCTCTCCTCTGTCCCTCAACGCGCTTCACATGATCCCTGAGATCTCTGTTTGTGTTGGCATATTTGTCCTTTTCAATATTACTGTCAGCCAGAGCACGTCTTGTGTCCGTCAACTCCTTTCGAGCAGCCTCAACCGCATTTTCAGCTGCAACATGGTCGGAAAAACTTTTAGCAAAATCCGAGATTTAATGGAAGAGATTCAATACTTACTTTCTTTCAATTTCCTCACAGTTTCAATCAATTGGTTATTCAGAGAATCACCTCTGTCCTCACAGAGGCGAATCTGAACACGAAGTTCCTCATTCTCCTTCTGAGCTGCTTCGCGCTCCTCGCGAAGAGAACTCAAATAGGACTCTAACTTATGAAGATCCTCTTCGTGTTTTTGCCTTAAACAAATCGCCACAATCAGCTTTAAAGTCACTCAAGAGACAAATTAATGAACTCACCTGCTCTCTTCCATCTTCGCCTTCAAACGAGTGATCTCTTCTCTCAACTGGTTGATTGTCGCTCTGTCCTTCTCAGCTCTGGCCGCTCCTTCGCGCCTCAATCTTTCGCACGTATCGTTCTCAGCCGCCAAATCCCTGCTCACAGCATCCAAACGCTCAATAACTGCCTGCTTGTCTCTGTGTGCCAACATGAGAGCCTGCTGCTTATCATTCTCGGCCCTTATCATCACTTCCTCGTGCTGCTGACAGAGAGCCTCCACGTGCATCTGCAGCTGATCATATCGCTCCTTCAAGGCTTCAATCTCTGCATCCTTGGAGGCCTGGAGAGCCAACAATGAGCTCTGCATCCGTTTCTCAAGTGATGCCCTTATTTGCTCCTTCTCCTCATTCAATTTCTTTGCGTTCTCCTCAGCCATTGCCTTCAAGTTGGCAATCTTCTGCAAGAACTCCGCTTCTTGATTCGCTGCCGCATTTGTAAGTTGAATCTTCATTTCCTGAGCACGTCTCTCGCTATTCTCAAAGTCCTTCACGAGTCTTGCAATTTGATTCCTCATGGATTCCTGCTTTATCAGGAGATCTTGAACTTCATGTTCCAATTGCTCTTTCTTCACCTCAGTCGCCTCGAGAGTTGTGTTTGTGTCAAATAGAACTGCTTCAAGAGCTTCCTTTTCACTCCTCAGCGATGCCAGTTGTTCCTGTAAATTGAAAAAACGAATAAATGGGGTGTACAATTTGTTTACTATCGGCATTGGACAAATAGCCTTCATATGCGTCAGTGGTGTAATGGTTAGCATAGTTGCCTTCCAAGCAGTTGATCCGAGTTCGATTCTCGGCTGACGCACTCTTTTTTCCACTTCATCCATAGCCAAGACACAAACCATACAATTTTGAGTACGTTTAAGAAAATATTTTACCTGCATTCGCTGCAATTCCTTCTCCTGGCCCTCAATAACCACCATCTTCTCCTCATTCTCCTTCACCAAGTCCTCGAGATTGCGATTAAGACGACTATTAGTTTCATTAGACTGCTCCATGCGCTGACGAAGTCTCATTAGCTCTTCACCCAGGCCTTCCTTCTTGCGCGTGATGACCGTGAGCTGATTGGCCACATCTCCACGCTCTCGAGTCACCTGAATCAGCTCCTGCTCCACCTTGTCCTTGTCAATCTCCAGGAACTTCAGCTTCTCACTGATGGACAGCTTCTCAGACTCCAAATCCAGACGAACTTGCTCGGCCGAAATCAGTTCCTTCTTCAGCGAAGCAACATCCACACCCAATTCTGAAGACAGGGTCTTGAATTTGTTCCGCTCCTCCTCCAATTCTCCAATCACGCCCTTCAATTGCTTCACTTCCTGCGACAAATTGTCACCAGAGTTGCTGCTCTTGTCCAGACGCTCAGATAATTCCACTTTCTCAAGAGACAACTTCTCAAATTCATACTCCAAGTCGGCTTTTTGCTTCTCTGTGAGCGCCAAAAGACTTTCCGCCTCCATTCTCTGCTGCTCCAGAAGGTCACGCGAGAGATAAACCTTGTTCAGTTCCTCCCTGAGGGTGATGGTCTCTTCACGCAGACGGCTGGTCCTCTCTTCCTCGGCTCTGTGAGACAGACAAAAAAATTATATCAGTAAAATGGAATAAAATGCAAAAAATGAACAGATGCCGTGACCAGGAATCGAACCTGGGCTTTCTCGGCCACAACGAGATGTCATAACCACTAGACGATCACGGCTACGCTGTTATGTATATATCGACATTCAGCTTCACTTAAAACATGAATTAAGTGTTCCACGCTATACATAAATCAGCCTATTTACCTATAGCGAATGCTTCAGAATTAATCGTAATACCCGAGATAACCGAATGAAATTGATTAAATACGACAACTGTTACATATTCCAACATTTCCCCACTCAAAGTCACTATTGATTTCCCCCAACATAAGTATTTGGGAATAAATATCAAATAAAATAGGCCATAAATATCGCTAGGCATTCATCCTGATTGTTCAATAAAGGACTACTTAATTCAACAAATAGGTAGGACATGAAAAATAAATAAGTGAAAATCGATAAGAAATTTTGCCTTCAAGTGCAAAGTTGCTTTCCTCAACACCAAGATCGTGTGGCCTAATGGATAAGGCGTCGGACTTCGGATCCGAAGATTGCAGGTTCAAGTCCTGTCACGATCGAATTTTTTTTCCTTCCCAAAACAATTTTTTTTTACCTCAAATTCATTTCCAGGATCTCCTTGTCCTTCATAGAGCGCTGCATCTCCAGCTCCAGTATCTTCTTCTCCTCGTCCAGAGAGTCAATTAGCTTTTGCATCTTCGATGTGTGATTTTGGAGCTTTTCATAGTCACAATTCAAAGAATCCACCTGAAAGAACATTTGAATTCATACTAATTCTTTATTACACACACACACACAAGATGTTTACCATTGAGTTTAGCTCCGCTTTGCCCCTCTCCATTGTGTGCTTATCCATTCGCATTCCCTCTAAAGTCTTCTGGAGACTATCACGCTCCTTGCACAGCTCCGATAACTGGTAATTCGTTCCATCCATCTTCTCAGTCATCTCTGTGAGCTTCGACGTCAAGATATCCCGGGTATTCTCTGTGCTCTCCAGCTGCTTCTTCGTGATTGACAAGGCATCATTGTTGGATTGCAACTTCACTTGCAAATCATGGATTGAGAGTTGGTACTTATGCAGAGCCGCTTGAACGGCTGAAATTGTCCCTTCGGCGAACGCCTGCGACGTGCGACAACCCCCACGTTTTGGGGATCTGGGAGGCAGTTGGGCGCCCTGAGAGAGATGCATATGATTGGCCACAGTCTCCACGTCATTAGAGGCATCGGCGTCCTGAACCACCGCGTGGGCGATATCCCTGAGAGCATGCTGCAGGCGCTCAATCTCATCATTGAGTCTCTGCGCCTGGGCAGCTTGATTCTCCGCGTGCATGCACCTGTCCTCCAGCGTCTTCAGCTCGTGCATCAGCTGCTGCATCTTCTGGTCGCGCTGCTCCAGTTCAATCTTACTCGTCTCGTACTGCACTTTCAGCGAGGCCATCTGGGACTTCAGATCCATGTTGTCCCGCTCAATCTGCATCTGATTGGCTTCTTCATAGCGACTGGCCTGCTTGAGATTCACTGTGACGCCACTGCAAGCACTGGACACCTCGCGATTGATGCCCATCATCTCATAGCGCATCTTATTGAGATCTGTCTTCATGGACGTCTGCATGTCCTTGAAATTCCTCTTCACAGCAACCACTTCTCGCCACATCCTCAAGAGTCTGGTGTGCTCGTTGTTGTAGTAATCATTGAAGGCCTGAAGATGAAAAAAATGTGTTCAAAAAAGCAGGATCAGAAGGATAAGGTCTGCCTGAGTCGTAACGTTAAAAAACGAGGACGACAGACTTCTAGCATCGATTGCTAGTCAAATCCAATCATCAATTCCCGCTTAAAACCCTAGAAGGATCAACCAATTTGTGCCCCACTCGCAGCTCTTCTCATCCAATTGCACGTGTTGTTTTCCCGAAGTATACAGTTCAGTACATTCACCTGCTCTTCTTCTTTCCACTCGCCCTCCTTGGCCAACATATCATCGCGCAAAGCCTCCCAATCAGTTGTCAACTTCTGCAAATCGGTCGTCAACATCTCATTAGTGCGATGAGATTCCTCCAACTGCTGCCTCAGCAAATTGTTCTGCGCCAAGAGTTGTTCGCATCTGAAAGAATTCACAATGTCTTATTATAAGCTCATAGATTAAGCTTAAATTTCTACCTTAGATGCTCTTCCTCGAAGCGACGCGACAATTCTTCTCCATTCTCATGGTGGTACGAGTGCATCGGCGGCGAGGGCTGATCACAAGGCACCGGACAAGGCAAACTCAAGGGTGCAGAAGTGGCTGAGTGACCTGCTGGCGGTGGTAGTGGAATTGCGGCCATCGAAGTCGGTTGCTGGCGGTCAAAACAAAGCGTAATTGAATTACTTTTTTACAAATAGGGTTGCAATTGCAGTACAACTCACATGAGTGCTCCTCGATGAGTAGGAAGGCACCGGTGGCAGAGTCTCGTGCACCTGACCTTCCAGATCTGAGCATCGCTGCTTGTACTGCATCACTTTCGACTGCAGCCGGCCCACGAGATTAGCCTGGTTCTGCTGCGCCTGCTTGTACGTGTCCAGGCGTCGGCGGTAGTTACTCGCCTCCTCCTGCAAACGCTGTCGTAGCTCCTGGTTCTGGCGCAGCAGAGCCGCCGTCTCAACGGGTGCCGGACTGGCCATCCTTACAGAGCGCCCTGCTGGATTGTCGAGACGGGACTTGCTAAATGGACGAGAGAAGGGCTTCTTCTTCTCCAAACTCTCGTTGCTGCTGGATCGTCTGAGGCTGCTGGTCACATTCTCCTTCGTCAGCTGCAATGAAGATTGAGAAAGGGCGTGAAAAAGATTGAAAATTGTGATTCATTGCGGAGACCCACATCGAAAGAGACCGACTTTGCCTTCCTCATGTTCAACACTGAGAAAAAGAGAAAAAACAGAGGTCGACAAGCACGTGGAGCGCAAAACAAATCCACCCCTAGTTACCACTATACGGAACGCGCCGCGGTGGACGCTTTTCAATAAATAGGGTGAGACGGCAATTAATTATGAATGAAGGCACACACTTCGGCCACTATGCCTTGAATACAAATTTATTATACATTCCCGCGCTTCCGATTTACACCCTCAGAGCGCGACTCTCTCAACTCAGCGCGTAATCACGTTGCCAATGAATGTTCAGTGACGAGTCAATTTGTGTGAAAACAATCAGTGCTGCACAACCGATGAATTCACAATGCAAACACTTGATGATTTCGTGTATAGCAAAACCCATTTCCAAACCGCGGTAATTCACTTAGATTAAAAAACACACGAGAATTGGAAAATGCTTTTCTCTCTCCGTGTGGTATAAAACTTGTAATTTTCAGCAAAGAAATCGAAAGCAATTTCCATCAAACTTTATTTATCCACATTTTCTGCCTCTTTAGCATGGGAAGCGTGTCCACACGAAAGTTTTCTTCACCCAAAAACCCAACTCTACACCGTGTATATAATTTACCATGCACCTTTCCTACATACATCGCACCACCCCCAAAAAGGATAACTGTGCCTCTGCACGCATGATAAACTTTGTCACATTGAGACTTTTATCGCTATTTTTATTATTAAATAGCGATCCCAATCCAAGATATAGGCAAATGCCATTTACTGTAAATAACAAACTCTAGCAAAATTTATTATTTCTCCCTCCTCCATTTTTAGTCACAAACCATCATGAGAGACACGAGCAAATATTCTACACCAGAGGAAAAAAAAAATCTAATTCTAAAAGTGTGACTCGCTGTAAAAAGAGTAAAATTTCACAGCTTTTTAGCCGTCATTATCTCGCGTTGGCGAAAATTTACATGGACGAGGTCAAAGGGTAGATTCTCTTATGTAATCCACTGCAATAATTACCAGCATTTTCGTCCATGTACCCACATATCTGAGATTCAATTGCCATTCCCAACTGACATGTTTATAGCCATGTGTCTCTCAAGACGAGAAATTTGAGAAGAATATTAAATTTAGCTATCATCTGAAGAGTGTTGCTACATGACGATGAGCACTTTCCACAGACGTGATTTTGCTGAGGAATATAAACTGCTAAAATACTGCATTCGCAGGCGAAATTGCTGCATAATTTCTCTTCGGCAAAATAATTATTGCGGTAAGCAAATAAATGCACAGAATGTGGTAACTCACATGTAACGCTATATAGCAATATTCGCAAATACATTTCATCCCCAAATCATTTATTCTACCTTAAGAATGTTCGTCAGATTTTCACATGCAGTTAAAGCACCACACTCTGTGTCTTTTCTCACACTCATCACGGAAATTGGATGATTCCACTTTTCCTTCCGCTCGAGAATACAGCGGAAGCTATCATTAAATTACCACTACGTGGAGCTTTTCCTGTTTCGACATCATTGCATAAGCCATCCCCTAGAGAGCATTTCAACTTTCTGCATTATAGTTTGAAAACCAGATGCATTGAACTGCACACTGATAAGATGCAATGCGTCAATATATAGCCACTTCTATTCGCAGTTCAAATCAATTCCTCCATTTGGCCAACACGTAAGAACATAATTTGCAACTCACTCTCTCGGGGGTAATAACATGCAAACAAAAATATTTTTGCATAGTGCTGCGAGTGTAAATTTAGCATGTGCATAGCATAGTGCAATTGCAGTGTATCCGCCATAATCAGTTCATATTATCTCGACAGAAATTATATTGTTTTCAATGGGCACAACATGAAAATGTTATGTAAAATTGGGGCTCTTTGCTCGGGAAAATTAAGGACACACCCTGAGAGGGTAGTTCTATTTTCGAACTTCTCCCAATAGTATGTTTTATGTGCAAACTGCGCTTCCTATTTTATTATTTATCACATAGTCTATTTTCAATCTATGTACAGTTTGTGAGATAGATAGAAGGGATTAGTCAGAAAATAGCAATCGACCAAATAAGAATGTCTGGAAAATGGAGTTTCCCATATACAAAATTTTCTATACTATGATTTCAATAAAAATTTCTACTTTTGACACCCGTATTCCTTATTTACGTCAATAAATTTATCCATTTCTATGATTATCAGCAAATTAAACTTACACGGGACATTTTTTCTTCAGAATTCACACTATGCAATCTCTCAAAGCTGGCCGTTAGGCACTTCACGCAACTCTCGCGTGCACAATTTTGCCTCTTGTGGCCAATTTGACTGCCAGGCAACTTAAGATGACGATATGTAGAGCTTGAGATAACAATATAAGACTGCAAGTCACTTCTTCTCCCAAGAGCCCGCCTAGAGTGCCTGCCCGATGCCTCCGGATTCCACACCACCTTAACAGGAACTGACTTTGTTCGTTTGCAAATCTGCAAATAGCACAGTGGGAGTTGTTTCTTTGAATTCGATTCATTTATAACGTCTCTCCTGGCAACCGCACTAATATTTGTGGTGTCTTCTCCGGGTGGCCCATTGCCATTACTTAAAATTCCTCCATAATCCACCCGTGATGACAGGGTGGGCGTAGCAACTGGGTGGCGAGGAAAAAAGCCGTCCCAGCCGAATATTGAGGGCGGCGTGGTGTGAGAGAAGAGAATGATAAATTTGTTATTATTACTAAGAGACTCCAAAAATCATAAGACTTCCTGAACTTTTGTCATGCAATCGTTTACCATATTTTTCTGTCCTCTTTTATACCTAATTGTTCTTTACTCGAATCCCCACTGGAGTTGATAGATATTCGCAAATATTGCTGAGGTGTGTTCGAAAAATGAAATCCTCGCCTCGTCCTAGCTTGCAGTGTTTGCAGAAATTCCTCGCAATTTGAATTATTTTGCATATTTTGCAAACTCCTTGAGCACTGGATGAACACAAATTTAATAGATGAGAAGAAGCACTCAACACTAAAGTTCTCCCTGGACTGAAGCTATTTCCTGACTTTTTCACACCTTTATAGACTCTGTCTTCTCTAATTTCATTCCAATACTCATTTGTGCATTGTAATTCACAAATTCTCATCAACATATTATGGGGAAAAAAAATGAAATGATTACGCAGTTTTTACAAGTTGTCATGGTATTCAATTGTAGAGCATATTCCATAACTCAATAACCCGAAAAATCCATAGCAGAACTAATTTGCATTACCATTCTCTCCCCCTTATCGACAGGCTCGCGATGTTTAGTCTATAGACCGCATTTATTGCCCTCCCCCTCATTCTCTGTCGCGAGAAATTACATGACAACTCTTCCAGTACGGGCCTTATCACGCAAAATTACACTGCAGATTTCAGCATGGATCTTCCACATGAATGCCAAACTGAACTCTGATCTCTCCTCCATGAATTCCTTCCTCGTTGCAGCTTTTTTCCGTGCCGGATCTCAGGCGTCTCGCGCTTCTCCTCGCGAGAGTGGGAAAAATATCATCATGAGCGAAGGCGAGCTCAGCACGCACTTTGATCGCCGGCTGAACTTTAACATTGAAGCGAGGGAGGGAATGGATTATGTGTTACACAACATGGCGCAGCGATATGAGAATCACCCAAAATACCATGACATTTTTTCCTCTCAACCGTCTTCTAATTATACAACATGTTGACGAGCAGAGATATACAATTTTGCAGTGTGAATTTACATGCTAATGACAATGAAGAATTCTACAAAGGATCCATTTGAGTCTCGAATGGAATGTCCTAAGTATCATCATGAAGAAATATTTGACTTTCACATGCCACCCTTTTCTGGGGTGACTGAGTATCTGAGTGTAGTTTTTGCAGGAAGAACGTGCTGAAGCGAACCTCTGAGCTAAACTTGTGTGTCTGTTTCACTAAATGGTAAAAATTCTGCTGCAATCTTTCCCCAACTTTACAAACTTCTGCCTTGTTGGCGGTGCTTCTGACATTCAAAAATGTTTCCCAGACGAAAAAGTTCACTAAAAACAAACGCCACCAAATTAGCCATGTTCTCAGCATAAAAAAACGGCAAGAATGAATTTTAAAACATGAAGAGGGGGAGAATTACATTTCATATAGCATTATCTCGCAAATAATACTGCATGAAAACAGAGCAAAAAGACGAGCAAAAATCTCAACACAGGATAAAAGCGCTCAAGTTGCAGGTCTCATACTGATTACAGCCACGCTTATCAGCCACATATTCAGACATGAAGGTTAATTTTCTGGGGTTATTTACAATTTCACATTATTTCACTTCTTATAAATGAATTCTGACCAATCAATATAACTGACATACAAATGCACATAAAAATTCTTTATATCAAAAATATTCTCTCTTTTTTACTTCACATATTTTTATGTCTACCATGTGTACGTGCCTTTCTTCTTGTCGACATTCACAGAAAGTGAACAAATATCTCATGGACAAAGTTCATTGATGCAAAAATTATGGTGTATTTTAAGAAAAGAGAAATATAAATGAGAACATTTCTGATACACTTTTTCTCCTTCTCCTTCATCGTCCCAAGATAGGCGTTCCACAACATAATTTCACTGCTATAGACGAATCCTCCTCGTCATCGATTATGCATATAACGTTATTTTTATAAGGATGGTGATTGTAAGGAATGTCTACTTTTTTTCAGCTTTATCACCCAAACGCTTTGTATATAAGATGGGAAAATATTAGGTGATGTAAGTGCACGCAAACAATCGCTTGATATAAATCAAAAGAAAACTCCTTTTTCGCCATTTATTGACTTTGTTTTCCCATGTACATAGACTTTATGGATTATATGGCATCGCAGGAAGTATATAGTAGACGATATTGACGCGAACAGAATAAATCTTATAACTATAGGAAATCTAACTAAATTTCTATCATATTTCGCATAAAATATTATTAGGAAAAGAGCATAAATTTCATTTATTGCTACTCTTACATTAAGTAATTCACGAGAACTGCCACTTTCTCGATATGTACGAATCCTAAAATAAATAAGTTTCACTGCTTCTTTAAGAATATCTCATTCATAAACTTCACAATAATATCGCAGTGCGATACGAAAATCTCTTATCACACTGTCCATTAGGTGATATCAGCTCTAGACTAATGAATAATAATAAAAAATGCATACAGAATAAATAACATTAAGATAGAGTAATATTTTTGTCTCTCTGCCAATACTCAAAAGTGAATTTCATTCATATACTACAATCACTACCACAGAAGTAAGAATTCTTAGCGATACTGCGTGAATCAAAACAGTATTTTTCAATAAAAATATCATTAAGAGGTATAAACTTTGAACTGTTTTTGTAAATTGTCCACTTTATCATTAAAAAATTAATGAATATTAACACACTATCTAGTGAAGTGACCACACCAAAAAAAACAGCATATGTCTTTATCTCTTGGTCACAGAGAAGGTTCAATATAGGAGTATTGTTGAAAGTTATCAATTTGGCGTGGAAAGGAAATTACCGAGTCCAGCAAAAAAGTCAATTTTTACACACGCTCCACAATATTGTCATGAGAGTTAATTGTACTCCTAGTCTTACATAATCCTAAGCATTTCTCCGCCTCTCAACACAGGCTAATCGATAAATTTCAAGGGATTGCCATATGTTTTGCAATGCGCTGTGCGGCCATAGTCCAGTTTCATCACCAGCATCACTTCAGTTCATCACATTTATGAATTCTCTAAACTGCGAAGAAAAACATAGAGAGATTAAGTGCGCCAGAGACAGACCTAATCTCCACAGATGTGAGGCAAAAACCAAGAGATGGTTAATGAACTGGTGCCGTCATTGTCGTTGCTGGGCTCCTTGAGGCCTGCCTCTTCTGCAGAAACTGCTTCACGGAGTTAAAGGGCAGCTGGAAGTGGTAGTAGGCACAATAGGGCAGTGGATCCCAGAACACAAAGAGCGCCTCTCGCTTGTCCAGCACCGTGCCGATCAACTTCCCCACGGCGTCCATCGAGGGATGACGCAGTGTGTTGAGGACAGCCTCGTGCATCCAGTATCGGCCGCCTTCCTGGACCAGTGGTCCCGAGTTTTGGCGCGAGAAGTGCGGACAAGGCTTCCACAGCACTCTCGGATGCACGCCAGTGTAGCAAATGTAGGGCAGAGAGACTCCAACGCGCGTCCCCATCGGCAAGAGATTTCCACTCAGGTCACACTTCACCAGCCTGAAGCTCACGTGAGCATTGATGGGTCGCTGAAAGCGTATCTTGTTGAAGAAATCCTTCAGCCATTTCTCCACCTCCTCATTGCACTCCGGCACGAGACTCTTGGTGTCCGAGTTGACCAGACAAGTCACATTCGCCACCACACGCGACTCCTTGATCGTGGTGCATGTGATGTAGTGCGATCCTGGCAGATCACGAATCACCATCCAGGGACGCTGTTCACTGATCTCATGTGTGAGCTTCAAGTCGCGTCGGTTGCTAGGCAAAATGAACTTATTGCGCTCCACTATGCCCATCGGCCCGCCAGAGATTATGATATTTCTGAAGCCCGAAAGCCATCCGATGTCGTACAGGCGGAAGAGGTCTTCCTTGCTCTGCACAATCCTGTGCGGTGGCAGGGCTATTCCATTGGATCTGCACTTCACCATCAGCTCCATTATGTCATCCAGAACGGCCACCTCCTGGGCGCCAGGAATGAAGGAGAGACAACCCAGGAGCTCCAGATGGGGCTTGGCCAGAGCATCGTAGTGCGCAGTACTGGTCGCCGATGTGGGAATGTAGAAAGAGGGCTTCTCCTTCTCAGCAATCTCGCACAAGGCCGCCACGTAGTCATGTGGGGAGTCTGCCGTTGGACAGGGAACAGTGTAGAACTTGCTGACGGCCGTTGAGAAGCGCGCCAGACCAAACAATCCTTCAAACTCAAACACAACCACTCGTGATCCGGCAGAGTAGAAATTCCTGGCCAGATGGAGTGTCTGAATTGTGCTGCCGCCACTGATCAGCACTGTCCTCTTCCGACGATTCCTCTCCGCCGATGGTGTGTGTATGCGGATCAATATCCACTTGAAAAGTGCCAGTGGGAAACCTACGAACTTCCAGAAGATCCACAATCCGGCTGAGATCCAGAAAGTAGGAGCGGCAATGCGAAAGGGATTCCACACGAAGCCCGACACTCGCCTGAAGATCAGTTGGAAGAGTTTCAGCAGGAAAATTGGCCACCACAGCAAAAGTCTGAAGAATATCCCATGAGAGTCTGTGCGGTACTCTCTCTCCTGGATCACGATGGGCTCATCCACGGCCCGATCCTCGGGAATGAGCGTGAAGGTGCTCGAGTAGCTCCGCCTGAGCGTCGTCGGGGGTGATGTGGATAGTGGCGATGTGGAGATTGGCGACGAGGGCAGCGATGCTGGCGAATTGTGGCGAGAATTGAATGGTGTGTACTTTGGGCTGGACGATCCAGCACGTCCCTCGTGGCGCGCCATCCAGGAGCCAAATAAATTCTCCACGTTCGTATTGGGCATGATCACTCAATCACTCATTGTTAATTCACACAACACTGCAAAATCAACTCTGTTCACCACTCAAACTGTGCAACAATCACTAGAAAGGCAAAGGAATTCCTTGGGATTCAACTGTCCGAATCGAGTGCAGGAGAATAACTGGAGGAGCTCATCGGAGCTCATCTCATTTTAACGTACGAGTATATAATTATCACATAATTGAAAGAGAGAGAGAAATAATTCTAATATTTACAATTAGCGTTATCGATTTGTGGGTCTATGGACTGCGTGCGGGATGTGATCTCAGATTTACCAGTCAGACACAGTTCACAGCTCAATCGCAAAAATCGGAGCTAAACACAAACTCTGCTCCCGAGATCAGGGCCGGGTTTCCATCCAAAACATCCCCAAAATTTCACAGAAACCTTATCAGCAAAAGCAACACCAATCTTCTCGGCCAACAAGAAAAATATCATTAAGAAATTTCCTCTCCAAGCGAAAAGTCCATCTCTGTGCAGTTAATGCGACTCTCATATCAACACTTCATAATTATTTTTATATGTAAATTCTGTTTACATTATAGTCTTGCATCGCTTGTTTTTTCGTCTTTTTAAAATAGCCATAAAGATAAGGCAATTGCTTTTCATCGAACTGCACTGAGACTGATTAGCTTTCCAGCCCGGAGACCGCCAGCATATAACCTCAAACATTCACCCAATAATTCAGCCAAAAATACCACAATTTTCATCCAGCTCTCAATTTACAGGTATTACAAGTCTTACAATAGGAAAGTTACATGATAATAAGAGAGATATATCCAGAAATGTGCAAAAATGCTATCTGAAAGCTCCGCAAATCACTTGGCAAAAACCATGAGAAACCAGATAATAATTTATGTGCAACTCACAAAATCATTTCTTCTCCACCTTGCAAGGCACTCACTGGTGATTTATCATAAAATTGTGTGATAATTCCAGAAAACTTTTCATTTCTAGGGCACTCTCAAAAGCACGGCGATGTAAACAATTTCAGCCCAAACAAACACCATATTGGCTGAAGTTTGCAGCACTTCTCATCGACTGTTCCGGAGAAGATCCGGACACTCATCGACTGGAAAGTGAGGTTATGGTGGTCTGCATCGCGGAGGCTGACGAAAATTGTCAAGTTCACATGAAAATGTGCGTTTTATGAGATTATTTCGCATAAGTTGAGCGTGTAACTTCTCACGAATTACCCCGTAGATCTCTTCTCTCGAAACATCCTGTAGACATCGCGATATCGACAGAACTTTGGTGAGTGGGTGAAAAAAAATTATCCTTCCGGATGATATTTTATTGATTTTGTTAGCTTGAGTTTTCTCGAATACTCTGGGTACTAAAGGTGGACTTTCGTGACCTCTGTTATCTGTTGGGGGCGAAATTGTGCATGTGGGGTTAGATTTTCACGTTCCTGGAGTTGTTTGAATGGATAATTACATAATCAGCTGAGAGGTTAGGGATGACCTTTTGCGTCTTTTCAGAACACGCTCGGAAATGGAGGAGTACGCCCGCGAGCCCTGCCCCTATCGCATTGTCGACGACTGCGGCGGTGCCTTTGCCATGGGGTGCATCGGAGGGGGTGTTTTCCAGGCGATAAAGGGCTTCCGCAATGCCCCGTCGGGCTTCAGCAGAAGAATGGTGAGTCTGCCTATGCGAACAGCGCCCCAATTAGATTGTAATGTGATCTTGTGGGATGTTTCAGCTGGGCAGTCTGACAGCCATAAAAGCCAGATCACCCGTGATTGCGGGGAATTTCGCCGTGTGGGGCGGAATGTTCAGCACAATTGACTGCACTCTAGTTCACCTGCGCAAGAAGGAGGATCCATGGAACTCGATAATCAGCGGAGCGGCGACTGGAGGGATTCTGGCAGCGCGAAACGGCGTTCCTGCGATGGCCGGTTCGGCTATCATTGGCGGCGTGTTGCTGGCGCTGATTGAGGGCGTCGGAATCCTGTTCACGCGACTCTCCGCCGAGCAGTTCCGCATGCCCAGTCCAACGGAGGATCCCGCCGTGCTGGGCGATGCTGGCCAGAGAGACGGCGGTGGCGGTGGCGGCTTCAGCTTCGGGAAGCCTCAGCCCAACTACCAATAGTAAGGTCCACAGATAGACGCCCTTCCGTGGACTCTCTACTAGTGCTTGTGTGAGTGTGGCCAGAGATTCGGTGAACATGTGATACCTGTGTGAATGAGGACTCTCGGGTGAACGAGAGAATTTTTGGATGAATCCTCGCCCGAAGAATCTCTTCAGTGGGGAGAACATAGAGTAATTTAATCCTGCTACTCTCCTCCTGCTCCAGGGATTCGAGGAGCATCTCAGGGAGACTGTGTTGCTCTGTCTGGTCATTCCTGAATGCAAAACAACTGATTTATTGACACAAACGGGCGAAGATTCAACAAGGTAAAATTCTCTGTATATAAAAATCATATTAAATAAGACTACCAAGACCAATCCAGTTATTTTGGCGAGACTTCCTGCCCAGCATTGGCGTTTGCTTCATCCCCGGCCGTGGAATCCTTTCGCATCGCGAGGATGGAGGGGAAAGCTTGTCCAACGATGGCCCTGAAGGCCTCATCAGTGGACATCAGAGGTTGATTGGAGTTCTGGAGGGCTTTTATTGCTGCGCTTTCCGCTTCTGTCATAGGCTCCAGGTTGTCTAGGTTGAGATCCTCGGGCATGCCCACGCCCGAGTGAAGCACCAATTGTTGCGAAATGTTGAGACACTCCGCCAGAAGGTCCACAGCGTTCGATGAGGGTAGTTTCAGTTCTCGCATTTGAGCCAAGAACTTCAGATTCCTGAGGATGTCCTTCGCCATGTCTCGCACCTGTCGCGCTGTCATTTCCAGAAGTTGTTTGTTCGATGTCACGAGCAGGTGGTTCTTCTGCGTGAGACTAGCCTTCCATCTGGCCAGTTCCTCCACCATGAGACTGCTGGCGAGGAATTTACTCCGCCACACTTCGCTCTGCCCAGCCAAATACTCTATTTGCTCCTGAAAAGGGAAAGCCATCAGCAAAAAAGAGTGGCACATTCGAATCAACAGAAATTACCGTGTGCGTTGTGATGTTGTTGGCGGAATCCAGCAGAGCTCTGGCCAATTGGAGCTTGTCTTCTGTGAGAACATTGACCCTCGTCTGTATATCTTCTCCCACGGCGGCTACGAGGAGATTCTTCAGTTCCGAATTCACCTGAACTTGGAACTTCAGTTGACTTTCAAAATACTCTTTCTCCTTCTTCAGCTCTTTCACTTGCACCTCCAGGGCATGAATCTTTGCCTCGGAGTCCGACATGCACCCACTTAAGCCACCCTCTGGCATTCCGCCACTTCCTTGCAACTGCATCAGCTCACAAGCTTTTATATCGGACAACTGGGACACCAGAACACCCAGATCCAAGTTGTTCCGACTTCTGCCACGGAAGACTGGTTGCTTCCGGAAGGGGATTATCGGTGTCACGGCTCCTTTATAGGGCTCGAACGGCACAAATCTAGGCTCTTTGTTCCTACCAAAGCCCGGCGATCGGCTGGCACTGTGCACCAAGTGAGGTACAAGATTGAAGATCTTTCCCACGGGAGCCAAGGGTGATTCCTTGGGAACTGCCCCCTTTTTCTTCTGGCTCTCTCCAAGGTTCGCTTGCTGGCGTGCTTTCACTGTCTTTCTTGCGTGACTTTGCCCCTCTAATGGCGCATCGTGCTCTTGACCATCTCCCTGAGTGCGTTTTCCTGCAAAAGGCGGATTGTTTACTGAGAAAATGGCAAATTGCACACAGTATCTCTGTCTATACCTGCTTTCTCCATGACTTCACAACACTTTCCCGTGGAATTCAATCTCGTGAGGCGTGAAGTTGGTCGCATAACGTTCCACTTTCCAGGCACGTCACAACGCTGTCAGTATTCCAGAGTGCCCGTCCATTTTTCTCGCGAGTTACCTATTTTCCACGAAAACCCCTAGATTTTCCCATCAAAATGGTAAGTTCTTATACAAATTTTCATCTTAAAGATGTGCAGTTGCTAAAAAGTAGTGATTTCAGTAGTTGCGATAAGTGATACTCGTAGAAATTGTAGGGTGTTTTCTGGCAATTTGTCAGAGTCTCAGTTGAAAGTCATCATGGCCGCATTTTTAAGAAAAACAAATATGCTGAGAATTTGCGAAATTTCTACTTGTAGATGCTTTTCATGTTGCTGTTCAGCCGGCAGGGCAAGTTGAGACTGCAGAAGTGGTACGTAGCACATCCGGACAAGGTAAAAAAGAAAATAACACGGGAATTGATCACGACAATCTTGGCGAGGAAGCCGAAAATGTGTTCGTTCCTGGAGTGGAAAGACTGCAAGATTGTTTACAAAAGGTATGTAAAGAGCTTTGGTCGGTGGCAAGAAAAGCTCGCGGTCTTCCATTGATGACCTACTTTTTTCAGATATGCGAGTTTGTACTTTTGCTGTGCTATTGAGCAGAATGATAATGAATTGTTGACTTTGGAGATCATTCATCGCTACGTGGAGCTTCTGGACAAGTACTTTGGCAGCGTAAGAACAGCAGTGCATGAGATTTTGATGGAAGAGTGTTTGAGATTAAATGTTTTATATGCAGGTCTGTGAATTGGATATAATTTTCAACTTTGAGAAAGCCTACTTCATACTGGACGAGCTTCTTGTGGGTGGAGAGATGCAGGAGACGTCGAAGAAGAACGTCCTAAAGGCTATAGCGGCCCAGGATGTGCTCCAAGAGGTCAGTACGCCTGATGATGCTTATGATTTATAAATCTCCCACACCTATATCTCTCTCTCTATTCCCATTTTATCCACATACAAGAATCGTATCGTCGACCTTTTATATGTTTTTACTGGCATTTTTGCTACATGAACTTATTTGTCTTGTGTTTTCTGCTTCTATCAATGGAATGGCCAATGTTTCGTCTCTGGGCTGCCTATTGCTGTCTATTTTTACAGAGGGATCTATTAATCCGATTTTACACTCAATTGACATTCATATAATTTCTAGATATGTTATGAATGGGATTTCTGACCAATCACAAACACACTTCAGAAAAAAAAATCAGGCAGCATACAATTAACACACTTAACAACTCAATCTTCGAGAGAGAAAGAAAGAAATAAACCAGCAGATGAGAAAACATGTGAGAGAATGTGTCGTGTGTGTGTCCATAAATGCTTTAAGATCAGAATAGAGAAGTGATCATTTTAGAGCGAGTCATTCGTCATCCGGGACTTGGTGCAATACAAACACATTTGTCAATCTTGTCTTGCCATTTTAAGAATAGCCAATTGAATTAATTTGTCTCTTCCATCAACTAAATTTCTTCTCTTGCAGATGTACGATGAAGACTTATATGCATATGATTTGTAGATGGGATTACTAAAAGCACTTTTGATCAGAGATTTAACACTAATGTCCATCTCTCGCGAAAGACACACAAGCACACGACACACTCCCTAAGATGTTATACTAATAAATCACAGACAGAGGAAAACCATTGATAGCAAAAGACACACAGACAAATTTGTTTAAACGTATGTGGATAATTTAGCAAGAGTAACAAAATATTTTTCTAAAGACAAAAAAAAACGTAAAATTTATACATATATCTAATTAGTATTTAATTGATGGAGAAAGATAAACAAAATTAATACAAGAATGACAGCATGAGAAGAGTAATAATAATGGATTAAAACAAAGAGAAAAAAAAATCAGTGAGAAAATGAATAAGAAAGAGGCTAATAGAATCTAATGCATGCAAGCATGAAATATTCTTTTAATAGCATTATACTGTATGCCCATGTTATTATATTATATTCTGTTCTGTTAGTGACAAGAAAGATGTCCTCCTCTCTACCCTTTTACCCCTTTCTATATATTACTGAGAAATATTTTATCGTTGCTACTTTATTTATCATAACATCCTTGCGCTGTATTTCTTAACCAAAAAATCGAATTTAGTGCGAAATAATAACATGGAAAGTATAACCTTTAAATTTGTAAACTATTACTATTTTTCAATGCTTACACGCCACAGGACCTCAATGAAACACTCAATTAGTGAAAAAAGAATGACAGTGTCCTTTTGATTTGTTGAAGAAAGAAGCGTCTAAAGAAGAATTCCTGTTGAAATTTTCAAAGGATAAAGCTTCAATTGCCTCAATATTTTGATGGGTAATTGAAAGATGAGTAATTTATGCATAATTTATTATTCCCAAAAAGTTCTATTTATATTGCGCTCCCTTTATTAACCACTTATTATATCCCAAGTAGTCATCTTGAGCCAAAAGCCTTTCCACTTCACACATTGCCAAGCGATTGATGAAGAGTGTGTTGCATGGAAAGGATGAAAAGAAGTAGTAAGAGAATGTAGTCTAGTCCTTTTATCAGCTAGTTCAAAAAAAATAAAGCAAGAAAAGCACTTGAGTAAGAGAGAAGGAATAAATCAAAAACTGCTTGACGAGAAAGTGAAATTAAGAAGAAAAAAATTATGACAAGGAAACCCTTCTAAGATTAGAAACTGTCAGCAGTGTATTTGTAGAGTTAAGAATGAGTACAAGAACTCCTAAATTTCCATGTCAAAATTACAAGACACGAGGAAAACAGTGAGATACATTTAATGTTTGACAATTTATACATTATTTTCTGTAAAGGAAGATGTGCAGTTGTGCATCTGCATAACTGTATGTCCCTGCTATTTTACACATATTTTTTGGATTTGCAATTTTTGTTTTGAAAATAAAGAAAACACACACTGCAGAATTTTTTCCCCTCTTCTGCAACATTTCTTTCATACATTTTTTCTGTCTCTTTTGTTGTGTTTAGTTTCTTCCCAAATGTAAATAGATCCTATATTTCGTTGTTTCTTGACGATTTCAGTCAACTCGTCGTGGTGAATGAAAAGAAATGAAGAAAAGAAAAAATGTGTAGTCAGAGTTTAAAAAAAATTATTATCCCAACAAGAGAGGACTTTGTGGGAGTTTGTTGGTGTATTTATTTCACGTGGGTTCTTTAATTAAACGACATATCATTTTGGCAATGAGGTATTCATAAAATTAACACAAATCAGTTGTATAAAAGATCATTTTCATGTGGATATTCGAGCAGAAAGGAATAATAATATAAATAAAAATTATATCATATTTTGTGGGTCACTGTAGGGAAGTAATCCTCTAATTTCTCTCTTTAACCGACATAATTTCTTATATTTGTGCTTCTTCTCCTTCTCCACCATGAATTATGATGATTTACAATGATTTTCTGTTAAATTCAGGATGAAGCAGTTGATGGAGCATTAAGAGATATTGGATTGTTGTAGGGCAACAGAAAAGCAACAGAGTTATGAACTGTGTTGCAGACGCACAAAATGTTTCTATCAATCGAATCAGTGATTATTTTTTGTTACTAATAGAGAAACAATGAATTCCATTTACTATAATTAATAAACTCAGGTGTCATTGAATAGGCGTGGAAAGAGAGAAAAGCCTTGAGGAAATCATTCTAAGGAATCCAATTTATATTGAGTAAATTTAAAGTTACCGTAGATTTTTTTACACGAATTTATTTGCAACATTTCTTGCCAGTCTTTTTACAGGGGAGAATTAATAAAGGAAAAAAAGAACAAATTGTAGAAAAGATGATATTTAAAGATAAAGAAGAAGATGATGGAATAAAATCAAAAGGAAAATCCTTGAAACAGTATTGAATTTTTATTTTGAATTCTAGACCAAAAGTATTTGTAAATAAGACATATACATAACAATGTAAGAGACAGAAATTACTTATTGAGAGCCAAAAAGCGTTTAACACTATGAATTAACTAAAGGAGTTTGTAAGTAATAAAATGTGGCTAACAAAGTGCTTTTTAATAATATCCTTAACTTTCTTAACAGAAAACCTTCTGCCTTTATCTTTTGTTACTAATCCTTACAAGAAAAAAGAACTTTCCTTTCGATCTGCGAGCAAAATGTCCAGTTGAAGAGAATTCACATCAGCTAATAATGATTTGGATGATGAAGAAAGAAACCCAAATATTGAGCTTGATACTGAATGTGTAGTGGAAGTTTGCTGAAGAGAAGGGAGACTGTATTTCTACACCCTAATTTGTTTTCTCCTTTCGAATATTTTGTGTGTAGTGTAGTGCTAATAGTTCTTTTAGCTGAAGAAAGAACGCATTCAAAAAGAAAAAAAAATACATAATAAGAAAATGACTTGGTAGAGAGAAAAGTAAATGAAATTGGAATCCAAACAAGGTATGTAAACACTGTCAATAATGCCTAAAATTAATTGCATATTAATTGTAGAGATAATATTCAGTAAATAACATCCTTGTTTTGATTCTGGTTTTCTTAGTGGCTTTAGTGTATTTATTAATCCTTTTGTTTAGAAGTACATCACATAAATCTCTTGAATTATTATCATTATCAACAAAAATCTATTACACAACTAATTAATGTCTTCTGTTCGTTTCTCGCAGGAGGAAACACCTCAAGGATTCTTCGATGATCATGGTTTGGGATAATCATCATGTCACAAAAATGGAAAAAAAGACATACAAAATCAGCAGGACAAGAGCCGAAAGCGATAATTGAAAATCACCCTCAAAGTTAAAAGTAATTCATATCACTATTATTGGAAGAAATTGCTCAGTCGATAGAGGATGTATAATTCCGTGTTGGGTGTGTATATTTGTATTAGAGTCTCCAAATTGTGATATTTTTCCTCAATAATAATTGTTTTGCTCATTATTAGAGATAAAGTGGTGTCTCATTTGGACAAGATTTATTAAATGTTTGATAAAATGAATTTATGCTCTTTACCATAAATGGAGGAAATTTTCTCGAAGCACTCTTAAACTTGAAAGATATTACATGTCATCCTCTATGTTTTTATTATTATTATTACTGGAATTGTTGATTTTGCTAATTTCGGGCGATATATTTTGGGTTTCATTACGCATTTATTGAGCTTTAATCAATTAGTGATGGATTAATCAGTGATCCAAATTCTGCCTGAGGGAAATTCCACAATTTTAATCGTTTCTTATCACGATATCGAAATCCTCTGTAGGAAGGATACATATATAATAAGACAGTGTCTCAAAAACTCTAGCAAAGATAAGGGATATCTCAGTAGATTTTAAGCATAAGAAAGAAATCAATAATAGTTGCGAAATAAAAGATATATTCAATGACTTTCACTTTGTCCCATTTTGCAGGTGATGTAGAAGGATTTTTAGTGTACGATGCGGGAGTTTTTTTTTCCAGAGAAAATTCACAGCATCTGAGCAACATATATTGAGCAAAAGTGCGGGAGTCTCGGGCGCCATCGGTTGGGAATGTGAGGAAAAGTCGCGCGGAGCTCTGACGTGAGAGTGAGGGAGACTTTTCTAATTTTATATCGCCAATCTTCGCCAAATGCGACCGCCGTCCGTCCCCGCGGCCCTCTCTGTGGCCCAACATCGCGCGAAGGGCACACACTGGCGACACCCACGAGCCATCTCGCTCTGGCGGACGCGCCTGGGCCGGGGAAGGGTCACCCATGGGAGCGAGATGGGTGCTGGGAGTGTGGAGTTTTGGAAAAATCTCCCGTGCACGCATGTGTATGCGTCTCGACGTTCATGCGCGCGGGCTCCATTAGCCCAAAGCGACCACTCGGCGGTGCTGTCGGGCGACGTTCGGGTGGCTGGTGAAAAGCAACAACAACGCTGGACTGGCCATCATTATTGGGAAAAGCGAAGAAGGAAAAATTTTCCACCATACAATTCGCGGCAATCGTGAGGAGTGAGTGTTTCTACTCCGAAGCCCAAGTGGACAGGAACACCCGTGACGGTGTGTGCGAGGAGGCAGTGAGTTGGGAACACTCCTCAGTGGACATTTTCCATCTCTCTGGGTGGTTTTGTGCGCGCCCCAGTGGCCTGGGCTGAACGAGTCTCGCAGAACGCACTTTTTCCCCGAGGAGGAAAAATCACACCACCCTTCGCGTGAGATTCGCTATCCAGAGTTTTTCCCAGTGGCCAGCGAGAGGAAGGCTGCGTTTTCGCGTTGGGTGACCGTCTGGGCTGGTGGACACGCGGGCTGGCCAGGAGTCAAATGAGCGTTGTGGGAAATTTTCCGTGAAGGGTGCGTGAAGGCGGCGGCAAGGGGAGGAGAGAGAGAGAGGAAAAAAGGTGTTTCCCCCGCGTGAAAAGTGAAAATTCCCACACGCGGAGACCCAAAAGTGTTAAGTGCAATTTCCGTGGCTATTTGATGAATTGCCAGTGTCTCCAGTGGATGTGGATCTGCTGAAGAGGTTGGAGAGGACATCTCACACACACAAAAGGGTGGTCTTCGTCGCATCTCGATCGCGTGGCAAAGGAAAAAAACGGGAAAAAGGCTCCGACAGCGGCGAGGGGTGAGGGACAGAAGAGTCATGGATTAGGAGGAAGGAAGGTGGCCCAAGGAGATACAAATAGGGTGGATACGCCGATCTGGAGGACGGATTGGTGGCCCTAGAGCATAAAAGTGCGTGCGGGGACAAAAATGGATGATGATGCCGTGTCGAGTCCGCACTTGATTGGAGTCGCGTGAGCCTCGAGGACCGGCAGAATCGTGAACACACCAAAGATACCACAAAATGGCGGATGGTGGACACTCATTTGGGAAGAAGACATTTCACAAGCCAACCTACTGTCATCACTGTTCAGATCTTCTCTGGGGGCTAATTGGACAAGGCTACATTTGCGAAGGTAAGACCATCCCTGCAAATGCACCGCACATTTCTCGGCAATTCCCAATGTCCTTGAAGCTCACTCTGGCAGCCCTTCGAAAGCTCTCTCTTTCTGTTTCTCATCCCCATGCAAATTTATCATTTTTTCGCACTCTTCCCGAGACAACTCCGCCAAATTGTGCTGCACATCTCGTGGAGAGCATTTGGGGCGCGCAGGGGAGCTTTGGGGTTCTCGGGGGTGCGGTGGGCAATATCATTGCCAGAATACATTTACGCATATCAATGCCTCATGACGAGAAAAAGCTCAAATGCCAAATTGAGTGCTTTTAGGATTACATGATTGCGTGTATGACATTGAAAATAATGTCACCCATATTAATTTGGTCGACGTCTCTCCTTCGGCGGCCGTTGAATTGCCATTGAAATGGTTGAAAAAGAAAAGTGACGGGGGAAAGGCGAGGTTTTTCACTCCATCACCCCCCGGCCCACCCTCCATCCCTAGTCGAGGACTGCAAAGTTTCTAGACACCTGAAAGTTTCACAAAATTGCACCCAAAGAGCTTGTCTTCATCAATCTACCTGGCAAAAATTGTATTTCCACGATAATTTATTGACTATCTTAAATGAAAGGAAAAGAAATGCTAGAAATTCTATGACATACACACACACACACATAAAAATGTATTAAGGACAAACGACTCAAGATTGTTCTTTCATGGTGGTTTTTCACGCGAATGGAAAAGTCCAAAACCTCTAATTGATTTGGGTGAAGTGGCTGAGAGAAAAGTTGGTAGATTTCCAGAGCTTTTAATCCTTCCGATGAACTTTTAAAGTTCTTCCACAACTTTTATCTTGTTATCGCATTTTAGTGACAAATTTCTTGTGCCAAAAGTGAGGGGCGAGGGTTATGAGGGAAATTGTTTTAAATGATTTCATCACAGATTACTGTGAGACGAGGACATATTTTCCCTCCATTGATGTTCTCTCGCGTGTCCTTCAGAAGAATGAATGAATTTTCACTGCGAATGAAAGGCAGTGTTTTACAGAATTGTAGTGAAAATGTAAGTGTTTTTTGGGCGAAATTTTCCAAGAGTTTTGAGTTATGGCAGATTAGAGGAATTCGCCTCGCATTTTTTTTATATAAACTCTTGACAAACATACAATTTAATTATGATTTATTTACACACACTGAGACAATAAGACCAGAAAAATATGAGAGAAGAGAATTCACGTCGTGCCACGAGGAAGAAGCCTTTGGATATTCTAAAGTCTGATATCTTATCACAGAGCATCTCGGGCCACAGTTTGCTTTTCACACTGATAAGATAACTCGTGGATTTCTCAGAATTGTTCTTTTTCTCGCTACGGAATAAGTGAGACAGAGAAGCGCGGATAATTTTATAACGTCCCGAAATAAAGAATTAAGTAGAAAAAACAACAAACCATCAATTAGCTAAAGAGTGAAAATATTCCATTGAGTAGTTGTAGCGTAAAGTGGGAGGGAAAAATCATTGAAAAAATTCTACAAATATCTTTCATCTTCAGCGACTGAATCCGGAAAATGAGTGTTTTTTCCTATCTGATGAAATTTCCTGAATTGATATTTTAGTTGAAGGAACTCTGTTTGACTGTGTGCATGTATATTTAGAAATTCATGCCTCCTCAATTCGTCACCCTTGAAGTCTCATATGGGAAATTTCCTTCCAAGCCGCGCGCCGCATGTGGAGGTGGGAGAATGTTCATTTAATCCAGGAAAATGTATTCAAGGATGTCAAAGATTAGGGGTTTGAAGAATTATTTGTTTATTTTTGGCATGAGTAAATTATATTAATAGGCTTTGGTCGTTTCTTTTTTTCATATTTATAGAACATTTCTCCTAGTTTCCATCCCAACTCAGCAGAACTTCTCATATATAAGACTGCACATAGAGATAGTGCAAAAGTAGAAAGAATCACGTGAAGAGACTTTCCGATCTGTCATGTCTTTCTAAATTACGTCGAAATAAGCGAGAAATACTACGGAGAAGAGGCAAAACCGAAGTTGAGAAAATAGTTTAGTGTTGTACCGAGAACTGAAGAGAATCTTGTTAGTTGGATGGAAATAAAAAGTTCGCAGGAAATTTATCAATAATTAATTTATTTGTACACAGAGAGGAGTTCCTCTCCTGAAAGCTTGTGCTCTCTCGCTAGATCTCCGAAGCATTCGCTCTTTGCGCCACACGCTCTCTCTCTCTCTCTCGCTCTCCGGGGCACCACATTGAAGAGTTTTCCTCAAGAAGCGCGCGTAACAAAATTTCAACACGTTGATGACGCACGAAAGGCCCTTCGACTGTTTTATTCAGGGGAATTCATGTCTTTTGACCTGGATTTCCCGTCTCTCGATGTGTTTATTGAGGGAACACACAGTGGCATCGGAGGAGAGGGAGTGAGACGCGAAGAAATAGACATTCTCCTTCACAGTCACTGTTAAATAATGCCTGAATGCGAGGGTGGGAGTTAAATTGCAAAATTGCAACCTTTTGCTCTCATGTCGTTCACCAATTCTATAAATAACCACCTCTGTCGCGATTGAGGATGTACTCTGGAGGAAGTGACACAGATCTAGTTTCTCCTTTTCATTACCTCTCTCCATTCTTCCTCAATGAGTTGAGAAGAATGGCCAAGGCACTGCTCAACATTGTCTCAATGTATAGACAATTTTCTTGACTTTTCCCCGTAGAGACGTCTTTCAAGTAAACATCTACCATCTTAATATGTTCGTGAAGGATTTTAAAGAAGAAAATCTCCATGCGAAAAAATGCAACAGCAGTCATACGCATTTTTTCACTTGCAATTCACAGGACTCTAATATCCAACATAGTCCTACTTCTCTCTATATCTTTTCGCGTGTAAAAGGAAGTTTAGTCGAGAGGAAATTCCTTCCATCTCTCGTGTATAGATTTTCCCTTTGAGTGAGATTTTGCAGAGGTATAGGGAAAGGGAAAAATCATGATATTCCGTTCATTGATTGTTCTTCTCAGAGGCTGTGAATGTTATTCACAGAAAGAGAACTGTGCGAGAGGTGTAGAGTTTTCATGAATGTAGAATCGTTGACACATTTTCCATATCTCTCTCTAGCCATGGTGTGGAGTGGTGGTAAAATGAAGAACTCCGGGTGGGAAGAGCGGGAGCGGGGGTTTGCTCGATTGTATGAGTTTCTGGGGTGTTCCGGGAGACAAGCTCGCATAATACGGGCCATGAGAGGAGAGTGAGAGAGAACGAATCCCGGTGACGTAGGTAACCTCACGTTCCTCCCCGCGCGCAATTTCCCGAAAAGCTCCACGAAGAGCGGACTCAAATACTTTTCCATTCCCACTTTTCCGAGTGCTGCTGCCCAGGAGAGAATGGCATGGATGAGGAGAGTGATGTGAAGGACGGAAAAGACATAAATTTAATACCCTTTCACTTCCCTGGACCTCGAATGAGCTTTGGGCCAGAGAGCACATGTCATATTCTCTGTCTTATTGCTCGATATCACACTATAAAAGGTTATTTTTGAACGAATACAGCATAAAAAAAATTGCCGTATAAAATTCCATTGGAAATATTATTTCATATTTAGTGCCACCCTTCGCTTATGCGCTTCTCTGCCATCCACATCATCGCATAAATTGATTTTAAATTGATGCGTGGAGCAAAAAGATGCTGTTTCTATCAATGGAGAGCTTTTAGTATGATTTGCACGAAAGTTGATGTGCTTTTCCGCCACCCTTTCCCAACCTCGAGGCCCATTTTCACCTTGTACGGCTAAACGTCTCTTCGTGGCGAGCAACAAGCCTCCGAATATTGCTATCGTGAAAACTTGCTGACAGTGTGTATCAGTCCAGATGAGGAAATTTTAATTTAACCTCGTGAAATGTCACAAGGAGAGATTTTATTCTAAACGGTCATATTTTTGAAAGAGCTTTTTCTGAAAGAAAAGAAATCCCGACAATTGATACACTATATCTTAAAGGGAACATAATATGAGCCAATCTGTTACTCATTGAAGAGTAGAGAAACCAAATCGTCTTCCGAAAGGGGATCCTTGAAGTCCTGCCAATTTATCTCGCAAAGAGCTTCCAAAAATACGCCTGTCCAGGCGCGGGTGGACAGAGAGAATTAGAGGATGAAGTCAAGGAGAAAGCAGTATAAAACATTTATATGTTGCCCATTAACATAGACCATACAGAGAATGGCTGTCGGGCGGAGGGGGTGGAGGAAAGGAGCAGAAAAAAAGGAGGGATTGTCCTTGTGGCGTTTGAAGGCAGTACACAGTGTATGTGCGATAGGGAGGGAAGAGATTTTTCATTCATTTTCTCTGTTTTCTCTCCCTTTTTGCGAGCAGGACGCGGGGAGGGACGGGATCCTTGGGTGAATTCACACGAAAAGCAGTTCAATTTGTGTCCCCCAACAACAACAAGTCATTGAGGCTTTGGGAAAATATAGGTCATTCATGTATTTCTCACAATCTCTCTGGGTTCGCTCTCTCTCTCTCTTGAATGCTCTCTCTCTCCCTGGATAAATGCCTGGTTTTATCCTTCACTCTTGGTCGTGATGTGGAAAATTTCCCACGAGAGACTTGCTCCAGCGTGTTGGAAAAGCACACGAGTGAAAGCGCAAGAGCAAGCTTTAGCACCAATACATAGAGAGGCGAGGAAAAGTTTTTCTTATGCGATGCCATGATAAAGGATAAATGTGGCATGGAATGCCTGAAATCGGCACGAGGAAGTGTTCTTCAAAGGGAGACTATTTGCAAGATGTAAATATATTTGTACATGTGCACATGTTCATCGAAAGGTCATTCGCCGAGTGATCAAAATTGCAGGACAAAACGGATTTATCCTGAAGGAGAAGAGAGCATTAAAATTAGACCGTGCATGACGTATAACGTGCGAGAAAATGTACGTCACACCAGAGTGAATTTCCATCAATTGGCGCATAATGTCGTAATTTAGAAAACGCGTGATTTCATCATTGCCCGAGGGAGGAGGAAGCAGACTCGCGGGAGATTGAAAATATACATGGAGGGCAAATAGACAAAATCTCGTCACATAACGCATTGGTGGAATATATTAATAATCTCCTACAATGTCATATCGTGAGAGGATATTTGGAGAGTGAAAATTTGTTTGGCCCCAATTTTCTTGTATGCAGAAAGATCCACTGTCGTCATCGACTTATGTATAATGTACCTATAGGATTTATTCGTTGATTTTGATAATTTTTACAATTTGTCGGTAGAAAATTGACACCATTTTCTTGTTTGGAGGCAATTTCTCTCAGTGCAGAGGTTGAAATATTCTCTATTGTCAGTGGCTGACGAGAGTTTTTGCTATGTATAGGGAAATCTACAGGTACCGATGGATGCGCCTGGTAAAATTTCTCCCCCTATCATATTCTCTTTCGAAGGCTAAAAAGAGAAGGGAAAAGTTTTTTTACAGGGCATTTTGATGAATGGAGGGACGCCTGGTTGTCGTTAGTTGACCTCATACATAAAGTTGATATTCATTCATGGACAGTGTCTCGATACAGCGAGTGACACATGTAGAAAATGTATACATTTGTTCAAGAGGATATCACTTGAATTGAGTGACATGGTGGGCATTCAACCAGGTGGACTTGTGGGGCCAACAATATGGCTTTTCAATTGCAATGACTGAGTTGGGAAAGCGCCTACACAGTGTGATTTTCATTCACACGTGGAAATTGTAATGTAAAAGCTCTAAAGTGTTCTCTAAAAGTGATGATTTTCTCCGTGGACAATTGTTCCGATACATGTGAATGTGAATTGTCATAGCGAGATGACTTCTTTATCTTCGCATCCTCACCCTTTGCCACCCAGTGGCAGCTTCCTCTGCTCACAGCTCATGTTTAAAAGTGTTTGTTAAACAAGTCAGTCCTCGACAGGATTGGAGATGCGAAAAGAGATGGAAAATTTACGTCAATGTGTCCCCATTTCCAAATGGTGGTGGGGTGAAATGCGCTGTGTGTGAGAGAGTCATAATCGAAATTTGAAAATAAGGCTCGACAGAGGAACAAATGAGTAATGACGAAATATTGCGCGGAGGGAAATCTGGGTACATTTGATAGAATGTGACAACATATTTCATAACATACAAAAGAGGGAAAACTTTCAGTCATACTCTCTCAATATAGCTGGATATAAACAAATTTATTATTATTCATTGCATTGTTGAAGTCAATAGACTTGGTTTATTCTCCCCTCACTTCGTCTTATGTCGTCATTCGTTTCCATTTCAAGCTACGTAGGGTTGGGAATTTTCATGCAAGATTGACACTTATTTGCAAGATTGGTTGACTCACAAATAAATATAATTATTTTGCAACTTTTCCCTGTGATTTAGATTGAAATATTTCACGATTACTTCATACTTTCCTCCCTAAGCTGCCCCATTTTAGATTTCTCTGAATGACACACACTCTGTTTATTGTGAATTTGTGTGAATTTTCAAGAAAGACCATGGCTGAAGTGATGGCGAGTCTCTTTGTGATGTCTACAACTCTTTTGTTTACTACAGAGACTTCCATTGTGACTAATTTTCCTCACTGCCTCTTGTTTAATTCATATACCAAGTGGATGGGGGAAAAGACGTAAATTGGATTTCTGGACTTTGAAATCTTTGCGTCGAAGGCGGAGGGAATTTAGTGAATTAGCGTATCTGAATGTATGTGAGGCAATAGAAGAAAATGGGAAATTGCGGTGAAATCGAGGGTGGTTCGAAATGAGCCGGGATCATGTTTGTTGCCCCACTTTGCTACGCATTCATCTCTCCCCAATGGTATTGCATTCGGGAGCTGCTGACGTCATTACACAATTATCTACTTGAGCTTATGTGCTCTACACTCACCTATATACTTCTTCCATGCTCTCCCTCTCTGCGGAGCTTTTCCGCTCGCGAGAGGGAGAGAAGAAAAACGAGGGAGACTTGGAAGAAGCGCACGCGGCGCTGTTGAGGGTGTTGCGGAGACACAAGCACGGATAGGACAATTTTGTGTACGAAAGACATTTTCCAGCAATCGGATGATTCTCTGGTGGCGCGTTTGGAAAAATCGCGCACTCTCGTGAAAAGCTCTCCCAATTTCTAGGGGGCGCGCACGAGAACTCTCTCTCAAAGGAACGTGTAGAGAGAGAGAGAGAAGCATGAGACTCTATGACGTCATGGGAGGTCACCGGCCTAGTTTTAATATTATTCCAAATAGCACAGGGGGTTGGGAGTGAAAAATAAACATCACCTCACTCCTGTCGAGTGTCATGAAAAATTCTCTCAACACCCAGGACACTTTTTCAGCAATGTTTGCACTAAACTTTTACGTATTCTCTTTTCAGTGTGCAATTTCATTGTGCATGAAAGATGTGTGACGAACGTGGTGACGCCTTGTTCAGGAATAGCCCCCAGCATCATCAAGAATCCCGTCGCCCATTGTTGGTCGGAGCCGACGCATCACAAGAGGAGATTCTGCACGGTGTGCCGGAAGAGACTTGACGAAACACCCGCCGTGCACTGCATGAGTGAGTAATGCTGATAAAATTGATAAAATTGCAGCTGCGGCAGTGGGAAGTCGAATGAATTCCTCAGAAGGATTTCTGGAGCATTTGAAGAGTTTAAATGGAATGTACGAGTTGAGACGAAAAGCATAAGACATAAAAGATTAATGTTCATCATGATTTTGTGTGGGAAAATATAATCTAGCAATTAAAATTATGTCAAGAAATGCATTATAAGAACCATAGTGATGCTTTCAGAGTAATTTCGGTCACAAAATGAGCTCTTCTAGCATTTATTAAGTGAGCTTTTCCCGAAGCTTCAAATTCTAGAGCGCTCTATAAAAACTTTTAGAGATAATAGGCATTTCCTGTGAATGCTTCTAAACCAACGCTTTCTTCACAGTCTGTGAGTACTTCGCCCATGTGGAGTGTCAGGATTTCGCTGTGGCTGATTGCAAGGAGAATGCCACGTATGTCCCCGGCAAGGATTTAGGGTCTGTGAAGCATCAGCATCACTGGCGAGAGGGTAACTTGCCACAGACATCAAAATGCTATCACTGCAAGAAGTCCTGCTTCTCCTCCGAGTGTCTCACAGGTGAGTGCGGTTGGCCCCCTATGGCGCTTCTGGCCATTCTCCCATGCGGATGCTGAACGTGTCTTGTCTTGCCAGGCTACCGATGCGAATGGTGCGGTGCAACGTGTCACGGTGGCTGTCGCAGTCAAGTGAATCCCGAGTGCAAATTCGGTGTCCTCGAGCCAATCTATTTACCGCCACATGCTGTTTCTATACCTCGTACTGAAGTGCCAATGGAAGCTATTATTGGTGTCCAAGTGAAATCAAGGACTACACCACTGCAGAGAGATTATTCCTGTCGTAAGTATGCCTAGTCAATCACCTATGAAGCACTTTCTGTTCTCTAATATTGCATCCTCAGAGCACAAGATTGCAATTTAATATAATACATACTACATTTGGGACTTTTCGCATAATTTAGAGATAACGGGGATAGACGTACTACTAGAACATACATGGGTCATAATTGGTATCATTGGAACATCTTTCGCATTATCTGAAAATATTTGAGATATGTGCAGTGTTCTCTGTGCAGAATTCTATTAAATGTGCGAAATAAATTTTGAAAGATTTGTGGTGTGAGAGAGTATGGATACGATAGACTAATTAGATTGTTCTGTGAATGTTGTCTGTTGATGGTTATTCTAGACTTGAGCACCACAAAGTATCTCTCATCTTAATATTCCTTTTTCTGCTCTATATTCTATTAATTTATTTTGCAAATTTATCCAGTATAATTGATTCTATAGTTGGTACGGTCTTGGAATAGAAAATTTTCTGTGCTTTTCTCTCTCTATCTATAGATATGCTTTATATGCAACAAAGCAGCATTTTCTCCATTGATTCATTTTGTATGCTGGGGGAGAAGAGAGGATATCTTGTGCCAATGTTAACACAACACTCAAAATGTCATATTGTGTATTTTATTTTGTCTCTATTTTCCAACCCATTTCTGTGATTTTTAATTTAATCCTTCAATATGTATGACTTTCACCAGCGGAATTGAGAACGATAGGTCTCTGTGATGCCACGGACAGTGAATTGTCGATAAGGCATCTCGATATGAATGCCAAGGAGGCGATAAGGCAGATGTACCTCCTGCCGTCACCTGCAGCGTCCACGGATCAGAGGAACCGCAGTTGGCCGAAGATTGGGGGTGGTGGCGACAAGAGAACGGATCATCTCGGGGAGAATCGTGATATTTTAGATATTGACTGTGCCGAAGCGCACAGTGACTTTGCCAGTAGCTGTAATTTAGACGTAGTGCGGACAGACAAGAGGGCTCACAGTGCCGAGAGTGTGGAGATGGTGAAGAGTCCCAGGAGTCGCCACGTGGAGCGCCTGAAGATGGCCGAAACGGTGACGAGGAGTCGATCGTTCCAGGAGCAGGGCGTTCAGCCGCCCTATCTCAAGAATGCGCGCTTCTTCGTGAACCGTCTGGGGCACTCCAACGCCAATCTGGACGACATGCTGGAGACTGCCTCGTCGCCTGGCGCCTCAATCTCCATGAAGACATCCCAGAGCGCCGACATTCGCATTGAGATCGGACATTATGGCGATGACGACAGGTGCACGCCGCCGATTCTGCCCTTCCAGCAGGAGCAGGGGGTGAAGAGTGGACACATTTTGGGGCGAATTTTCCGACGAATGCGAAAAATCTCTCTGGCGTGGCGAAAGTCAAGATGTAAAATTCACAGAGGTGAATTGGATTTTTTCTTTTATTTACTCATTTCCCCGTTTTATTCTTTTTTGAGTGATTTTTGAGTATTTTGTTCCTATCGTTTTCCAGATGGTTTTTGTGTTTCCTTTTACACACAATGAAACATTCATTCTCGTTTTACTTTATCATTTCACAATGGGGAAGGGAATTTTTTTTATGTTTTTAACTTTCATCTCTATCAGGATATTGACTAAATGGCAAAAAACATGATCAACTAGAAATTATCATTGAATATGATTGGAAATTAAGCAAAAAAAATATCGCGCATTGGGAAGATTTTTTGTTACAAATTATCTTGCTTATAGCAATTAAATGATAAATGTTACTTCTGTTGCTTAGACGTCTTTTATTATATGCTTTTACGTAAATTCTTATGAAATCGACGATATCCGAAGAAATCTTCAGTGGGAAGCTACGGTAGAAATACACAAAAATGCATATTTGAGCAATTATTACACTTGTTTTATGTTTGCATGCTTGGAAGCTTTATTCTTGGCACCACCTTCAGCACTTTTTCCTTACTAATGTGAATTCAAAGAGAACGTGAAGCCGTGCCTGTTCTGCTGTGTGTGAGATTTTCAGGGAATTTTGTCGTTGGAATCTCATCTGATTGGCAAAATTCATACCGAAATTGGCTGTTAAATTGCTATTGAGATTGAAGTGATGAAATTTTCAGCGGAGTCTCCGCCAGCAAGAATGCAGTGTAATTCTCTCTGAATTTTGCTGAAAAGGCTGATTGTTCTTTTGCCTCTACTCTCATTGCAGCGCGAAGCATTTCTGAAGAATTTAGCAGCGGAGACGCTGCCCGATTTCGCGATGAGGAATACACATCGAAGCCTGAAGGTGCCTGTGCCTCAGGAAGTCATCCAAGAGCAGAGTCGGCGCACAAGTCCGATAAGGACAAGGAGAAGAGGGATAAAGAGAAGGAAGAAAGGGATGAAGGTGAGCGTGATTGTTAGATTAACCGACACAGAGAGAGAGAGAAAGCTTTTTTCTTACTTATTTTGATATTTGGTATTTTTTCTTCTGTTTGTGCAGAAACTATCAAAGTGTTTGATGGAAATTCCTCACTGCGACGACGAATATTCCGAGCAATTACAGTTTCACGAACATGTACTTTAGATCAATTACTAACAACAGCACTTCGTGCATTCCACATTGCACGAAATCCTAATGTAAGTCGCCATTCACTGCTTCCTGAAACTCTAACTGGCTTTCGCCTCATCGGAAAATCACTGTAAATGCACTTTTTCATCTGCAGGAATTCTACTTGACGGACTTGTATGCGCCGGGCGGCGAGGAGGTTCGCCTGCAGGACGCACATCCGGTGCTGACACTCACCCGAATTGAGGGAAAGCGTCCAGCCATCTTCCTGCGATTTCGTGACAATGAAAATGACAAGGGCTTCGTGCGCGTGTACCCGGGAAAGTTGCAGCTGGATGACATTGACGAGTCCTTCGTGGCGGTGCCCGTGGATAATGACACAACCGTGCGCGATCTGATCCGCGACGCCCTCAATCAGTTCACGCTGGAGGGGAGGAATGTGGATGAGTATCGGTGTCTGGAGGTGTTGCTGGACAGAGGCGTGACAGAGAGGATCCTCTGCAATAATGAGCGACCGTGGGAGATTATGAAACAGCTGGGCAGGGACTCAATTCGTCAGATGGAGCTCATGAGGTTCTATCTGCAGCACAAGCAGGATCCACATGGTCCGAATTTGGCACTATTCGTTGGCAATCTACCTCCAGGTATGATTGGTACTCTCTCAACTCAAATACCAACTCTCGCTTATTGCCATCGCCTTTCTCAGGACTCTCCCAGAGAAACTATGAGCACATGCTGAACAGATATGTGTCCGAGGACAAGTTTACCAGCATTGGTCCCATCTACTATGAATATGGATCTGTTGTGATAACGTATGAAGACGCTTCGAAGGCGGTGAGTGCTTCGCTGGCGAATGATTGCTGTACAGATTGTGTGGAAATTTGATTTTGTTCCAGGTTCGTGCTTTTTATACACTGCGTGAGGCAATCTGCGAGGGGAAAAATCTTCTAGTGCTTCTGTTGCCAAACATCGAACCGAGCATGGTGCGTCCGGATACGTGGCCACTGCTTGTCTTTGTCAACGTGAAATCCGGTGGATGTCAGGGTCTCGAATTAATTTCAAGCTTCCGCAAACTCTTGAATCCCTATCAAGTGTTTGATCTAGACAATGGTGGACCACTTCCAGGGTGAGTTCTTTCCAAGTTCAATCTCTATGCAATTGGCTTATGCTCTGTGCCTCTGCAGACTGTATGTCTTTCGCCACATCAAGACCTACAAGATTCTCGTGTGTGGCGGCGATGGCACAATTGGATGGGTGCTGCAGTGTCTGGACAACGTTGGTCAAGACTCGGAATGTTCAAGTCCACCATGCGCCATTGTACCCCTCGGAACTGGTAAAATCTCCATCAAAATTCACTAGCAAACAATTTGACCAATTGGACAGTGACTAATCTGTGCGGGGCTTTTCCTCCTTGTGTCTGTGCTCTTGCAGGGAACGACTTGGCGCGTGTCCTTCGCTGGGGACCCGGCTACACGGGCGGCGAAGACCCGCTGAACCTGCTGCGCGATGTAATCGAAGCGGAAGAGATTCGATTAGATCGCTGGACAGTGGTGTTCCATCCGGAAGACAAGCCCGAGGACGCAGCGCAAAAAGCGCCATCAAATTCAACGGGTAAGAAGAAGAAGAAGGTCCACACAGCACAGCCTTCTCAACAGAATCAGCAACTTCATCTTGCGGCCATTGCAAATCAAGGTCATTTGGTGTCGATTAAAGAAGAGTCAAATGAGTCCAAACCAAACCAATGATGATATTTGAGATTATATTTAAAGTCTTGAAAGCAACAACTTTACCCCAAGACGCTCAATTGATCCGCAATTGAGCGCTGCATTAACTCTGTCGATGTCGTCTGTTGGATTTTGTGTTTTCTTTTTCTTTTAGTAACATATATAGACTTTACTCTGGTCTTGTTCATGACATGAAATTGGTCAAGAGTCGCGAGATTTTAGACCGCGGTATTTTGGTTGATACCCTTTAGTTGGAGTTTGTATTTTATGAGTTTAGAAACTGCGATTGGATAGAGACAAGTCAATAATATAATAGGTTGTAATTCATGCAATATTTTGGCTTTTTTCGATCTCAGCTCACTTCTCTTGAGAGCTTCTCTCTTCACAATTATTGACTTGTTCGTGTACAGAAGACAGATTCTATTCAATCTCAGTGATTTTCGCCGTCGAATGACTACAAAAATGACCGTATATAATTGCACTTTCACAAATAATAAGAGGTTCTTCATTTGAAATGAATATACAATTCTCTTTTCTTGATGCGCTTTCAGTATTATATCTTGTTACATTTTCTTTGGTCGTAGAACTTGCTTGCTCTTTGCAAAACATTAAAACTCTGCATGTTATCACTCGTTGAAATAGTTTAAAGTCTTGAGTATATTATCTTTTTTCTTCTGAAAATTACTGCGAAAAAGTCAGGTGAATTGGCCAAAAAGATGATGAGAGTCGAGACATTGGTTTTTAGAGTAATTTTCCGTTGAAAGCCAGCACGCATATAAAATCATTCATTTTTTGGAAGCATAAATAAGAAACACAGCAAATTGAAAAAATTACAGAAATTGCAGCTTTTAAATTTCCATGTAATTGCTTAATGACTTTTTCCACGTACTTGCTAATAAATCCGCTGAGGCCCTGTGAACGCGTGGAGCTCACGGAAACTCTGCAATATGTTTTCAGGTGGAGGAGCACAGAGTGAGGACAATTCACAGATCTTTGTGATGAACAACTACTTCGGGATAGGAATTGATGCCGATCTCTGTCTGGACTTTCACAATGCGCGCGAGGAGAATCCCAACAAGTTCAACTCGCGCCTCCACAACAAGGGCGTGTATGTGAAGATGGGCCTCCGGAAGATGGTGGGCAGGAAGATTGTGAAGGAGCTGCACAAAGAAATCCGACTGGAAGTGGATGGAAAGGTTGTGGAACTGCCACCCGTCGAGGGCATTATCATACTGAATATCCTGAGGTAACGTCGAAATATCTGCTGAGAAAGAATGTCTGCTGTATTGAAATGCTTCTGTGTTCTCTACAGTTGGGGTTCTGGGGCCAATCCGTGGGGTCCTGAGAAGGAGGATCAGTTTAGTAAACCGAATCACTGGGACGGAATGCTGGAGATTGTCGGAGTGACGGGAGTCGTGCATCTGGGCCAAATTCAATCTGGCCTTCGATCTGCAATTCGCATAGCTCAGGTAAGCTATTCAAATTCCTTCGCTTATGATACTTCCAGAAGAATGTCTTAACACTTTGTGTGCTTCTCTTCAGGGTGGCCATATAAAAATCCACATGTACTCGGAGATTCCGGTTCAAGTGGATGGCGAACCCTGGGTTCAGAGTCCCGGTGACGTCGTAGTTCTCAAATCAGCACTCAAGGTGAGTTTGGCAATCTTTCAATAATCTGTTTTTCAATAATCTCTTGCGATTAAGAGAAACCTTTTCTCTATAACTATTCAAATTATATCTACAAAAATATATATCATTTTTTAAACTAACTCTAACAATCTGCTTCAAAGTAATACATATTCTAATAAATTTTTCTTTTACAATTACTTTAACAATTGAATTTTCTTGTTGTTTCTTTTTTACATATATAATTCTCTATCTGCGAGAGAAATTTCTAATAAATAATTCGCTATATGTGTTTTTACATTGATATCTTTTCTAAATTTCAATTTCAAGAGATAACCATACAGAATCTCGAATATACATTTTTCTTTTCAAAGATTCTTTTTTGCAAAACTCATACAGGGTGTAAAAAGACATATTCTTATACCATAAATATTGAGTAGACATATTTTTGACAATTCAATTGTATTTATTGGTAGATTTTTTACACAGTATACGACACACTATTTTTGATTTTTCTTTAGTGTAATTTGGCAAGAAAGTACTTTTGAGGAAATCACACAGAAACACGTTTAGATGTAACAAAAATAATCCACACGATACACGTAAAGACACAATTTTTTTTGTGAATCTGACACAACTTCCAAAAGTATTTTTGAGAAAAATTTGAGAACACCATAATTTCAGACACTTTTCACCCTGTATTTGTAGTTTTATTTATTTTTTCATACTCTAAATTTATTTGCATGGAAAAGTCTTTGATTTTCAATACAGCATGAATTTTTTCATTTTGATAATATTAAATGCAGAATATTCTTTAATGTGTCAATTAAAGAATTTTTATAAAATTCTTTAGCAAATTATTGCAGTTTTTATATTGGTTTTTGTCAAACTTTATTTTAGATTAAGATAAAGGATTGAGAAATTGCAATATTTCTCAATTTCTGCAGCTAAAATTTATTAATTTGTTTTTAAATATATCTTCAAAGATATTTTTGATTATTTTTTTTTTAATTTATAATTTATTATTTCATCACATTTTCTATGAGGTTTCGGTTTATCTCAGAAAAAAATATTTTCACAAAAGAGTGATCAGAGAAAATATTAAAAATCTTTTCGTAAATTCAAAAATTTATCCGGGCTGTTTATGTATGAAAAATATTTTTTTTCTTCAATGAATACTTTTCATGCAAAAGCGCCCCGATTTTTCTAACTTCAAAGTTTGATGAAAGATTGTAGAGTTCTCTTTTTGAATGTTTCTTTCTTAAGAGCAAGAAAGCCAAGATGTTAATGAAACTTGATGTCCAATCTAGGCAACAATGTTGAAGAAAAGTAAAACAAAGCGGCGACTTACGGAACCGATAATACTGCCGGCCGTGGCGGGGTCGACGTCTCAAGGGGGGCCGCAGCCGGAAAATGGGGACCGAGATAAGGAGCCCCTTGGCACATAGAGAACCCGTCCGTCCGGTCCTAGTTTGCTTTTTTCCTGCTTTCTTTGACTCAGAAAATCAAAAAAAAATGCTGTGCAAAACACCTGTTCTTTCCCAAACTCCTCAAAAAGCCAAAAAAAAGAAAACCCTCGCCAAATTCCCCACCCTTTCGCCCACAAAAAGAAAAAAAAATCACTTCACATTTATTTTACTGTCTTTCAAGATCCTTTTCGTTGGTATTTTGTTATTACTTTACAACTTGATTGAGTTTTTTCAAAGTCTTTCCTTAATTGTGATTCTCTCATTTTCAAAAAGACGTGATTTATGTTCTATATATTTATTTCTTAACCTCTTTAGTGTCTCTTTTCTATATATTTGTAATTGTCTCTGTGGACAGAAAGAGTGTGAGGATGATAAGACAATCAGTAAGAGAAAAAAAATCATAGAAGCGCTAAGAGGAGATTTTTTTTTTATAATTTTTCAATTGAAGAATCGTGTGAAGTTTCTTATCCCCTTTGTTTCATGAATGTAAAAATGAGACGAAATAATTTGATTTAGCAATTTTATTTCTTGAATTTTCCTCTTGTGTTTATTCTATAGAGAATTTTTTATATGATTTAGAAACACAATAATGCTTTAGGAGCGCTTTTTCTGCTTGAAATCAATTCCTGATTATGCACGTCACCAGGCAATAAACAATGCTTTGGCCAGTGTTGAATTTTTCGCATGCTTTTCCACCCATGCTTCCTCTGAAGCCTTTTTTCTGCAAAATAATTTAGTCCGCATGGGAAATTGCATTTCACCCGAAGCTTTTCACTGTGCTTTCATGCTATACTATAATTTTGCTCTTTTTGCTACTGTCATAAATGCACGCATAACAACTATATGGCTGATGTTAGCGATAGGGGAGGAAGTGGAGCGAAAGCTTGCGCTTTCTGTGGCCTAAAATTTTATGTATTGCAGAAGCAGTCCACAAATGTCTCAGCTTGTGTGTCATTTAGCCTTATTTCCCCTTAATCTTCAGTTTGACTTTTTATTACTGATAACATAAGAATTTCTCGCAAACTAGTTTAAAAAATAAATGTAATGATAAGAGAATAATTTGAAAATTTGAGAGCGCAATTCTTAATTTCTATTCTCTCTTTTTTTCCTTCATCACAACATTTTATTGCCCACGAAAAACAACAAAACATAAATTAAAACCATATTTCGAAAAAAATGAAACATGACACAATTCACAACATTGAACAATCCCTTCGAAAATGAATTAAAAAAAAAATTACTGTGGCAATTGACCACGTGGGAAAATGACAATGATCGGTAAACTATGGACCGGACGGTTAGGCGACCATGTTGAAGAAGTGCAAAGGGAAGATGAAGCGTCGCAACACGGAACCTACAATGGCTCTGGGTCCGTCAACACCCGCCATGTCCCTCGCCGTGGCGCCGCAGGAGAACGACGAGAATAATGAGACGGATTTCTGAATTTGGTACAACGAGCGACTTATTTAACGTGCATTCAATGAAGTGGACAACTCACGCGAGTCGGGCAGCTCTCCGTGAGCTCTCGAGGCCCAGTTTGAGATTGGTGTGTGTTGAGTGAGGAATCAATTTGGGAAAGTGAGGCAATGTCGATGAAACAAGAAAAATAACCCACCAAAAAGATAAGAGTGGATCAAGAGAGATTAGATGCAATGAAGTGGATTTGAAGCGCGCCTAGGAATCGCCTTGTGCCAGTGAGCTTTTCTCGCCACGCGAAAAACTGACGGGGAATTTCCTCGGCGACAGCTAGAGACTTTCATTGTAGGATGCACTGCAATGGGAGCTTTTCTGAAGTGTGGAAACCAAGGAATTCCTCTTGACTGTGATTTTCGCCACTGGAAATTTTCACTGGGAAAATGACGTGATTCGAGCGCAAGCATGTTTTTTGACACGAACTACAGAGTTTTCCACAGACTTTCCATATACCCACCTTTAAAAAAGAAACAAGCGAACAAAGCAAAAGAAGTTCAACCAGTCATTGCTCTGCATGTTAAAGAAGTTGCTCTACGACTTTATGATTTTCCCAAGAGTGTCACCAATATGTTTAGTTTCAAGAGAACAAAGATCAAGTACCAAAAAAAAACTGTGTCAGAGAAAAATGTGTGAGTCAGATAGAGAAAAAAAGAAATCTTCCTAGAACATAAACCAGTGTGAAGAGGTGAAAAACAAAAAGATGGAGATAAGAATTGAGAAATCTATTTATTGCAAAGAATAGGAATCTTTATTTTTTGTTGACACTTTGAAAAATATTTTATGATATATTATTGTGTATAGGAGAATGAGAAGAGAAATTTGATAAATTATGATGGACGATGGGAAAATACTGAGATCTCGAAACTATATTTAGAAAAGAAGGAGAAGAGAAATGAAAATATAGTGTTATAAATATTTGTTGTAATTTTTCTAATTCTTTTCATTTGTCATTCAACAAAGAAAAAGATAAAAAATCAGCAAATGCAAAGATTTGTATTAAGACAAAATGAGAGATTATTTTTTAAGGAGAAAAACTTTTCTATATAGTATCTAAATGAATATAATTTCCATTTCTTCCTGTTTATGTAAAAGTAAACAAAAAAAAATTGTGTGAAAGAAATGACAAAATCTACTCAAGAATGAATGAGTCTCAGAAAATCATGAGATGAATTCATTACGCTTAGGAAAGAAGATGGTGGAAGTAAGAGAAAACGTGAAAAGTGAATTACGTCCCACAGAATATATTTGATATAAAAAAAATAGTAAGAAAAGAGTATGAAGAGAAAGAAAAAATGAACATAAACAAAAGCAGAATCAAATTTCATAGGAAAAAATATCATGGATTTTTTCTCACAATCATTTTTTCCTTCTTTCTCTTTTTTCTAATGATACACCATTAATTGTTAAATTGATTATTCCTAAGGACTTCTTTAAAGAACGAGAGTTTGGGAGACGTTTTACAAATCATGAATTAACTTGACAACATATATATTGTTATAAAATGTAATTTGTAATACTGTAATGCTAAAATTACGTTTTATGTATGGTATTTTACCAAAAAAAATAACAACAATGATGAAAAAGAGAGAATAAAAAAAAAGAAAATCCATGAATAATAGCAAATGTAGAAAAAGGAATAAAAGGCTCTGATAGAAAAAAATTCCACGGAAGAAGATTGACTTGAAACTTAGCGTGAACATAAATAAAACTTCATTTTTAGCGAAAAAGAGAATCAATTCAATCAAATTGTTCAATAAAGGAAAAAAAAACTTAAATAACTAGTGGAACTGCGTAGTGTAAATGATGGAGAAAACATACATTTAAATAATGTAATAATTCATGTTTGATTGCACTTTAAAGAAAATTATTATAAAAGAAAAATGATGAAAATAGAATAATACGATCTTAAACATAGTGAACAAAGTCTCCCCAAAAAGAAACTGATGAAAGTAATAAAAAAAAATAGTGAAGTGTATAAAGAAAACTTATTTCCATAGTAAAAAAAAAAGAGCGAAAATATTTCATCTGCGATATTTTGCGAGAAACATTTGAAGAATGAGCATTAGTTGCGCAAAGGAAAGCGCTGTATTAATAGAAAATTGCATGCAACAGAGAGTAGTTTTATGCAATTTTCCCAATTAGATTGGCCATTTTCCAAATGCTAAAATGCAAAATTGCATAAGCAAACTAACAACAACTATCCACTTTAGCCAGATTGATGAGAGTCCATACTTAGATAATATTTATAAAGAAAACTTTCTGAAGAAGAAAAAAAAATACACCATCTCTTTTTCGTTGGAATGCATTTTTTATAATAAAAAAAAACACACACACACACCGAATGTAAAACTTTTTCTATATTTGAGGAATAATTTTTTGAAATATTGTTTTTAATATAAAACCTTCAGTATTTTCAATAGAAAAACAAACAACTTGATATATAATGTGAAAAAAAAACTACCAACATAATGAATTTGAGAAGAACGTGCGTGAGATGTGAAGAACGAGAGTTGCAAAAATGACCAAAAACAATGTTTTTAATACACTCTAGTGTTTATAGGTGAAGAAAAAAAACTTTAAAGATGAATTTATTGTAATACCTCAAAGGACGACGACATCACACGAGATTTCCATTTAAGTTTTGGGCGAAAGATATTGCAAGGAGTGAGATTGAAAATTTTTTTGTAAATCTAACACGGGATGATATGTTATGAGAACGTTTATTGATCGTGCGGAAAAGTTGCCAAAAACAAAAACGTGTACTACAAAAACAAAGAGAGAGAGCGTGAGAGGTAAAATTGCTGTGAAAGAAAGTGTGCTATGTATGTTAAGATTGCGTGTGCCGAAGAGAGGATTTGTGATCCTGACCAAGAAGAGAAGACATTCTCATGGGCACGAAAATATAACGTTCTCTAATTCATCCCAAATGCGCGTTGGGCAAGAGTGATGCAAAAGTAGAGTGTATTGTGGCTTCTTCTGAACTAGTCTTCAGACCCGCGGATCCTGGCGCGCTCACTCGCGGAATGGTCAGAGAAGAGTGAACACGAAGCCACAGATTGAGTGACGTGGCCAGGATATCCACTGATTCGCGGTGACGATCAAAGTCTCCTCCTCTTCTCCCCCAGCAATGCTGCCTCACGAGGAGTCGGCATGCGATTTGTGGGTGAATCCACGAGAAGATTGTGTGTATTCACGCATAACTAACAGGAGCTCCTCCTGCTGGCACCATTGCTGCCCTATCTCTTCTTTTACTTAATTTGTTCTTCCAGTGTCGCACCGGGAGTCAGTGGAGACAACCCTTTCCACCTCATCTGCATTTTTTCCTTGGTTCAACTCATCCTCGAGTGCGCATACACACTCGAGAGTCACCCGCCGCGATTCACATCCATTTGCCCACTCTACGTGGCCGGAATGCGTAGAAGAGTGGCAATAATCACCCAAATATGTTCACAATCCGAACATGAGTAGGGGCTCAATGAGACACTGCGGATTCCGGGCATATCCGCTTTCCCGCTCAGACAGAGATTTCGCCTCGGTGGCCATTGTGGGTCACCCACAAGCTGTTGCGCAATACCATGGCTGCCGTCAGTGGGCCACTGAGGTGGGGCTATTGAAAAAATCCCTCATGACCGGGTCGTATCGGAATCCCAAATACCAATTTTGTACACACACTTGAAAACTACCGTCGATTCCATGCGTGGACTTCGCGATACCAGAGCGCGATAATTGCTTCCAATGTCTCTCATATACTTCTGTTCAGATTGTGACCATGTCCTCTCCTTCCTCCAGTTCTAGGAACAAAGAAGAAAGAAAACAACTCATCGTATCGCATTCAAACTAGTCCCCTCTGTCCCCCCAAGCTGTCCCCTTCTCCTCCTAATAAGAGAAAGAAAAAAATCGAGTGAAATCCAGAAACACTGCAAAGAAACACTTTTGACCACACAAGTCAAGGATTTTGAAGTGAAGGACAAAACATTATACCCTATTTAAGGAGATGAACACACACAAAATGAGTGAAGAGAAAAATCTTAATAGAAAATTAGCATTCGAGAGTAAGAATTGAGAGAAGAAATTTCATATAAAACTATTATAAAGAAAAAAATACTATGTAAAGTCTATTTCGATTTTTTGGTGTTTTCATTACCAAAACCAAATAGAAGCGGAAAATGCAAAATTAAAACAAAAGAATAATAACCCATGGAGAATTCACTGAATTCGCAAACACTCAGAGAGTCGAGAAAAACATCAATCTTGACCAAATAACACCACGTGAGAGAGAAAAAAAAGCAAAAGTTCTTCAGTCAATTCTCCATGGCATTCCACCACAGGAGAGCAAGATAAAACTGTCGGCAGTGTAGATGTATATGAGCAAATCCAAACCAGGCCAATATGCAAAATATGTGAAATTTGACTGGATTTCCAAATGATAAAATATTATAAAGAGAAAAAATGAAACCAAACTACCGAAAAATTATTATTAATTATTATTATAAATATATGTATATGTGATTATGTAAATTAGGATTAAAATGAAATATTATAAATTGTGAAATAGAAGAATTAAATGTAACTAATTGAAGGAAAAAAGAGTGTCTTTCAATATCTCGCAAAGCTGCGAGCTTTTGCACTGGAGTTGCCTGGTTATTTCCAGTCTGCTTTCCAGAGATTGCTGATGAGCGAAAGAGAGGGTATGAAAACACTGGTTTTCTCCCTTTCTCATCTGAGAATGAATCAGCTGTCAGTTGTTTTGGAAGGAAGACACACTGAAGTGTTTACAAACGGCGTAAATACACTGCAGAAATTCATATTTGATTGAGAAAACACCATTTATAGAGGATTGAGGAATTAGATTCTTCTCCAAATACCACATAACAGAGTTTGAAGATGTTCCATGTTGTAGATTACCTTATTCTTCACTGAATGCGCTGGATAGTTCCAATAGTAATCATATCAGTGGAGCATAGAGTCATTCAAACAGTGTAGCAACGTTCATTTTAAACATCTAAACCACCCAGAAGTTTCGCAAAAATTCTGCGTAGTGTGAATCATTGTTTTCAATTGGTCCACCCATATCAAAACACCCCAATTGAGTGGAATTAATCGCGAAAATGGCCCTCACAAACGTCCTATTGTTGTCCCAAATTGCCGGAAATGCCGTGGCGTTCGTCCTGTCTCTGTGCATTCTCGCGCCACTGAGCCTCCACGTCCATGAATTCAAGTGAGCTCCCCAGCAAAAGCGTCTTGTCTGCCCCATTGTTCACTGCCCTTTTGCGTCTTTCAGCGGAAAATGTCTCCTCTTCGCGCGCGGAACTTGGGGAGAGGAAGACGGACTGTTCAATGTCACCTGGCCATCACCCATCAACTGCAGCTTCCCTATCGCCACGGCTATTGTGCTGTTCATCGTCTCAATCATCCAGATCTACCGCTTCGCTCGGCTGTCCATCAAGCAAGAGGAGGCGAGCTTCTTGGGACTCTTTCTGGACGTCTTCTTTGGCTTCATTCTATCCTTGATGACCATCGTCTCGGCGATGATAATCACCATTGGCTTCATGGATTGGTGCTCAGATATCACACAAAGATTCCCATCGTGCGAAAATGCCGCTGGACAGAGTATCATGAAAGAGGATCAGAAGATCGACACTTCGGGCTTCTACATTCAAATGGGAACCGCACAATTTGGAGCCTGGGGCGCTTTTGCCACTTGCGTGGTGATCTCCGTGGCGGCGCTGCTGAAGCTAATCAACAATCACGAGATGACCAACATGAGAGTGTCCATGTACCTCGAGAGGCAACGCCTGGTCAACGAAGACGCCTCCAGGGAGAGTCTAGACGCGCCGGGAGACTTCTCTCACTAAGTCTCCCTCCCCAAGCGAATTTCCTTCTTGTGATTATTGCGGATATTTTTTCCAAATTATATTTCTACTCTAATTTATTGGACAGAAATCACCGAGAGCGATGATAATAAGATGATTTCTTTATGATTAAGGCAATGTCTTTACTGATCACAAATGTTGGGGACTCACCTCACTTGCTGTCGCTGCATTTGTGAATCATCTCATCAATGTCATCGCCCACATATTCCCCACACTGCTGACACATTCTGTGGAACTTCCGGATGTGCTTCTTCAGTGAGTTGGACTGCGTGAAATCCGCACCGCAGAAGGAACACTTGAACGGCCGATCTCTCGTGTGAACCCTCTCGTGCTCCTTCAGCATGTTCGATCGCCGGAAAGCCTTGTCGCAGTGACTACACTTGTGCTCCTTCACCATCGTGTGCATCTTCCGGTGCTCCACCAGATTTGAGTTGTAGGCAAATGCCTTGCCACACTCGCACTTGAACGGCTTCTCGCCACTGTGGCTGTTCTGGTGCTCATTCAGAGCCACTTGACTCTTCAACGTCTTCCCGCAGATCTTGCAGCGGAACTCCCTGTGACGTCTCTCGTGGGCGAACAGCAGAGGCATCGAGGGTAGTATTTCAGAACACTTAGAGCAACTGAACTTCTCCCCAGAATCATGCACGTTCCTCTCATGGCGATAGAGCAGGTATTTCGATGAGAAGACATCATCACATGATCCACAAGTCACTTTCGGTTGAGTCTCTTCGGCTGCTGCACATTCGTCGGCAGTGTGCTCCCGTGAGTGCTGCCTCAGGCCAAATTCCGTTGCGAAACTCAAGCAACAGACACGACAGGGGTGATCAGCTCTGTGGGCGCCCAGATGTCTCACAAGGTTGGATTTCCGGTTGAAAACATGGTGGCAAATTTCACAGACGAATATCTTTGATTCAGATTGTTTTGGCTCTTCTTCTTCCTCGACACTGAAAGGAGGAAAAAGAGGAGATATTTTAGGAACTGAGAGATTTATCGACTTTTAACGGAGATTGTTAGTGAAAACGACTTTACATCTGCTTTCTTACAACTATAAGAAGAAGTCTTACCCATCCAGAATATTGTTAGCTAGCTAGACCTTGGCTAGCTCCTCGTCAGTGAGGTGAGATGATTCCTTTTCATATGATGTGCCAGATATCGCTTCTGTGTGGTGTTGAAGCTACAGATGTGGCACTTGAAATATCCGCTCTCGTGTGTCTTGAGGTGCTTCTTCAGATTCGTCTTGAAGCCGAAGCGTTTTCGGCAAATATCACAGGAAAACAGCTTCTCCTTCGTGTGCGTCATCAGATGGTCCTGTAGTTGCTGCTTGAAGACGAATCCCTTGTAGCACAACTTACAAGAGAACCTCTTCACGTTCTCGTGGACCACCTTGTTGTGGATGTACAAGGACGAGAGACTCTTGAAGCTGCGTGAACATTCTCTGCAGCAATAATTCCTCTTCATCCCGTGAATGTGCTTCACGTGGTTGTTCAGTGTGGAGACACAGCCGAATAGTTTGCCGCAAATCTGGCACTTTTTGTCTTTGATTTTGTCATGAAATTGCTCAAGGTGATACTTAAAGCCACTTCTGGAGCGGAAAAGCTTTGAGCAAATAGGGCACTTTCCTCTTTCGTCCTTCTCAGTCTCTTGTGGATTCGCTGGAGGCTTCTCTGGCTGTTCGGTGGCTGAGATATGAGTAATCATGTGCTGCATGAGCTCTTCGCGATCCACATAGCCCTGGCACAGATCACAGAGAAACACTCTGTCAATGTGCTCTACCTCTGTGTGATTTCGCAAGAGTGCTTCATCTTTGAATGTTTGGGAACAGAATCGGCAGGGTTTCCTCACTCGTCTCCTAGCCTTCTTTCTCCTCAGCCGCCGTCGCCTGGAAATACACAGCCGTCATCAGCAAAGGATTAGGACAGCTTGGGAGGATGTTTGGCGTCCATGTGCCTCTTGAGATAGCGCTTCACGCGAAAAGTCTTGGAACATTCCGCGCACTCGAAGGGTTTCTCATCACTGTGAACCGACCAGTGTCGCTTCAGATCAAATTTTGTGCGGAACTTCCAATGGCACGTGTCACATTCGTAAGCCTTTTCGTCCGTGTGTGTCTTCTCATGCGTATGCAAAGCGGACAAGGAGACAAAAGAGTGATCGCAAGTGTCGCAGGCAAATTCTCGCTTCACAGAGTGCATCTTGCGGTGCACATAAAGAGCCGCCTTTTGCCGAAAAGTCTTCGCGCAGATCTCACACTTATGCGGCCTCTCGCCAGTGTGGGTCCTTCTGTGCTCAACGAGTGTGTAGTAATTGGCAAACAACCTGTCGCATGAGTCGCATTGGTAGTTCTTCGTCTTCAAGTGCACCTCGCGAATATGGCAATTGAGACCCTGGCGAATCCTAAATGATTTGTCGCACAGATGACACTTGAATAACCTCAAGCCCGTGTGAATTTGCCAATGCCAGATGAAGCTGTCCAGATGCTTCACAGTCTGCCCACATTCCTCACATCTGTACTGGATTTGGCCATTAACAGCCACACGGCATCGCATCAGCACCTCCGAATCAACCTTCGGGCGCGCTCCCATCAGTTCCTTCACATCATCGCCGAACTTGTGCAGCCTCAGCAAGTGCGTCTTGAAGTCCTTGCGCTTCGTGAAGGACGCATTGCATTTCGGACAGATGAAGATGCCACAGCGACGAGTCAAAGTACTCGATTTGCGCACTTCAGCATCTTTCGGAGCCTGTTCCTCCTCCTGTTCACTTCCCACCACTACCTCATACTCAAAGGCCTGGTACTCTTCATCGTCCCTAGCGTGAAGATCTTCGAAGCACAGAGACGAAGACATGGCCAGAACGTATCTGCAAGCAAAAACCGACACGTTATCTTCTGTGCTTCAAAGACATCATCACGCAGGAACATGGGCAGATAACCTACTCACCTGGCATCTTCATGAGTCTCCTCAATGTCTTCCTTGACCACCTCAATCATGTCCAGATTTTCTCCCTCATCTTCCTCATTTTCGTCTCTCTGCAAAACACATATTTCCATCAGCAATCTTCCCTGGTGAATATCACACATTGTCACATTACCAGGTACTCTATGTGCTCCTCCATATCCTCCTCCTCCATCTCTTCCTCCACAGCTGGAACTTCCTCTTCTTCCGGAACTTCTGGAGGATCTTCATTCTTTGTTTGGTTCACCATGTGAGAAAACTTCACATTCATCTCATGACAGCTCTCGTAGAACTTGTGCCAGGAGCTCAAGGTGTTGCAGCAGTGAATGCATAACTTCTTCGGCAACTCATCCTCCAAGGAAATCTGCAGAGCAGCGGAAAACAATGAAAATATTCCGGCAATAGAGAGTGAGGTTATGCTTACTGATATGTTGAGGTAGTCTTCGATTTTCTGTCGCTCCTCTATCTCATTTCCATCCTTGGTGAACACAGAAAAGGAATTTATGTTCACATTTCCACAGAGCCTGCACATGGAGTTGAAATCCAGCTCGATAGGCTCCAGATTCTTGGCGTTCTTCCCTGTCTGGAAGAGTGAGTCCGCGTTGGCCATTTTCACCTGATTTCCTCGATCGGGGTCGCTTGTATATTGATTTCCACTTAATTCATCATGCAGAAATAGTCATAATTATTAGGGAAACTAAGATAATAAGATGCTTTTCTAGGAATTCCTCGGGATCTGGAACGCTACTACCCTGTACACACTTTGAGAAAAACATGGCAAGAATTACTGCGGAATATTCCATCAGGTCGATGGAATATCAACGGGAAGGATGATTAGTTTTTAGAAGAAATTCGTCGATTTCTTCAATGAAAAGAATCAGAATACTACGTAAATGCAACACATTCATCCCATTCATCAATAAAATCTTTCATTTCATTGGAATACGACAGAATTTCCAATCTTGACAACACATGTCGACGATGTCGGCGAAGCATTGGAATTTTCCACTCCAAAATCCTCTGACAGAGTAGTTGTCTACGGGGGATTGATCGTCAATTTTGGAAAATTTTCAGATAAATTCGCAAAGATTCTCTCCCTTTTGAGAAAGTTCGCGTGCGTGACCATGAGCGTGGAGGACAGTGAACAAGTGGAGATGCTGGATCTGCTGGCGTACAACTGCAATCACTTGCGGCACGAACTGAAGGGCGCTCATGGTCCGGACGAGGAAGAGGAGATTCTCAAGGTCTACCTGCGGAAGGCGGACGAGACGCACCAGCCCATCGGGGACTTCAAGGAGGACCTGGACTGGTTCAACGTGGAGGACCCGCTGACGCTGAGCGACTCGCTGCAGGGGAAGATTGTGGTGCTGGACTTCTTCACGTACTGCTGCATCAATTGCATGCACATTCTGCCGGATCTGAAGCGGCTGGAGGAGATGTTCACTGTGCAGGACGGCCTGGTGGTGATTGGCGTGCACAGCGCCAAGTTTGACAACGAAAAGGACTCGGCCAACATCCTGTCCGCAGTCCAACGGTACAACATCACTCATCCTGTGGTGAATGACGTCAACTCAAGCATGTGGAATGAGCTGAACGTTCAGTGCTGGCCAACTCTGCTGGTTCTAGGTGAGATTGTCCCCCGCTCCTGGCCGAAAGCCCTCACTCCATCGTCTCTCTTTGCAGGTCCTCGGGGAAATCCGCTGTTTGTACTCATGGGCGAGGGGCATTTCGATCTCCTGGTGAAGTACATCCGCTCAGCATTGCAATTTTACCAGGAGTCCGGAGTGATCAGGCCCCAAAGCCTGCCCATCAAGCCCTCAACGGATCTTCTGATGAAGACCAACCTCAAGTTCCCGGGGAAGATTGCCTGCTCCAAGAGCAGCGAGAGCGAGGACATTGCTGAACTCTACGCCATATCAGACTCAGGGAATCATCGGATCATCGTGATAAATCCTCAGGGAGAGGTGCTGCAGAAGATCGGAGGCAAGGCTCCGGGCTTCGTCGATGGCTCCTTCAAGGTGTGTCGCTTTGACTCGCCGCAGGGCATCGTGTTCCTGGACAGTGACACTATCTTCGTGGCCGACACGGAGAATCACGCCATCCGGAAGATCGATCTGCGGACGAAGACCGTCCAGACGGTGGTTGGCACCGGGAAGCAGGGCACGGATCGCGTTGGTGGCAAGATGGGAACCGAGCAGGAGATCTCTTCGCCTTGGGACGTGGCTGTCTATCGCACGAAAGACATGGACATGTCGTTCCACATGGACGAGAACGCAATTCCCGAGAAGGTGCTGCTCCTCATCGCCATGGCGGGCACTCACCAGATTTGGGCGTACTTCATCGATGACCTCATCTGGTGGAAGTTCCGCAAGTGCTCGGCCGGGACGTGTGCCATGATCGCGGGCAACGGGAACGAGGAGAATCGCAACAACGCTTATCCCACGAATGCCTCCTTCGCGCAGCCGTCCGGACTGGCCGTGGCCAGGGACGCCAAGGAGCTGTTCATCGCCGACAGCGAGAGCTCGTGCGTGCGGAAGCTCTCGCTGAGCGACGGAAAAGTGTCTGGCGTTGTGGGTGGCGAGAGAAATCCCCAGAATCTCTTCGCCTTCGGCGACGTGGACGGGAAGAATGTGCTGGCCAAGCTGCAGCACCCTCTGGGCGTGACTTACAATCCCAAGGAGCGTCTCTCCTACGTGGCGGACACGTACAATCACAAGGTGAAGCGAATCGATCCGCTGGCGCAGAGCGTCGCGACACTGGACGTGCTGGGACACTCCTTTAACGAGCCAGGAGGACTCTGTGTGAATCCCTCCGGCAGTCTCCTCTACGTGGCGGACACGAACAATCACACAATCGAGATCATTCATCTGGCCACTCTTGAGGTCAAGCCGCTCACCATTTCCTTCAACGCGGCCGGAAACGACGCAATGAAGCACCCAGGAACACCTCTGCAGTTCGGGAAGTTGACCCTGAAACCGCTGGGCGGAAAAATTCGCCTCTCTATGAACCTCGTCCTCGAGCAGGACTTGGGATTCACGGAAGAGGCGCCCCAGAAGTGGAACGTCTATCTCCCCAATGACTCGTGGTACGTGAACCAGCAGAACGGCTCTCTTCGCAAAGGCCAGACAGTGGACATCGATATTACGGTGCCTCCAGCGAGCTCCAAGCTGCAGCTGGACAACTTCAGCGTCCACTTCAAGCTGGCGTTGTGCGCTCGAAGCCTCTGCTTTCCGCGCTCCTTCTCAGTCGCATTTCCCGTGAGTTACGAGAGTGGCGGCTTGGATTGTATCATTGAGGACGTTCTCGTGAAGATCGACGAGACAATGGTGAAATTGTAGCATTGTGTTTAATCGTTTTATACCACCCACAAAGAGAAAAACAATAAAGCCTTATGTGGAGCCATTTTATTCGTGAGTGTGAAACTCATCGGCTGTGCACCGGCCAGAGGATTCAATACTCCTCGGCGCCCTCATTCTCGCCCTCGCCGGAGTCCATGCCGACCTCCTCGTAGTCCTTCTCGAGAGCGGCCAAGTCCTCGCGGGCCTCGGAGAACTCGCCCTCCTCCATGCCCTCGCCCACGTACCAGTGCACGAAGGCGCGCTTGGCGTACATGAGGTCGAACTTGTGGTCCAGACGGGCCCAGGCCTCGGCGATGGCGGTGGTGTTGCTCAACATGCACACGGCACGCTGCACCTTGGCCAGATCTCCGCCGGGCACGACGGTGGGCGGCTGGTAGTTGATGCCCACCTTGAAGCCCGTGGGGCACCAGTCCACGAACTGGATGGTGCGCTTGGTCTTGATGGTGGCGATGGCGGCGTTCACGTCCTTGGGCACCACGTCGCCGCGGTACAACATGCAGCAAGCCATGTACTTGCCGTGGCGCGGGTCACACTTCACCATCTGGTTGGCGGGCTCGAAGCACGCGTTGGTGATCTCGGCCACGCTCAGCTGCTCGTGGTACGCCTTCTCGGCGCTGATCACGGGCGCGTACGTCACCAGCGGGAAGTGGATGCGCGGGTAGGGCACCAGATTGGTCTGGAACTCCGTCAAGTCCACGTTCAGGGCGCCGTCAAAGCGCAGAGACGCCGTGATGGACGACACGATCTGGCCGATCAGGCGATTCAAGTTGGTGTACGTGGGGCGCTCGATGTCCAGGTTGCGGCGGCAGATGTCGTAGATGGCCTCGTTGTCCACCATGAAGGCGCAGTCGGAGTGCTCCAGAGTGGTGTGCGTGGTCAGGATGGAGTTGTAGGGCTCCACCACGGCCGTGGACACTTGCGGCGCCGGGTAGATGGCGAACTCCAGCTTGGACTTCTTGCCGTAGTCCACGGAGAGGCGCTCCATGAGCAGCGACGTGAAGCCGGAGCCGGTGCCGCCGCCGAAGGAGTGGAAGATGAGGAAGCCCTGCAGACCGGTGCACTGGTCGGCGAGCTTGCGGATGCGGTCGAGCACCAGGTCGACAATCTCCTTGCCGATGGTGTAGTGGCCTCGCGCGTAGTTGTTCGCCGCGTCCTCCTTGCCCGTGATCAGCTGCTCGGGGTGGAACAGCTGCCGGTACGTTCCGGTGCGCACCTCATCCACCACCGTGGGCTCCAGATCCACGAACACGGCGCGTGGCACGTGCTTGCCGGCGCCGGTCTCGCTGAAGAAGGTGTTGAAGGAGTCATCGCCGCCGCCCACGGTCTTGTCAGAGGGCATCTGGCCATCGGGTTGAATCCCGTGCTCGAGGCAGTACAGCTCCCAGCAGGCATTGCCGATCTGCACTCCGGCCTGTCCGACATGAACTGAGATACACTCACGCTGTGGAGAAAAGACGAAAATTTCATTAGTCTCACTTCCTCAAAGGCCGGATGTCTTAATCATTTCAATTGAAGAAGGCGAGAGAAAAAAAAATCCAAAATGGCGCCATTGATGAGTCATCCAAGAAGCCGGGTGTGGCTCAATTTTCCTCCCATTTCACCCAATATTTCGCATCTCCGTGCCTTTCTCTCATCCAAATTCCCTGCTTTGACGTCAGAGGCTCCACTTTTTTTGCCACACAGTGAAAGTAACGGGGAACTTGAGGAGAAAGGTCAGTTTTCTTCTGCAATGCCACGTTGCCGCATTGCGGTAGATTTTTATCGCCCTCAAATACACCCTCTTTTGATACCGGAATTCCTCTAAAACCCTTTCGAACTGTTATAAAGTCTACTCACCATCTTGAATTGAGGTTCTTTTACTTGATTTCACTTGAGAATTAGAAGAAAATCTAGAATTTGTTGCACACACACAGGCAGTGATGTACCTTCGGCGTCAAACAACAAAATGATGTGGGGAAATGGTCCGCTACTGCTTTTATAGACCTCTTGACGTCACACATATGGCGACTCGTTGATTGGCTGGCTGTGCACTATGGTGGGAGATGAAATTGAAAATAGCGATTTAACGGTTGCGCTCTTGTGGGTATGAGTGTGAGGTGGAAAATGCAAATAAAGCTAATTTTTATATCTGCACATCTATAAAAAAAGAAATTGGTGAGAATCCAGTGATTTGGAAGTGCTTTTCAGAGCAAAAAGTACCCATTCGGCAAAGAAAGCCGAAGAAAAGGGGAGGTATGACGCGTATGCTGCATAAACAAGTTTGAGGAAGAATTCTCTCACGCAAAGATACACCACGAAAAGTATGGATTTTAGCAAAAAATCAATAATTGGTATGAATTTCGTGATTGCATGCACCTTTTGGTCGAGTTTCAGGGATATCTAATGAGGAATATCGGAGAAAAAGCCTTTATTATTTTCATGTGCAGCATTTGCTCGAAGGGCGTTCACTTGGCCAACTGTCAAATAAGGCTGGAGGAAAATTCAGTTTACCAATTTATTTTAGATGAAAATCTCCCAGATTGTGGTAATAATACCCAGAATCGTCTTCAAGGCAGAATCTAGACACTCCAAGAGAGATAAATCCCGGCATTCGAGAAGAAACACTCCCTGGAAGTCTAATTTTATCCTCCTCCAAATTTCTCTCAAAGGGTCTGCGATTCACAGAGACGTTTTCTAGCATCCCAAAATAGGGAGTCTATTTCTGGCCAGGAAAGTTCATCTGCATTTCCCCCAGAAGACAATTTCTCGGTGTCTGATGGCCAGTTTTTGCGGCGGCTCGCGACAGCGAGTGGGACGACTTTTGCACGAGAATCAATGACATCATTCACTGAATCGCGAGTGATTTCTCACTCAAGAAAATCGTGACCAAATCCGGAGAACTGGTTCTCCTCACCTGCCCACTCTCCAGCTCTCGCATTGATCGAGAAGCGCCTCCAAAATTGGCCGTCTGGTGAGAAAATACATACGCTTTTAGCATGAAAATCGATCTTCATGAATCACGAGAGTCGTGCCAATTTGTCCATTGATTTTCTTGCAATGTTGCAACTAATTTTGGATGAAATTCTCGCTGAATTCCCACAACAATGTGTAGTCGCACGGATTTTGCTCAAATGTAGAGGAAATGCAGAGTTTTGTCAGTGGAAAATCGCCCTCAATTTCATCTCTGACAATAATCGCGTGAGAAAAGAAAGTACAAATTAGGCGATTCAGGGTCAATAAACTGTTTCTGGCGTTTCATCTCAACTGTTGCTTCGATGGAAATATTCTGGGAAAAGATCTTAGAACTTCCTCTCAGTTTGTGGAAGAAAAATATTGGCGCCGCGAAGCATGAAAAATTAATTGGCTTCAAGTACGGCTCAATGAAGTTTGCGGGAGGGAAAAAGGTGAGTCACGCGAGCTTCTCTGCAGTATTGATAAACTGTCCTCTTCGTGCTTTTTCTGCTTTCCCCAAGCGCAGGACTCTTCCCCACACCAGAGAAGCAATTCAATTTCAAGGGCTTCCGAGGATGACTCATCGCACAGCGTCAAGGCGACTGTCGCTGAATTGATTCAACAAAGAGAAAATGCGAATGAAAGAAACATGAGATTTCTGCTTGAATTTCCGTTTATTTTTCACAGAGTGAAAAATGGAAATCGGGAATGATCCCTTGATGCGAACGACAGAGATTTAATACTCCTCGGCGCCCTCATTCTCGCCCTCGCCGGAGTCCATGCCGACCTCCTCGTAGTCCTTCTCGAGAGCGGCCAAGTCCTCGCGGGCCTCGGAGAACTCGCCCTCCTCCATGCCCTCGCCCACGTACCAGTGCACGAAGGCGCGCTTGGCGTACATGAGGTCGAACTTGTGGTCCAGACGGGCCCAGGCCTCGGCGATGGCGGTGGTGTTGCTCAACATGCACACGGCACGCTGCACCTTGGCCAGATCTCCGCCGGGCACGACGGTGGGCGGCTGGTAGTTGATGCCCACCTTGAAGCCCGTGGGGCACCAGTCCACGAACTGGATGGTGCGCTTGGTCTTGATGGTGGCGATGGCGGCGTTCACGTCCTTGGGCACCACGTCGCCGCGGTACAACATGCAGCAAGCCATGTACTTGCCGTGGCGCGGGTCACACTTCACCATCTGGTTGGCGGGCTCGAAGCACGCGTTGGTGATCTCGGCCACGCTCAGCTGCTCGTGGTACGCCTTCTCGGCGCTGATCACGGGCGCGTACGTCACCAGCGGGAAGTGGATGCGCGGGTAGGGCACCAGATTGGTCTGGAACTCCGTCAGGTCCACGTTCAGGGCGCCGTCGAAGCGCAGAGACGCCGTGATGGACGACACGATCTGGCCGATCAGGCGATTCAAGTTGGTGTACGTGGGGCGCTCGATGTCCAGGTTGCGGCGGCAGATGTCGTAGATGGCCTCGTTGTCCACCATGAAGGCGCAGTCGGAGTGCTCCAGAGTGGTGTGCGTGGTCAGGATGGAGTTGTAGGGCTCCACCACGGCCGTGGACACTTGCGGCGCCGGGTAGATGGCGAACTCCAGCTTGGACTTCTTGCCGTAGTCCACGGAGAGGCGCTCCATGAGCAGCGACGTGAAGCCGGAGCCGGTGCCGCCGCCGAAGGAGTGGAAGATGAGGAAGCCCTGCAGACCGGTGCACTGGTCGGCGAGCTTGCGGATGCGGTCGAGCACCAGGTCGACAATCTCCTTGCCGATGGTGTAGTGGCCTCGCGCGTAGTTGTTCGCCGCGTCCTCCTTGCCCGTGATCAGCTGCTCGGGGTGGAACAGCTGCCGGTACGTTCCGGTGCGCACCTCATCCACCACCGTGGGCTCCAGATCCACGAACACGGCGCGTGGCACGTGCTTGCCGGCGCCGGTCTCGCTGAAGAAGGTGTTGAAGGAGTCATCGCCGCCGCCCACGGTCTTGTCAGAGGGCATCTGGCCATCGGGTTGAATCCCGTGCTCGAGGCAGTACAGCTCCCAGCAGGCATTGCCGATCTGCACTCCGGCCTGTCCGACATGAACTGAGATACACTCACGCTACGGAGGGAACAGAGAAAATAACCGTTAGTGCTGCAGATGGTCATAGAAAGCGTCTCCACAATGGCCGCCAATTTTTTCAGCCGCCGCCCCTTTCTTTTTCCTTCCATATCTCACTAAATACTATGAATTTCCCGACAAAACTTACCATGATTGATGATTATAGCTTCTTCTTTGCAACTGATTGGAATTTAATGTGAAATTTGTAGGATTTGTCGCGTAGCTTACGAAGATTGTGATGGGACTTCGTCGGCCAAAGACAACAAAATGCTAAGGAGAAATGACGCTCACTTCAATTTATAGGCGATTCCCCTCCACTTTCTTCCCAGTCGAAGTGTCGCTGAGTTGCTGGCATGTGATTTGCGGTTGACTTGCAGGGGAAACGGGATGTCATAGGAAGTTGGGAAGCGGTTTGTTTTTATTCATTTTCTAATCAATTAATGATTTTTCTGCATATAAAATGAGTGATATAGAGACTATAGAGGTGCCTGACACGTCAGACGTTGAAGAGATGCCTGTGGATGGCCAGGAAGCGGCTTCGCAGGAGTCAATTGAGGATATCACGAAAGTAAGGTTAAGTTCCCATGTGTTTTAGAGCAAAATAATGAGTCCCAATCATTCCAGGACGGCCTCTCGAAGATCATCAGTGCCACGAAGGCTTCCATGGCTCTCCCGACTGGTGCCTCCAGGGACTTGTACACAGCGCAGCCCTCATTCATCAGAGTGATGAATCAAGAGTCGGACAAGATCCTGAACATATTGGGGAAAATTCTCAAGCATCAGAACATCAAGGGAAATATCAAGAGGAGAGACGATGACGAGAAGACAGACTTAATCCTGGAGTGCAATGATTCCATGTTGGAGCGGATCAACTCGAATCTGGACGAGATGTCTGGCCTGAAGAAGGCTCCAGAAGTTGTTCTCGTGCAGGCGGAGCTTTCTGGGAATGCGCCAGAGAAGAAGCGTTCGTCACTTACTGGGAAAACATCAGATGCTAAACTTCTCACAGCCAGAAACATCCTAAGACCGCAAGTGAACTTCAAAGTTCCAGTGGACAACAGAAATTCGACTCCTTTTGAGCCCAAAATCAAGTACAAGCCGAATAGCTTAAAGCCTCTGGCTGTCTTGCCTGAGTATGGCGAGGACGGGAATATAGAATCGTATTTGCATCCATACGAGACAGAACTCAACAGATTTGATGTTCCTGAGGAGCAATTGACGAAGACTGAGCCACAGAAGCCAAAGTCTTTGGCAGAAACGCCGCTAGTTTTCGTGGACAGTGCGGAAAAGCTGGAGGAAATTATGAAGGAGTTGGAAAAGTTCAAGGAGATTGCCATAGATCTTGAACATCACTCGTACAGGAGTTTCCAGGGATTCACGTGCCTAATGCAACTGTCGACGCGCGTGAAGGACTATATTATAGACACATTGGCGCTCAGGGAGGATTTGCATGTTCTGAATGAAGTCTTCACGAAGCCCAGCATTGTGAAAATCTTCCACGGAGCGGACTGCGATATCGAGTGGCTGCAGAAGGATTTCTCGCTGTACGTTGTGAATATGTTTGATACGCATCAGGCCGCCAGGAAGCTCAACTTCGCCAGGGTTTCTCTGGCGTACTTGCTGAAGCACTTCTGCCAGATTGAGGCAGACAAGACGTTTCAGCTGGCCGACTGGCGAATCCGACCGCTACCGGAGGAGCTCGTTGCTTACGCCCGTCAGGACACTCACTTCCTGCTCTACATCTACGACATGCTGCGCAATGAGCTGCTGAAGAAGGCCAACTTCCAGCCCAACTGGCTGAAGAGTGTCTATCAGCAGAGCACGGAGATTTGCATGAAGCGCTACGTGAAGGTGAGACTGACGCCAGAGTCTCACTTGAATCTCTACACGAGATCCAAGAAGAACTTCGACAATCGCCAACTCTTCGCCTTCCGGGAGATTTACAATTGGCGCGATGTCGTCGCCAGGGAGGAGGATGAGAGCTATGGCTACGTTCTGCCCAATCACATGCTCTTCTACATCGCGGAGATGCTGCCGCGAGAGATGCAGGGCATCTTGGCGTGCTGCAATCCCGTGCCGCCGCTCGTGCGGCAGCATCTTCTGCATCTGCACAAGATCGTGCTGAAAGCACGAGATCAGCCGCTGGAGAAGATCATTGTGGCCGAGGAGAGACCTCGAGTGGCTCCTGGAGAGTTGATTAACATCAACAGCTTCCTCTACTGTCCCCACGATCTGCCTCAGGGAGGAGAAATCAAGGACAATTTGCCAACACTGCTTGCTGGAAATCTCCTGGGCGCCAAAAGCAGTGTGATTCGTGTGAATTTAGTGAAATCCCATCCACAGGTGAGTGTTTTCGAAGCTCCTGCCGCCCAGAAAAGCCTCCCGAAGATCGCCTTCGTCAGTCCTTATCAGAGATATCGAGCTGTGATACCAATTGCCGAGGAGGAGAAGCGAAAGGCGCAGCAACTCGAGGAGATGCAAAAGCAAAAGCGTCGCCTTTGTCCAGATGCATCAGAAATCGTGCCGGAAGTTCTTGACATCAAGCAAGAACCTAACTTTAGTGGCAAAAGGAGGTCTGAGGGTTCTGCTGACGAGGTCAAAGCGAAGATTCCTCGCGTGGAGACACAGAGAGAGCAACCCAGAGTGCCTGAGAAGGACGAGAAACCGAAACTGAGCAGGAATCAGAGGAAGAAGATGAAGAAGATGCAGGCAGAAGCGAAACTTAATGAATTCGACTACACTTCAGTGGATTTCAGCAAGTTTCAAGGAGGATCGAAGTCGGGCGAGAAGGCAGGAAGGCAGCAATATGCCTCGCAGTTCAGGAGTCGCGGGCAGAAAGCGAAGAATGCCGACAAACGACTCAACAAAATCTTTCGTTAGTCATTGATGAATAAAGGAAAGAATATCACAAGACAGTGTCCGGGTTTTCTGTTGTATACAGCGTGCAGATCTTCCTGCTGAGTTCCTGGCCGACTTTTCGCTGAGCAGCCAAAGGACCGCCAGAGCGCCTCACTGGGATGTTCGCGAGGAGGTTTTCTGGATCATCCGAAGCATCGAGGGCCTGAAAGACAGATAATATCAGCGTCTTCTGTGAGTCCAACTGAGGTTTCCTTACATTGACCAACAGCCGAGGCATGGGATACGCTCCTGTGATGGCCTGAGCTGCCTCCAGGGCGACGTGCGGGAATTTAATGAGGTGTTCCTGCCACAAGCGTGAGTATCCGGCCCCATTTTGAATCTTCACGTTGCCCTTGCTGTGGCTGCTGAAGTAGCAATCCTCAGAAAGAGCTTTCTCAATTTCCTCCCTCCTGAAAATACCAGAAAACATTGTAATCACTAGTTCTGGTCAAGAATTCTTCCTGGAAACTCACTTGAAAGGCGTTTCGGCGATGCTTTTGCTGAACTGAACCACAGTGGCGGCTAAATCTGCAGGATTCTCAACCAATCTGTGGCAGCAATTGTACATAATCTGAACCTCAACGAGACTCATCTCAATATCCATCCGGGAAACAGATTTCTTACCCTTCCGGAAAGTCTCTTTCAGTCCATAAACAATAATCACTGGGGTTTTCCCGGGAAATATCCCTTTAAGACTTTCTATTCGTCCCTTGAAACTGTCCTCCTTCACGCTGTCCAGCATCTCCTGACCAAGAATCACATACAGAAGAAAATCTCCGGATTCTGGACATCCCTCAAAATCTCGCCTCCAAGTTATTGTCATGGGAAGCATTTGTGATTTAATCTCACTTTGCATGTCAGCCTGGGAAAGTTCCTGTGTAATCTGAGAGCCGCATTCATTAGCTATGATTCCAGGATCAATCTCAACAAGGATATGCTGGAAAAGTTGGGAAATTTACAAGATTTCTTAAGACGTTTCCAAGTACTCAAAGAAATGGACTCACTTTATGACATTCTCCAGGTTTCAGCAGGTTCTTTCTCTGTTTCACATGTTTCGTTGAAGACTGCGAGTTTTCAGCCATTATTTCTTGTGCGAATTAATAAATATTTTCAATGAAAAACTGTGTTTTCCACGAAGAAAAGCACGACTGAATTTGAATGTAAACAAAACAACTGCGCCGACAGCGTTTTAGCGGTGAAAAGATAAAGTACCCGTGCTGGAATATAGATGTCTCTGACGGTGGCTGGAGAATTTTTGGGAGCAAAAATGTTTCTCGCGAATAATTTTTATAAAAGTGCGTAAAAAGATGAGTATTTGTGAGTGAAAATAAGTCTAAAAATATTGAAATATGTTCTATCATTGAATACATTAATAAAAGTGAATATTTTTTACATAAATGTGCGTGTATTTTGTGTTGAAATTGAAAGAAAGAAGATTGAAAAGGTCAGTGGAATATTGAAAGTTTATCTCATGTTTATGGGAAAATTATGTTGATAAATAATATAAATCATGCAGAAATATAAAAGAAAATTCTTCTCGATTAATTAAAATTATCACTGAATAAGTATTTGCTTGTATTTCATTGAATTTTTTCAAGAATCAATTACACTATAGAAAAGCATCAAATCGCTTTATTTCAATTGAATTTCTTCGTATAAAAGTAGTTACAAAATATTTTAAGTCAAGTTTAGCTTGTGTTTAATGTGAGAAATTCTATAAAGAAATTAATAACAGTGAAATTCTGATTATCAGGAAAGAAAGTGAAGTGGAGTGAGAGAAAGTCCCGCCCACAAAGAATCATGGCTGACTGAAGACTTCCCTATTTTCCTCTACTTTTCACGCTAAATAAGTGGTTTTTTACACTAAAATGATGATTTTCTAATGAAAAACACCTTCCAAAGTGACTTTATACGGAATTTCTCGGTTGTTTTCCGCTTGAACAGTCCAAAATTGAAGAATCAAAATATTTCTGCGTGCACAAAACATTTGCAGGATGTTTCTCCTCTGCAAAGGATGCAATAAAGGGCAATAAAATGCATTTGATTCAATTCAGAAGGTTCCATTCGAGTTGAGATCCTTTGCAGAATGCCGAGAGATTTCCATGGAAAGAGCTATAAAGTTGATTGAATGTGATATTTTTAGTCATGAATGCCTAAAATGAACAAGAAAAAAGGATCTCAATAAAATCTCAGTTTCTCTTCCACGCTCATTAGTGCGCCATTCAATCATTTTGGCCGCATTTTGCGTGTGGCATCGACTTAATTATCGCTCACCTATCAAAGGTTCATTTTTACTCGAGAATTTACTTCACTGAACCGAAAACTGATGAGTCAGGAAATTGCTATAACGCGACTTTTCTCGTCATATAATAATCTCTGACGCCATTTCATCGGTGCCAGATGAACATAATCCGCAGAGCAGATGAAAATGGTGGAATTCCCATTAAATCACCCTCCATTAGAGCGCTCTTTTATTGCCTTTTCCATGCCATTGCGAGGGGTTGAACGCCCTTCAATGGCGACAGAGCTCTTTATGGACATTCCTGCGGGAAAACAGTAATGGCGCGCGCTGAAATTGCTTTTCGTGGAAAGAGGGCGGACGCAGAGAGTGTGAGCATCTGGTGAATCATCTCGCGAGGAGATTTAATGGCTTTATTTGCTGGCTTTTTATGTGGATTAAGGAGGAAAATTAGATTTTAATCAATGCGAAAGATATTGATGAGTTTCTGCATGCGAACAGAAAATAAAATCGGTGAACATTTTGAAGTTGAATTTGTTACATTCAAGCTCATATTCAAACCAATTGTGCACGGACATCTTTTGATGAGTAGATGACATTTTGGTATATAATGCTATCGCGAGATTCATTTAGGATAAACTTTTAACTTAAAATGCGAATGTTTCTCACTTGATTATGCTGTGTAAATTATTAATATCTTTGTAAGAAAAAGGCGCAAAGAAAATTGTTTGGAAATGAAACTTGTTTAATAAATATTATAATAGAAAATTCTTTCCAGTAATTTTATTGAATCTTTCTTTGATAATAGGACAATTTGAGATGATTTAAGCCTAAGATTAGCTACTTAGATATTTATTTAATACTTGATGAAATCCTCCTTTTTCGTGTGTCGCTATGAAAATGGTTTAAGATGTGTGATGGAGTTTTCAGAGAGAATCTAGCTCTAGTTTAATGTTCGATTCTTTTCTCAGGCCTTCTCTGACTTTTTCACAGCCAAACAGATGCCCAAAAGCAGAGTCATTCTGGGTTGGACGATAAAATCGAGGGGAAGTTTTCGCCTCTCGATAAATTTAATGTTAATTCGATTTTGCAAAAAGCGCCAGAATACAAGAAAGTTAATTTAATTTGGTGGATCAACAAAATTTTTACTGCTTTGCGCTGGGGTGGCTTTTTTCTTGCGCTGCTCCGCCCGCCAGAGCGTCGTAAAAGCCGGGCGGGAAACTCCATCGAAAATGTGCTGTTTTGGAGGGAGCGCGCGCGCGGGGGTGAAAAAAGGGAGGATATTGCGATCCTGCGTAGCGTCTTTTATTGGCGCACCCATTAAAGCGGAAGCAATTTAGGATGTTTGAGTGTAGAAATGCAAATATTGTTAATGGAAAATCCAACTTTTATGGCTGCCTTTCTGCTACATTTGTTCCTTATCTCCGCTCTGCCATGCGAAAATTGATGGACGAAGCGGCTTGGGAGGGATGAAGCCACCCCAAGTGCTCATCCGAGTGCCTCGGCGCGGGAGCGTTGGCGTGGTTGAGGAGAGAAGAAAGAGCGCCGACGGATTCAGCGTGGAATTTTATTTCCTCCATTTTTCACTTGAGCTTGAGAGGAATTTTTAATGAGTTTGAAATGTTTTATAGCGAGTCTGTGTGATTTACGATGAATTTAGAATATTTTGGGGGCTTTAAATTTTCCGATATCCACTCAAAGGGCGCGTCCTTTCATCCTCCATTCGGACTTTTACTTTGTTACTCCTCGCTCAATCTGAAGCATTTCTCAACTTGTTTTACACCACAATTGAATGCAGTCCACGCAATTTCCGCCGAGAAGATTCAATGGCAGAAAAATTTCTCGCAGGAGGGCAACTTTTATGGATTTGTTGTTCCTCCTCGTGTGTCTTTTCACCACAAGATGAACAATAAAATTATGTAAATTGACCAGAGAAGCCACACACATCAGTATTTTATTGTTACTATTTTATCATCAACAAAGAAATTGTGTGATATCTAATGCCGAAGGCTCAGGGAAGAGAATCATGGTGAGGAATTTTTCGTCGTGAAGATATGGTTGAGGAGAAGAAAGAGGCTTCATTAAACGCCATTTAAAGTGATTTTTTTTCTCTGGGGATTGTTTTATTGTGTCTCTCACAAGATGGGATTTTTTTGGGCCCGAAAAGCGCGCAGGATTGGTTGGTTGAGAGTCGTAAATTAAGATGAAATGTCATTTAGGAAAATTTATCGGCCAAGAGTGGATTCATTTGGGTGAGAATTCACTTGTGCGCGAGGCATCTTTTCTCCTCTGTCCGCGTGAGTTTGTCTAATAAATCACAACCATCTTGGCTTTGGATATCAAAAGATCACTTTTTGAACAACGACCCGTTCTTTCTCCGTTCCGTCCTTATAGATATTGAGGATTTTTTCGCCAGACTATTTGCATCTGATCACTTCGAAGGTGGCCAAGAAACTGAATGAAGGAGTTCCATAGAAATGCACTGCGTGGAAGGTGAGGCGATGTGCCAGGAAACAAAGTGAGAAACGAAGAGATAAATGTCTCTATTAGTTTTAATAATTCACACTTTGTTAACAATCTTCATTGTGTACTTTTGAACTGATCAAAACACACACGAATGCCTTTTGCCTTCGTCTTGCCGCCAAACATCTCCCAAGATCATGTCTCAGAATTCTCTCTCTCGCGTGCAAAGGAATCTTCTTGGCAGAAGTTTCACTTTTAACGGTCCCGAAGAAGAAAGGCAGAGCAAAAGGACTCTGCCATGTATAATAAAAAGTGAAACTTTCCGGGGCAAAAACAGGCTCGTCGCATGGAAGTAGCTCGAGAGTTTGCATACAAACCCATTGAAAACAGTGACCGCACATAATTGGTGAGAATGAAGGGAGCATTTTACGAGATGTTTGCCCGAGAGAAGGCCCGAAAAGGAGTTAAATGGGTGAATTTTTTACTCTAAAATCCACAAAGTAGCTCTCATAAAAATGTGATCCTTGTGTTCTCGGGAAGTCGGCAAAAGGGCGCGCGAATGTTTGAAAATTGAGCCTGGTGCGGAGGATTTTATTGCACCCAGAATTCATCCTTTTCGGGATGAAAAGTAGCGATGAGAAACCCAAGGGAATTCTCGAGAACTCACATTTGTTTAACACATAATAAATATTTGGGATTTTTGCTATCTGTTGAATTACTATTTTGTCTGATATGTGCTAAAACTTAGTTTTTCCTATACAAGAGCATCCTTTAAAGACTCCTTCAATGCGAGCAACGCTTTAAGGACGTTCTTCTGAAGCTCTCAGCAGTGAAACTTGTCCTCGTGGCTCCCATCTTGGATGCGTGTAAAAGTGGGATTAACAGTATTTGGGGCGAAAACCACATTTGCCAGCTTCATCAATTTTCCACCCTCTTCGCACCGCGCCCTCTGGGAGGCCCCCAGAAATGGCGCTGAGCGCTTGAGTGGGAAAATTTTATATGCGTCGAACGCATTTCATTCCCTTTTTTCGCACAGAAGATCCCATAACATTCCACCACCCTCGCAACTCGTGCAGAGAGAGTGGGTGGTGGATTTACGAGGGTGACCCAGAGTGGGTGGTCGGAATGGGGTCGTAAAAGGCAGAAAACAACCCTCAAGTTTCGCCACCAAAACGACAAAAGTTTCATCGTTGCCATAACATATAAAATTCAGTGGGTGTTATTGCTTGAAGGAGTTTATTTTTATGCCGTGGATGCTCTTCGACCTCTGACCCGGTGGGTGGGTCACTTTTATGGAGTCAGCTAATTTTCCCCCAAACGTGCCATGCTGGACTGCTTTTTTTCTTGCAAATTCTGCAGAAGAAAAATGGGTTTTCGTGACCAATTAAATTGATTCCACTTGTGAGTTGAGAGAGAGAGAGAAAGAGATTTTGAGACACAATCCCAAGAGAAAGAATAACGCTATTTTTATAGTGTTTTATTGTCTATCGCGTCGTGTGTTTTTGTCATCCACGAAATTCTCAATCCATAATCAATATCTTCTCGCATTTTTATGCCTTTACTGCCAATTGAGGAACACCATCGCGGACTCAGCAGATGAGAATGAGAGGAACTGGAAATTTTTTTCTAACCTTTTATTGGTACTGTAAATCTCCTCTTTTTTTGCATCCATCAGAGCGACGGTCTTATTAATTGATTGGAATTTCCATTTCGATGGATTTCTTTGACCTCAATCCAGCCACTCAATTGGCGTCAATTGAGGAAAATTGGATTTCTCTGGTGACCAGCAACTTTTTCACATCCATCGCACGCATTGGACGGCGAGAAGCCATTTTCCCCGGAGGATTAAATCTCTCTCATGTCTCGCTCAGTCACTTAAGGCCGCTTTTTTCTGGCCTTAGACAAAGGCACATCCATAAAAGTCAGTCTGATTTATGTCGCCTTTTTGTCAGATTTTTCAGCCATGGCTGCTGGCTTTTGATCACGATGACGCTCTTCTTCTCTGCCTCTGATTCATAACTCCTCCTCAGCCATCGCTATGGAAAGTATACCGAGATAAGGGTCTCGAATTTCACCCCGGAGACGAGCTGGAAGGGAACGGAGAAATGTGAAATATTTCTCAATCTCTCATGGGAGGTTCCGAAAGACATCCAGAGTTGGAAGACTGAAAGTTAAGATTATACCATAACTTTGTATTGGAGACTTTGAATATATTCTAGAATTTCTCAGCTCATTCTTTCCAACACATTGATTTCCAAATTAATTCTTATTTGCACATCCAATTGTTTAGTGATCCTAAAACTTTATCAAAGACCTCATCTCAACTCTGTTCCAAAATGAGTGATTTAGTAATTGACTGATACTTTGTAGCTGCAAAGAAAGAGTCTCAAAATTGGTATAAGAACTGTCGGAGAATGGGAGGGTGAAGGAGCTTTTCGTGGCAATTGATTTATTGAAGCGAGTGTCATATTTTTTCATTGAAGAAACGACAGAATAATTTATCTATTGCGTGTGTGAAAGAAATCTCGAAATTCTCCTGGCTTTTATACCAACAAATTGGCTTCGATGGAGTTCTTTGGGGTGTAATTTTGGGTTGTTATTGGATGGCAAATAGAAATTGGAGAAGAGATACAAGGGTGAAAAAATATTTGTTAGAAATTGGTCTATAAAATTGCCGAGACCCTCTATGAAAGCCAGGGAGGAGGATTTGGATATTAGGCGAGAAAAGTGAGATAGACAGAGGGATTTGTTAGTGTTTCATGGTGCAAATGGAATTCATTGTGATGTACTCAAATAAATAAACGTCCAAAAGAGGATGGCAATAAAGTGTCATTTGCTCTTAATAAATTTTAACGATTTTCTCACACCATTCATATGGAGGAAGAGATTCTTTAATCAGCTCAAGAGAGTTGCATCAACAGTCAACATTGTAGGGCAGCACAAAAAACCCCCCTAATCTTCACGATATGGATACAAGATACACGCGAAGACGCTGCGGATGAAAAAGAAACTTGTGCAATAATTCAACAATCATCCTATAAATCTGTGAGCATTGTCGGGGAATTATTCATATCTGGCAGATGCAAGGAAATTTTCCTTTCCATTCACCAAAGACCTTTTAGAACAAAGGCAATTGAATCATTTGTCGCGAAGCTCAAAGAGAATTTTATCAATGACTAAAGGTGGAATTTTATCAAATGGGTTTTGTTTGTCTTGAAATGTGAGCCAATTTCTCAACTGTCGCATGACTGACGGTGGGTGGGTTGCAAGAATACAGACATTTTTCACTGAATTTCCCAGGAAAGTCACCCATTTCTCAATTTTACCCGCAGATAAAATTTGCTCTATTTGAAGCTCTCTGTCCCCTAACCATCAGAGTCTGACGTGTTTTGTGAGGAAAATATGTGTTATTTATCTTAGAGACATGCGTTAGAACGTTGCTTCATTGTAGACTTTTTGTTTTGCACATTGCTTGTGTAAATAAATGCGTTGATTTTCTATTCAACAAACAGACAAATTCACTCTCAAGTGCGAAGCATATGCTCCATGTGAGTTTTCTTTTTTTCCCACCTCAAACTCGCTTTGTAGAGCTCTAGAAGGATTGTAGTGTCACCGATCAGAACAATTTTGCATTTTTCTCCTTTAAATGACACTCTTTGTTCAAACATGTAGTTCAAGCGTTCTGCTAAAACTCGTGCCATTTTCTCATTGGCGATATAATGTATAAAACATTGTTGCTCGAGTTGCAAAACGGTAAATTTTATCTGGTCATATTCACATCATAAATTTACAAAGTTTAAAGCTTTGGATTCGTGTCCGGCAATTTTTCATACCACATCACTTTCCACCCCCTTTCTTGGGTCGCTTTCACTCATCCCGTGGCGGAGCTTTTGAGTTTGCGCCTGAGCGTCAGTGGGTGGATTCTTGGGCATTTTCGCTGTGGAAATGTATCGATTTTGCCCGCGAAATTGGCCAATAAGAATTCACGCGTCTTGTACGCTTGAACAGGGTGGAAAAGCCTCCCTCGGAGCCGTAAAGCTTTACTACGCAATGAGAGAAATGATGAGTGATATAAATTGATATTGGAGCTCGCAAAAGGTGTGATATTGTTTGGGTTGAAATATGAGAAGAAATTACAAACATTTAATTTAATTATTGTGCGCTTTCACTCTCGAGGGTTGTGGGGGTGAAAGTGGAATACTTTCACTTTAATCGCCTCAAATAATAATTCTATTTTGATGTGCGCTGAAAGTGAAAATTATTAACCATTATGATGGAATCGTGAGAAAATTCTCTCCATGATTTTTCCACCCGCCAAATTCTTCCGCGTTGACACTGTCAAGTGGAGCTTTTCATTGACTTTTTACCACCACCCTCACGATATGACATTGCGGAGAGTGAATGAGTTGATTTAGTGAAGTGTGCCAAGTAGTTTAATGACTTATTTTCTACAATTTCACACTATTTACAAGTCATTCGGCTTATTGTGGCACAAGCACCGGCAATTTGTCGGTTTGAGAAAACGACTCGGAGTTGTTTAAAATCCATCATTTGAGGAGAATGAGGAGCATTTTATGCCGCCACTGAGTTGTGAGAAGCCTCAAGTGTTCATAAATTGGCACCCAATATTGTTATAATAATTAATATGATGTGATAATTTGTTTATTGCTCCTCTTCTTCAGGCCGAAATTCCTCATGAGAGCATGTCTCGAAATGGGATGTGTTTTTTTCGGGTGTTAAAAGCAATTTAGTTTTATATTTATCGTTTATTTGTTTTAACTCTTGCACTCTCCTCACACCACCATCTCTGTTTCCCCGCTTTATTTCCCTTTCACACATCACTATTTCTCTCAGACAAATATTAGAATGTTTATCCATTTGTATTTATTAAATATCGTTTGCTGTATCGCCGGATTTATTCCGCTAAAATGCCACAATCGCTTCACTAAAGATTTATGAGCTTTCAAAGCTTCCGCAGGGTCGGGAGGCAGGGCCTGTCCTGCCAGGCTTCCACCCTGGGAAAACGCGCTGGGAAACTCCTTAAAAATACAGTCGCAAGGCATTGCCTGTCCCACGGGCCAGAGCGAGAGAGGAGCTGCCCGCGACAGTCTCTTGGCGGCCAAGGTGACTGAGCTTGATGACTTGGTGGCGAAACCGGGCGCAGTTGGTTGGAAGCGTTGGTCGTGAAAAGTCGCTTCTTGCCTTCCGAGAAAGTGGGCGAAGAAGCTCCCGAGAGACATCCTGGAAGAATAAATCATAATAAGCTAAAATAAAAAATTATTACCACTGAGGCGGGCGAGAATTGTTATCACAGGCGAAAGTTATTATCATCGTTTAGTTTTTAAAATACAATAACCACCACGAGACGTGTAATGAAATATGGTGAAGAAATTGTTCATAAAATATTAATTGGTTGTTTATCGTGCATCAACACTGTATTCATAGTACTGGCAATCACTTTTTATTCGCATCTCATTGACACTTTATCTGCAGACATTTCTATACACAGAAAGAGAGACAGACGCACTTTTCCGGTGAGATTGTCCTACTGACTCAGTGTGCAAAGTGAGATGAACTTTTAGTGTAATAATATATAATTTTCAAGCTGTGAGAGACTTTGTGAATATTTTCAAATGAAAAACAACGATTTAATGCACAAAATCGACGGGATTAAGCAAGGTAAGTTCTGATGTCAGAGAATTTGTATTCATTGTATGGCTTGAAGAGATATTTTCCATCAATATTAGTACAGAATTAGTCACTACTTTGCCTTGAAATCATTCATCGGTATAAAATTTATGGTGATGAGACAACTGGAAGTGCGATAAAATTATTAACATTGTATGTATGCGAAAATCGCTCTTATTCCTTGTCTTGTTACGTTTGAGGCAAAAAATTGAATCAGAGATCAACAAACTTCTAAGTTGTTAAAAAGCGGGTTGAGAAAAGAATAGGAATCCATTGAGAATTTTCCATGAGCCAACGTGAGAAAATTGCTGCGAGTCTGAACGAATGTTGGTGGCACTTTACAATGAACGTATCATAGTAACTCTGAGGAACAATAAAATCTAAACTATCTTCGAGACACTTGCCATCTCCCTCACGGTCATGATCGCATTTTATGGCATTTGTACATGAGAGTGAAATGCATCACAACTCGTCACAAATTCCTTCACACACAACCCAAAACGAGAACTGATGGACAGGCCAAATGTTTGGCCTTTAATTCCGCTAAACAACACCTTGATTTTCTTTTTTTTTGGGGAGGATGCATTGCAGAGCAGAAGGAAAGAGACCCCCATAAAGTTGCTCGTGATGTGCGATGAAAAAAAGTACATGCCACGCGAACAAATTACATCGATGGCCAAATTAAAACGCTGTAAATTTTTCCGTGTTAATAAATTTTTATGGTAGACAATTCGAGACTCGCACTATTTGTTTTTGTTTTTTTTCTGCTGGCTCTCGTTGGCCCAAGGGATAATAAAAAATTTTATGTCCTGCACTTTACATCCACACAGTCTCTCCTGTGGCACTCTCACCAGAAACTGACCTCCCGTACTCCTGGGCAATTAGCCATCATTCATATTCGGTTGAGAGCGTCAAATTACCATGCTGGATTATCTGGGATTGAGTGTGAAATTTTCCCAATGGCGATGGGGAAGTTTGAGCACTTGTGCTCGCGGAGAAAACTCATCGCAGGGAACTGAAAGTTAACGCCCAAATTGCAATGGCATCGCGCTGTTAGGCGGAGTTACGTTCCTATTGGGCTGTTGTGCTATAAAATTCAAGTGGTGGGGTGGAAGAATTGAGTTTAAGAATACACTTAGATAATCACTATAAAACATATCTAAAGTTAGGGCTTTGAACTATGACTACTAAGTTAAAACGTAGCATGTCCGATAAAAGTGCAATTGAAAATTATGGTTTTAGTACATTGGATAGGAATTTTATGGTTCGTTTATGTGTCTAGGATAAATTCACCTTTATGATTTAACACTTAGTCAAGACACATCGCAATGTAAGGTGAATATGATGTCTTGTGTGCATATACACATGAGAGTATTAGAGATTATTTTTAAAATAATCTCCTATCTCATTACTACTGATGATGCCTCTTCAAAATGTAACATGATTCTCACCATGGAGAATTTGTGGTGAAATTCCCCACCGCAATTCACCTCTATGTACATGTGAGAGGGGAAATCCCAGCGGGAGTCTTGGGTATATATGGGGAAAAGGAGTCGTGGCGAGGGTTTTTGGGCGGGACTTTGGAATTATGGCTGCCAGACTCACACAAGCCCAAATCCACCTTCGGGGAGTTCTCTCTCGTTGCTGAGAGCAGCGAAGCCCGGGACTCGAGCGTGCGCCTTCAATGGAAATTCATCGGAAAGTCGCGTCCCGGATTCGATCGATAGAGCAACCTTCCATCATGGATGCGGGTTCAATTCCCTCTGGCTCTACCCTTATCTTCCGGTCCGGGTGTGAGGCAGATCCCATTTAGGTAATTACAAAGTTGAGGAGATAAATCACCATTTAAATCTGTGGCTATATTTTTATTGTGTGCCGTTTTTTTTCTCACAAAAGAGAAAAGAAACACATAGAATCTGTATGGGAAAATGGCTTGTGGAAAATGTTGCGGCGGGAAAAGAGCCGCGATGCTCCAATAAAATTAATTAAAATAATTTATAGCTAATTTATGCCTGAAGACCGCACATCTACAAGATGGTGAAACACATTGTAAAGCAATTAAATTAATTAGCAATTATAAGAGTGCAATTATACGCTTTGAATTTCAAACGCAGTAAAAAAGGGGGGCGAGCAGAAAAAAGTTGCGGCACTACACGGAAATCGCTGTATAAATGGGGAGTTGATTGTGGAATCATCAAAATGATTTTTATATCAACATGAGAAGACATGGCGAGACATGCAAGAGAAATAATTTATGATCATATGCGTGTGCTAAAATGGTCGAATTAAACTAATTGAAAAAGCATGCAAACGCCTCCAATCAACACATTTAGTGCACATAAATAATTTTTTTGCATGAATTTACGGAAGCTATGGGGAAAATGTGTACGTGAATGAAAATCCACGGGCCGAAAAAGCTCATTCTTTCCAAATTGAATTCCTGCCAGGATATTAACAGGCTCGTAAACAGGGGGACTTAAATGAGAATGGATATTCTATGAAAATCATATTCCATTGTTGTATGTCAATTAAATTGACGAATGTATCACGCGAAATTTCACTTTATCGCCTTTTACAGCAACCCCTTCATTGGCTTTCATGCCTGGGCTTCTGATATGCCACTTTTTCATCAAGTCTGTGAGAGCTTTTTCGTGTTTGGACTGAGAAAGAATTGCTAATGGTTCGACAGGCGAGGAAACGAGGAATAAAAAACATTTTGAAGAATGAGAAGTAATTGAAAATCAACTCACGCTCCAAATGTAACGTCAAAATGGGCACAGGAAGGAGAGGAACGGGGCGTGCACGAAAGGGAGGGTGAGCAGTAAAGGGAAAGAAAAAGAAACAATTAAATTGGAGCCTTTTATAATTCCAATTATACTGAAATTTAATTAAAGCTCTAGATTGTTTCTTATCTGTCGCCTTTTCTTACCTTCTTCGCTTTTTTTTTGGTTTCGTGGAAGCAGTTCAAGGGAGTGTTTTTGCCACGACGCCGTACAAACATCTGACAAGCTATTTTTCAGTCAGATTAATTACCACTAAGAAGAAAATTGCTGCCTTACGAATTAGAGATATTGAAGGCATCTAGAAATTCTTTAGTTACAGACTATATAGTTGTTATTTAATTGTACAACAAAATAATCCAAGAGACTTTCTCTGCCTTGTCTCGCTGCCATCGAGTGTTGAAGTGAGAAATTTGCATGAAGACTGTCTGGAAGAAGTCTTTCCCTTTTTTCCAAGCAGCACTCGAGATATTGTGGGTAATTATAATGGAGAAAAAAGATACGCAATGGCTGGAATTTACATAAAATACCTCTTAAGACAGAAAATGCATCGGAGTTTGCCTCACTGGCACGCAGAGGTGCGGGGATGCAATCTTCCCACTGAATGGTCAAGGTTTCTGATCCTTGAGTTCACTTTCAAGGTTTCCAACACTTATTGCCCCTTTTTCTGCCATCAAATACACACAGGAAGCCCACACATTCCGACGAATGCTTGCCTGTCCTCGCTTCGTGATCCAATAAGACGACACTCCAGACATAGAATTATTCAAAATTTCCAGAAGAGACGAAGACGGCAAAAACGCAGACTTTGTTTGTCGACCGAATGTGCAAAAAAGCTTTGTGAGAATGACTTTCGAGGAAGGTTTCACTTTCCTGCACGGCAAGGATTTTTATAAAGACTGTTTCTCTTAGTTTCAAGCCTGTCTTGAGGAGTTTAGGTCGGTTTCATCTTGTTTCACTGAAGTGTTTGTGTGGAAGATGATAAAGACCGGCGGTTTCTGTTGTCGTGCAAAAGTAAAATATTCTCGGTATATCATTTAATAATTCATATTTTATTAATCTCCCGAATTGGGCGATTCTGAGGCTCATAAAATCGCTGACAATTGACTGGGTGTTGGTCGAGAAGTTGCGAGCCTCGCCTAAGAGATTTCACAAAGAAGTGACTGTGTGACTTTGCCAAATTAATATCGCATATCTCAGCCTCTCTCTCTCTCTTTCTCTCTTTGGCCACTTTCACGATCATCTTCGACCGTTATTTCCCATTTCTTCACGGGAAACTCATGGCGAGATCACGCAATGAAATATGAGATGATTCTCCTCAGCTAAAATGCGGTGCAATGACATAAATAAGGGGGTAAATGCATCCATTATTGAGTGAGAGAATTTCATGTGAATTATTGCAATTGCAATTTTTCGTCGAGCAAACTTCCACAATAGAGGCGTTTTATTTGCCATGGAGACAAAGCCGCAGTTGGGAAAATAGACGGAGAGATGCGGACAAGAGAATAAATCATGTTGGCTGCAATTTCATCCTTACCAATTGTACAGGGGATGAGAAAATGCCAAGATGTTTGATAAGGATGAAGAAAAATATTGCAATATTTCATGCACGGCAGGAAATTGAGGGGCGAAATTCTGAAGGGAATTTGAAGCGAAAAATGAGGGTCCATCATGTTCCTCAGAAGCTATTAAGTCAAAGCCGCAAAGCTTGATAATCCAGAGCTGATGCATTTATGTTTTCCTCGTGACACCTTTCACTGTGAAAATTCACCAATTTCCTCCGCAGCATCCGCAATTTTAATCTCACTCGTAAAATTCTCCGGAGCTTATATGACTAGAAAATCCCCCGGGCAATTGAGCGAAGGATATACAGAGAAAGTAGACGAACATTTCTAATTAAGTTAATTCCCGGAAGTGCGCGCAAGACAGTGAAATTGCATTTTGGGGAATGAGATAGAGCCAAGTTGCCTCAAGACATGACAGATAAAGTTAAATGAAATGCAATTAGTGCCTCAGAGACTCCTCGCAAGCGCCACGGGGTGGTTTCTGCTCACACCCTCTTTCATTTATTTGCAAGCCCGGGCAACATTTGCGAGGGAGTTTTATTGCGGGGCCAAAAGTGCTTCTCTATGGCAGGGGCTTCTGGTAACGCATACATTTATCATTTGCCGACGGGGGTTGAAGCGAGAGATAGACTTTTATTGCCTTTCC